GGCAATAGCTTCGGCGAACGGGTGGTACATGGCGTAACGGGACTGTTTCTCGACAATGGGTCGTTGGGCGTACAGGGTCAAGATCTGGGTTATGGTTAGCTTCCCGGGTATATAACTAGCAAGTCGGCTGCCAATTGCCAATACGTACCTCGAGCGCACTAGAGAAGGCATTAAGTAAAACGGCGAAGAAGAGCAAAGCTCCACGGGAATAGAAGCTGGAAGTGTCGTCTTTCATTCGGTAGAACACACTTCCAATGATCAAAGCCATGATCACGTTACCGATCAGTTGGGACATTGTCAGACTGGCGTCACCCTTGAGACGTTGGAAACCTCGGATCATGCAAAGTTTGACCTGCTCCCATAGAGAGACAGTGTAAGGAGAACCAACGCGCTGGTTCTTCGCTTGCATAGCCTTGCGAGACTCGATGAACCGGCCCAGAGACTCGCCACCAACGGGGTATTGCTGATTGTACTCATCGATCTCTTGCATCAACTTCTGGTAGGCGGCACTGCTCTTCCAGGCGGCCGCGAACTCGTCGGGCGTGCGTGGGACCTTATTATCGTATCCTTTCCGGACAACACGCTCAGATGGGCTGGTGAGGGAAGTCAAGAAATCGGCGGTGGTCTGACGGTCGGGGCATTCGAATCCCATGTTGACGAAGAAGTCTCTGGCCTCCTCGGTACGGCCAAAGTAGATCTGTCGGCCTTCATACAAGACCGTGACCTTGTCGAAGACATCGTACGCGCTCTGGGAGGCCTGGTAGATGGCCACGGCGACCGTAGCACCGGCATATTTCGTCATCAGGTTCAAGGTCTTGCAGAACTCCAGGGCGTTCGCACTATCTAGACCACGAGTACTGTTGTCCCAGCACTGCAGCGGACTTCCGCTGAGGGTGGCCTCGGCGATAGAGACACGCTTACGCTCACCACCAGAGACACCACGGATGAAATCGTTTCCGACCTTGGTGTTGATAGTATGCGACAGACCAAGCATGGCCATGACGGCGTCTCTCATGTGCAGGGCATACTGCTCCTTCGTGACTCCTTCAATGCGGTTACGGGGGCACCGAGCGAGGGCGGCAAACTTGAGGGTATCGCCAACGGACAGTTGAGGGAAATGCACATCGGTCTCTGCGGTGTAGATGGCTTCACCCTTGAACTGCTTCCGCATTTGCTGGGCCGGGATACCCTGGTAGTTGATGTCAGCCTTGGGATCCATGTGGATACCATTCATTTCACCGGCCAGGGTCTTCAGGAAGGTGGAACAACCACTGCGATACATCATTAGCATATTGACTATCAGAGAATACAGAATTTGAGTGCTCATTCATACCTTCCAGGTCGACCAAGAACGACCAGCATCTCACCATTCTTGACGAGACCATCGAAATCCCGAAGAATCTGGATCTTCTGCTTTCCAGAGCCGGTGACGGCTCGAGCAAGCGCTGAGACCTGGAGAACCGAGTTGAAGACATCCTTCTGATAATCCGTGGGGCTACCGTAACCGTGAACGCTGAGGTTGCGGAAAGAGACACCGGCCTCGCGCTTACGGTGGGCGGGGTCGCGAGCGGAGAGGGCGAGCAAGTTCTTCATCCAGTGCTTGGCCTTGAAGTTGGGGCCGTGGGGGTTCAGGGTCGAGTCCTCGGCGGACTCGATGAAGGGGTTCTCCAAGCCGGTCGATGAGAAACGAGTCGAGTTGCGGGTCAGGCGTTGCGCCAGGCGATGGATCTCCTCCTCGTGAATCTCGTCCTCGTCGTGCTTTTCGAGGGCCGTTTCAGCGGAGCTCAGACTGCTGCTGCGATCACGGCCCTTCATCTTCTTGAGCTCGTCTTTGCTGGAGCCTTCGCCGGCGTCTTGCTCCTGCATCTCGTAGGATTCTTCATGCTGTTCTTCTTCGATGGAGTGGTGAGCGATCTCACGGGCGGCGGCGTTCTCCTCGTTTTCGGCCACTTGAGAGCCCTGGGCTCCTATCGTGCGGGCAGGATTAAGATTAGGGTTTAAAGTCCCTAGGAGAGACATGATTAAGGCGTTTAGAGACGTCCAGTCTCTGAATTAGAATGTAAACTGTAACGAACGGATAAACCAAACCATACAAAAGATGACAGGTGGGGGGAGGGGGGAAGAAATTATTATAAGTAAAGAGAGAATGAGGGTAGGTTAAAGGAAGGAAAGGAAAAGGATAAGGAGTGACAGGTAAAATGCAAGAAGAGACAAAACGGCGAAAGGATTGCGATCAATAGAACCAGGATTAAGGCCGGGAAGGAGCACGACCTTATCCCCGTATGTACCGCGGCGGTAATTTTTCGTGGATCCGAGAGAAAACGAAAGAAAAAATCGACCTCGAAACCAAGTCGGGGCCCGGAATGGCTCGCGCTTTCCCTGTTTGGGGATTTTCTTTTTTGTGCATGGATTTTAAGTTCGCCCAATCATGCCCCAAAATGGAAGGCTGCCACCAATCGGGACGGGCACAGGCGAGGATCCAGACCCATCGGCTCCAGAGCGGGATCGTAGACTTCTTTCTCTCCGGCCGTATTTTTCCTCTCTCGGCAGTATACGAACCTTACGAGCTTAAGCGAAAATAATTCTTTTTCGAACCCGAATATCTGGGGGCGGATGTCTCTACCTCTGACTCCCGACGGCTGTGCTTTTTCCATTTTAAGGCTGACCTCTCTTGGTGGACCCTGAGTCCGTGATCTTTTTTTTGGTGTCAGCAATTTAGCCTTTGGTGTCTACGCCGTACTCCCTAGTCCCTACAGACAGTTCTATTTTACCAGGCTGTCACCTCGCTCGGAGTCCGCGGCCTAGACTGGGAAGATTCTTTCTGATGGAGGGTTAGGACTTCAGTCAGCACCTATAGAATACTTCGGAGTACTCCTATCGCCACCGTGATCAGGTAGGCATCATCAGGAATACGTAGGACCTACCTAGGCATGAATGTTCATTATTACGTTCGTCCGTACGATTGGCTGCCTACCGGTCCAGGCGTCAATGTCCTGCATGTAGCTACTGCGGTTGTCCAACTTGAAGTCTAGGCTCCTGGCACCCACAGATGCCACACGGCGTATGTGTCACGATGTCAATGAAGGATGATGTCTCATTGACAATCATCGTGACAGTGAGTCAGCCCCCTGACGGTGCTCATCAGTCATCTGCCAAGACGGTATCTCCTAAGAGACCGTACTGGAGTAAGAAAAATGAAAATAGTAAAATATCCGGGAACGTGGCAACAACAACAACAACCGGCTGCCTGAGAGGGTTAGCGGCACACGGGAAGGCTCCTGCACGCCGCCAAGCGGGGCGGCTCTCAAGCGATCCGAATCCGATGGGTTTGGCTGGGCTCAGCCCCTTTTACCGTACCGTATCGGAGGGCTTCAGATCCGAGATCCAGACATAAACATCTTCAGCTTTCTGCCTGCTGTCGTGTATAGAGTAAGTAGTAGTTTCTTTCGTGGTTTACCTCGTCTTATCTCCATCCTTGGCCGGATTTAAATTGTCACCCCTCCTCACGTCTTATTCTACATTCATGACTGCATCATTGAACCATGAACTCAGAGTACGGAGTATGTCTGTGCTATTTGTATACACTACAGAGTAGGTATAGTGCATACATAAGGTATCACTCGGCAATGCCCGTCCCAGATCCCGAACGACGAACACCTCGAGCATAAACACTGACCCCAACACAAACCTCCCCCTCGAATTATGATTCCAAATTTATGAAATCCCAGATCCAGCTGAAATCTGAACCGATCGCTCATCATCCCTCCCAATGACCTAATCGTAAATCCTAGTCCCCTCGTCCCCACGTAAAGGAGAACCCCTACCACGAATAATAGCCGTGAATCTGCCCAGAACCATCGAACCATCTCCCGTCGATGGACAAGATCGGCGCCGATCTACTAATTTAATCACCCAGCGCACTAACTACCTGGTTCAGTGGTTCGGCAGTCTAGCATATTATTGCAGAATGGGTGTTTATGTTTACTGGTTTCTTGATTTCTTGCGCACGGGGGTACTGTGTAGTGTGTACGGAGTAGAGCCGAAGTGGGTTGGCCGTTCCATTCCCTCCCTTTATCTGGGACCTGTTTTTGGTTCCTGAAACGCGTCTTTTCCTGGTCGTGTTTTGTTTTGTTTTGTCTTTGCTTTTGCTTTGGTTCGGTTTGTTGGTTTGTTTTTTGTGGTGCGATCGTCCTTGATGATGTGTTTCGGTCTCGTGGGACTGGGACTGGGACTTAATTGGGACTCGAACTGGAACCTGGCAAGAATAGTAACACTACTCCGTAAATACTACTCCGAATAGTAATGACTCGCAATGCTCCAGACGGTTACAGTCCTGCACAGTGTATGTAAGGAAGGTTCGGGCTGAGATACTGGTACGATACGTCACGGTGGTGGGTTATCTTCAGGGGTAGTTAGAGTGACTAGAGTCTACAGTACACAGAATAATGGTCACACTATGGAGTACCTACGGAATAGAAGATGGGTCATCCTGGCTTGATAACTACTCCGTAGTTTGGCTTTGACCTCCAGTTCGATCTCCATGCAGGTGGAACAAAGCGAAGACTCGAGGAGTCGAGTATCAGCATTCAGTTCGGGTTAAGCTAGCTGCATGAAACTGAAATCCTTCGTGCCAAGGACCTAACCGGCTATATAAAGCATCGCCGTGCTACACCGATAGTTGATAGTTGCGACGGCGTACAGATCTCGCTGGTGAAAGGATCTGCGTTTCGGTCTGGGTCCGGCACGCGTACTTGCCCACACGGCCACACCCCTGGCTATAGAGAACTATGCCAAACTAGTAACTCTTCGTGTGACTATGAGAAGACTCGGAATGCCAAATGATAACTGGTGAATATCATTGCTTTCATAACGTATTATAACGTACCACAAGAAATCGGCTGGATGGCAGTGGCACAATGCCACAAACTCATAGGGAGTCTATTAAACCTTCCAGGGGTCAGGCGCTCAAGTTGTTAAAAACACATGCTTTCATGGCAAAACTAGGATTCTTCTTCGGCTTCGGCTGCGGCCTCCTCGTCACTATCTTCGTCAATCGGCTCGACAAGGAGATTGCCTCCGCGGCCAATCTGATCGCGGATCGTGCCTCCGGCATCGATCTCGTACACCGCACGAGGCATTGGCGAGACCAGTCGGAATCCATACTGATGCTCAAACCCAGTAGGCTTCTCGACATCTGTAGTCTTTTCGCCTTGCAGCTCCTGCAACACGTCGTAGCATTCAACAAAGGCATAAAGTTCCTCGATATCGGCGGCAGGTCCGAACTTGCGGATGACTCGCTCCCCGGACGGCAGACGAATGCTGATGCGCACCGCGTCTTTGACGTCCGGGCTCGGCTCGTCGGAGATGGTCTGTGCTCGCCACCGCTTCCATTGCTCAAGATCGCGTATCCGTTTCTGCTCGGCCGCTTCACGCTCGGCGGCCTCCTGTTCCTCCCGCTGGCGGGCCGCTTCCGCCTCCCGTCGCTGTCGTGCGCGCTCCCGATCAATCGCCAGAGATCGCTCGTAGGCCGAATCCTGCTGCTCGCGGAGACTGCGCGAGGCCTGTTGTTCCGCCCTCGTGGCGCCGATCCGCTCGAGAGGTTCTTTGTGCTGCGAGATCGCAGACCTGAGTTTGTCTACAAATTCCGTCGGAGACGTAGTTCCGGAGATCCTCGCCACCACCGACATCGCCGTCGACGACACATTCGGGGTGTGCACTATGGCAGCGGCAAACGGGAATTTGGTGCACTTCAGAGAGTTGGCTACCTGATAGGCCTCCGAGTCCTGGACATTACCACCCCAGACGAGCACATTGTTCTGCGGGTCACTAAGAAAGTCCACCACTTCCCGGGAGAGGAGCGTATCGCGGACCCAGCCATTGGTGTCGTCATGTTCGGGGGCAATCAAGACGACCAGGAGGAACTTGAGTTCCTTGTGGGCTTTCTCCAGAGCCATGTTGTATCCATTTTCCAGGAATCCGGGCGAGTTCGTGCCGTATTCTTCTTCGAATTCCCGGATGAACCGAGCGGCCGTGTCTTTGGGTCCCAGAGCGCGACGTCCATTCGTGTTTCGCCGGGCTCCCTGGAGAGCGGGATTTGCGGTCGTGTTGAAAAAGCGGGGCAGGAAGGGGAACAACGCTCCAAACAGGCGGAAAGAACCGCACAGTATGCGGTAGATAATGTTGAACGGAGTGAATAGTATAGCCAGTAGGAACGGGGGGCGAAAGACCGTCTGGTCCTCCGGTTGTGTCACGACTCGGGGAGCAGCGTCGGTAGCTCGGGTGGCAGGGGACAACTGCGCGGTGAGGTCATCTCTCATGAGGTTCTGCGTCTGGCGACTCGGTCGGGGAGGGGGAGTGTTGTCGATGGCTGCGCGAGCTTCCTCAACGGGATCCGGTCCTTCGCCATCGAAGAATTTGGAGATTGCAATCTATTTCATTTGATCTGTCAGCTTTCTTGCCATCGCTTGAACGGGTTCACATCATTAGCCATACCTGTACATTCCATTGGCACCGACGCAGCAGCGGAATGGCTTCAGCCGGTTCCTGGCCTGTCACGGTAGTATAGGTTTCGAGAGCAGACCTCTCGGTGTCCGAAAGTTCGGAGATATCAAGCCCAGAGGAGGACATTGTTGATCTACTGTGTCAATCCATAAACGCCCAGACTGGAAAGAAATGTGCCCGTAGAGCGATCAGGGTCTTAAGGGAGAAACAAATACTTAAATCTCGATGAGAAGTTACGGGGTTCTCCGGGCCATCGAGAGATGTATAGGTCACCAAGCGACAAGGACACAGCGTGAGTTAAAAGTGAAGGGAGCGTGCAGCAGGAAGGTACCCTCAAATGAGCTGGCCTCTTCCAGGAAGCTCCGTCATTGCGCCGTAGCGCCAAACGCGCGCCTGCTGCCTGGATGGCACGTGCACAGAGCATACCGCCCGACCGTTCGAGTTCCCCCGCGGGCCTTTTGTCCTGATGCCTCCCTCGCTCCATCCGTGGCATGAAGGTGTCTTTGAGACCTTCGTCTCCGGATCCTGGATTACCGGCTTGCTCTTTCTTCCATCTTTCATTTCTATGACGGCCGTTTTGTCTTGACTCGTCGCCCCGCAGGCAGCTTGTTATCTCATCGCCGGCGCCCCTCCCCCTACGCTCCTACGCCAATTCACCCTAGCGGCAGCGATTATTATTCCGCAGCTTCGCGTGGGCTTCTCTTGTTCCTCGTGGATTAGTATACGATCTATTCGAATAGAGGAATGTGGTTTCCTCTCGACACATTCGGTCACCCGGTCCCTTTTTGTTTTCCTTCAATGGATAACCCTCTGCCTTGATCCGCGCGATTCTGTGGACAGACGATCATCCCCATGGCTTCAACTGGGAAACCCCCGTTGGACGATTCCCGTCGTGGGACGGGATCACCCAAGATCAAGTCACGAGGTTAGTGTCGCAGGTGATGATGCATTCCGAGTTGGATGTTTCAAGTTGCTTCCTCGAGTTCGTGGAGCTTGCAAGCTGACATTGCTCCGTCCATTTCCTTCAGAGAATGCAAAAGAAACCCTATGTCGTAATGTGACTATATATGGCCGATGTCGATATGAGGATAAAGGTACCGCGATGGTTCCATACCTGTTGTTGGGAGTGTCGGTTTGATCTAACATGTGATTGTTTAAAGGATGCGCTTTTAACCACGATCCACAAAAGTTCAACCCTGCATATCAATCGGACAGGTTCGCAACGCCCTTTTTATCCCCGGCCTATTGCATGAAATTATGGGCCATGTGAATGTCTTGAATGAGCGGTAACTTACGTCAGGTACCACCAACAGCAACAAAAAGCGACTCAATGTCGACTCCCCGAGCTTCACTCCTTCCCTTTTATCTTCCAATGGATCATCCCCCACGATGTCTTCGGCAACCGCGAAGAAGACCGCCACGATATCTCCCAAGGCTGCAAATGCCGCTCCTTTTCAACCCCGAAGTATATCTTCCCGTATGGTTTAATACTTTTGATGATATTGGCCATTCCGCTGACGAGGCAAGAAGGCTCCAACGCGAGCACGCCCTCTGGTCGACAAGAAACGTTGACTCCGGACTGGTCGGTGGCCGAAGCACAGGAATTCATTCCTCAGACCTTCGATACATCCCACATGGTAAGATGCGCTTGGTTCTTATGCTCTTGGACATTACTTGCCCGCCTACTTGTACAACTATCACTTCCGTCCCACGTACATCATTCTGCCGTCATGCATGCGAAACGGGCTCTTACGGGATACTTGTATGTTTGCTATTAGAAGGAGGAGCAAGTCATGCAAGGTCCCGCGACTCGCGTTTACTCACTATGATGGAATATTCTTCCACAACATTCGAGTCCGCTGACCCGTTTGCTTGCCCCGCATTTCCTATCCTCTTTGAGGGTCTTTTATCACTTCACGGCTCTAAACTTCCGACATGTACCCATTTTTGACTGTACCCTTACTGACCGAAAACATTCAGGCCTCTTTACAGGGGAATAGTAATGGCGGAGTCCCCGCCTCGAGTCCTTTCGATCCCTTTGTGACGGCCCCGAATCCTCTCTCCGCTGCCGGTGCGGTCGGTTCTGTTCAAGCAGGCGCATTCCCACATGAGACTGCAGCTGCCGCCGCCGCTCTAGGCGGGGCCGCATTTTTCGCCGGGCAATCTGGCTTCCAGCAGCCGGTAGGTTGGTTGACAAGGTAGACCTGCCATCATAGCTAATAATTTTGAAGGTCCAATATCATCTTTACGCGCCTATCGGACCCCATAGTCAAAATACGTTAGGCTATCAGCGAAATGTTCATGATCTCTTTCTTCCGAGTGACTTCCGCGAAGAACTTCAGAAGAAGTCGGCAGCGACACTACAAACCCTGCCTAGTATGTTGGCCAGGCTCGACTTTGGACCATCATGCAGCTAACATGAAATTAGATACGCAACTGCCCGCGCAGGTTGATTACTTCCACTCGCTAGTTCCACTAGATTTGAACCATCAGAAAAACGCGGCAATCTTCGGCTTTCCCAGCTGGGTTTACAAGGCGCAATCAAGTAAGGATGGGAATTTCTACGCTCTTCGGCGTTTGGAAGGTGGGTGCTTGGTTTCTTCTGCTCTAGGCTATATCTCACAGGATCTAATCTAATACAGGCTTTCGCTTGACGAACGAGAAGGCCATCCGCTCCGTTCAAGCCTGGAAGCGAGTATGCAATGGCAGTGTGGTTACTGTTCACGACGCCTTTACCAGCAGAAGCTTTCAGGACAGCTCGTTAATATTCGTCACTGACTACCACCCCCTCTCGAAGACACTTGCGGAGCAACACTTAGGTGCGGGCAACAGATTCCAGGGCCGACACAACGCACATATCCCGGAACAGGTACTCTGGGGCTACATGACCCAAATCGCCAACGGTCTCAAGGCCATCCACAGTAGCGGTCTTGCCGCGAGAGTCATTGAGCCTAGCAAGATTCTCCTAACTGGCAGAAACCGCATACGCCTCAATGCCTGTGCGATCCTCGACGTGGTCCAGTATGACAACCAGCGAACCATCGCCGATCTCCAACGTCAGGATCTCGTCGGGTTCGGACAGCTCATCATCACTCTGGGTGCCAACTCGCCGACAGTCATGCATAACCCCACCAAAGCTATGGAACACTTCACTCGCGCTTACAGCCCCCAGCTGAAGAACTCGGTGTTTTGGCTTTTGAATGGGCTGCAAAAGGACCAAGACCGTAACATCGACATGTTTATTACCGGCATCTCCTCCCAACTGATGTCGACTTTTGACTCGGCTCTCCATCTGGATGATCAGCTGACATCAGATTTGAGTCGGGAACTTGAAAATGGACGCCTCGTGCGACTGATGACCAAGCTGAATCTCGTGAATGAGCGACCAGAGTATGAACATGATAGGCAATGGTCTGAGAACGGCGAACGATACTTCCTGAAACTCTTCCGGGATTATGTTTTCCATCAGGTGGACGCCCAGGGCGATCCTGTCGTTGATATTGGCCACGTACTTACATGCTTGAACAAACTAGATGCAGGAAGCGACGAGAAGGTCACGTTAGTGAGTCGAGACGAGCAAAGCTGTTTTGTTGTCAGCTATAAGGAGGTCAAGAAGGCGCTGGAATCCTCGTTCCAGGCACTTCTCAAACCTGCTCGAAGGCTTCACTAGAAATGAATTGCTTGTTCAGGCCTACGCCTTGACAGCGTTCCTCGGGTCCTTCCTCTGTGTTGGAATCTCCATTTTATATACAGAAAGAAGGAAGGACAAGATCATAATGATCGTACTAGCTTTTACTTGATTTTCCTGAGACCTAGGGATTACTTATCCTTGAATATTTTTTGCACATCTCGAAAGATGGATATGATGATGTTTTCTTCCTTTTGGGGACTTTGGTCAGTGAGAAGTCTCAGTATGGTATGGGTATTGATATGGGCATCAATATGAATGTACTGTTGGCCGGGTTGGATTGGATTGAATTTTCTTTTATCTTATTTCCTGGCTTATACAATCTTGTTGGCTGGAGGGGGGATGTATGTCCTACTTTACCTATATCCTTCTGTTGCTCTTCTCCTTTTCTTTTCAGTTTTTTTCGCATTGTTTCCGTCCAACCAGACTCTGGAAATATGATGTGATATGCAAAATACAATGAAGATACAGATCATGCAATTTCATAGATGATTTCTTGGGATAGATGTAGGATGTGTCTGCGTAGATGAGTAGATGGATAGATTGGTGGGTGTCTTATGAACACTTCTGTATATCGTGATGGTGGTGTATCCTTTGGGATGCTATACCATAAACACTATATGCATACAGACATGGATAAAAATCTATAGGGCAGAGAGAGAAATAGAGCAAGAAAAGAAGAACAAAAAGATCATGACTCATGATTCATTCATTATTTTTTTTTTTTTTCGTTTCAAGATTAGAAAAAGTCTTGACTAATACAGAGTTTGGGTTGGTTCAGTTCACGATGGCGCTGGTCTGAGTCGGCCATGGATCAATCACTCACTCAATCAATCCATCCATCCCCGACGATTCTCCATGCATTATTCACTTCTTCCCTCGATCTGTCCGAAGCATGTACAGCTAGCAAGACCTGTGACGGTGATGGGTACTGTATGCACCATGTAGCTAGCTCTTGATAGAGCAAAGCAGCCATCTTGTGGGGGAAACAAGAAACGAGGGGGAAGAAAAGGGAATAGATATAGAAAACGAAAACATCACAAATGTTGCATAGCGCGCTCTGTATAAACAGATTCGGATGGCCCAGTCCTCATGCTGACCGAGCACCAAATAAAACAAGGGAAGAGAGAGAGAGAGAGAGAGAGAGAGGGTCATGATCGTGGCTGTGACTGTGACTCTGTGACTGTGACGTTGACCAGGCCAGACCAACCAGACCATCGTGATATGGTCATGACAGAATGGGACGGTTTACTCCTCCGGTTGCACGAAGGGATTGGCAATCTCCTCGCTACCGTCGGCCGGCGAGATCAGCACGATCAGAGTACCCCGGGCGACGATCAGTCCGAGGGAGCGGGTGTTGTCGTTACCCTCGTCATCTGATAGGGTGGTTAGTTTTGATGGAAGGGAGTGGTAGATAGGATTTGGTGTCGGGATTGGGAATGATTGTAAAGTTGTGTATGGGAAGACAAGAGGAAAGAAGGGAAAGAAAGAAGAGAAACATACCTCGCATAGATTCCTTCACGTCGTCCAAGACCAGGTTCATCAGCTGATCATAGCCCTTCAACAGACCCGTGACTGCGGAGAGTTAGAAAGACAGGCCACGAGAAATCAAAAGGGTAAGATAAGATAAGGACAGGACAAGACATACCCTCACGACCACCGTTGAACTTCACGCGCACCTCCTTATCCATATACTTGGTCAGGTCGAGGATATTTTCCTTTTTGGGCTTCTCCTGCTGTTGCTGCTGGGCACCGCCACCGACACCGCCACTTCTGGCGCCACGAGCCGACCGGTCGTAACCTCCGCCGCCGCGGCCACGACCTCCTCGGAATGAGCCTCGTTCGGACATGGTCTGAGTGGAGGGAGGGGAAAGGGGGGCAGGTAACGAAGACCAGAATTAGTCAATCAAATCCGGAAATAAAATCAGGCAAAGTCAGATTGGAATAAAACTGGGGCCACGAGCTGAGCTGGGGGCAGAGAGTTATGTAAGCGGGGAGGGGGGGGAGGGAAACAGGAAGGGTGGAAAAAGTGAAAAGCAGCGATTCGGTGGGAAGAGAAATGAGGGGAGGAAAAGTCGGTCCCGGCGGTCCAGGCGCCGGTGTAGGAAAATGGTGGAATGGATGAGGTAAGGGCGGTTAGTCATGGGCCGCTGGGGCACTATGAGGCATTTTTGGGGGGGGGGTCGGCAGTGGCAGGTTCGCTGGCGGAGAGACAGACAATAACACCAATCCGCCGCCAGAAGAGAAGAAATTCAAAAAGAAAATAAATGTAAAGAAAGACGGCCAGAATCGGCGAATCCCAACGGAGACCTTACGGAGCAGGCAACCAGCAACCAACAAACCACGGGCGGAGCGCGAGTCTCTCGGGGCCCTTCGAGGCTTCGACCCGCGCGTCCTGCAGCGCCTGGACGCACCTCCCCCAATCAATCTGCTTATCGGAGGAAGTACCGTCCCGTCATCTGTGCAAGGTGGTATTGAGAATTCCCCTGAAACCAGGACAGGACGCGTAGAATGTCTGACTACGTAAGACGACGGTTCCGACATCCCGGGACACACCGAGTGGTCGGCGGAAGAGACCGGCGGGACTCCGCCCTGCCCCAGCAGGATTGATTAGCCCGGCTCGCTGACCGCAGAATATTGTACTTGGTTATCCCTATAGATCATGCTATATCGTACACTCGCGTGTCATGAAATGAATCCTTCTAAATCTACTCCGTACCGTCCAGATATCCAGGGTATCACTACTCCGGATACTCAGTAGATCCACCAGACGCTTCAGCGCCCGTTCCGCCATCCGCAGCGTCACTCCCGTCATTCAGCCTTGTCATTGGCTCCTTTTTTATCTTTTTTGAACTCCTTTTATTAATCCGTACGATATAAGATCAGCTGTTATTTTCAGACTATGCTTCAATCATTCAATGGCATATGGCCGTCCGCCCGGATCCTTATTCTCCTAGAACCCTGCCGAATTGCCAGTTGCCCTGGCCGGTCCTCCGCTAATATCAGATAGTGATATCTTGCCTCTTTTCTATCTCGGTCCGGCCGGGCCAAACCTGCCCAACGGCTAAAAAAAGCGTGTCCGCCTGGAGACCAACTAAACACCCACGCTCTGCCGTCTTTTCTGCTGTTTCCTCTCCTCCCCTCTCCTTCCCTTCCCTCTCTCTCTCTCTCTCTCTCTGCAAACCGTTCCGTTTCCCTCCTGCTGCTGCTTCCCGCATCTCGTTTGCCTTGTTCCTCCTCCCTCTCCTCGTTTTGCTTTTTTGGAATTCTCGATCTTGTGTTCTTTTTCCTCCCCCTCCCGGATTTCTTGGTTTCCCCCAACCCCTCCTCTCTCCCCCATTCCCCTCCTCCCCTTCCATCATCCGGTTTTTGTTGGGGAACCTGGTTAGCATCATTCGCATTACCTAACTCCATCCATTACGCGCTGCCCAGTGGCTGCTCGGTAATCCCGCATTCTGGGGCCTGACGCTCCGCCATCGGCTACTCCATTACTCAATCCTCCAATTCCCCTTCGAATTCTCTTTCCCTTCCTCCCCTCCCCGCTCTGCCTCTCAACCCTCGCGGTTTGGCGACTCGTTTCGCAAAGACCATCCGAACACCTCTGTTCCGTTCGTGTTTCTTCCCTCTCTCCCCCCCCCCCCCGGCTTGCTAGCCAGACGTCGCCATGGACTCCAGAACGACGACAGAGTCGTCTAGTAAACGACCGCGATCTCCGTCGGGTGACTTTCCTCCCATCGCATCCAAAGTCCCCAAGACCCATTCAAATCACCTGCAGATCAACTATCTTGCGCGACAATACCCCGATAACCTCCCGCTGGTCTCCGGCGACGACACGATGCCGGCCATCATCCACTTGATCGGTGAATATGACGGCGTCCTACAGCGACACGAGAGTATCGCCGGCAACCTGGGCGCATGTCCCTTGGGTCCCATCCTGATCAAGCGTTTTGAACGCTTGTTTGACGGACCCCCGCGGGTCCTCAAATCGCACGGTAAAGACTCGCCTAACGTCACCTGGTTGGACGTGGTGGAATTTGCCAAGAACAAGCCGGAACAGTTCAACCTAGAAAAGACTCGCAACGGATTGCGAGTCTGCCAGTTTTATACCAAGCAGTGTCGCGTCGAGATCAGCGAGGAGGATTTCGTTCTCATCGCCTCCGGGATGCCCCAGAAGATGATCCCTCCGCAGCCCATCATTGAGGACGAGGAGAAGGAGCTGGGCGCGTTGGAAATTCTGGAGAAAAACCTCCAGCACATCATCCAGGTTGCCGACCAGGGTAGGTCCTTCGTCGCGTCATGCGAGACAGGGTACTGATCATTCTTGTCCGTAGTGTCGGCTCGAGCCAGACAAATAAATCACCGACTGAAGAACCGCCGGACCGCCATCATCACTCGTCGGGAAAACGATTCGACCCTGCATTTGCAACAACAGCAGCAAAAGCGCTCGATCAGTCCCGCCTGGCGCGATGCCAATGGCAGCCAACTTCCAGCCAATGGCAACAGCCAGCCCAACTCAAACGCACACTCGCCCTCGACGGGCTTTGTCGCCGTGAACGCCGGCCGGCCCGGGGCAAGCGGCGCAGACGCGCTGGCGGAGGAGAATCAGACCAATGCGCTGTCGTCGCAATTCATGTTCTCACACTCCAATACGGACAATGTCACTATCATCAACGGTACGTCTATCAAGGGGGCATCCCCGACAACGCGCGCCGAGCTTATGAAGAAATTCTTCGGCACTCAAGACCGTCAAGCTCGGAGCGTCGACGAAACCCCCGGGTCCGTCAACCGGCAGACATCGCGTCCGCCTCGGCCGCGCGCATCGGACGCCGCCGACTACGGCACCATGTTCACTCCGACGGCACCCACCACGGTGGCCATCCCCAGCACCCCGTCCTCGTTACTACCGCCTCCCAAGTCCCACCACCACGAGAAGGATGACGGCGGGCCGCACAAGATGGAGATGGTTGCGCGCATGGAGGAGCTGCAGCGGGGCGAGCGTATTATGCCCCCGTGCGATCGATGTCGTCGGCTCCACATGGATTGTCTGAAAAATCTGACCGCCTGCATGGGCTGCACGAAGAAGCATGCCAAGTGTTCATGGAAGGACGTCAAGGAGGACGAGCTGCGGGAGGCGCGGGCCGAGCGCAGTTCCCGGGAGCGGGCTGAGGAATCGCATCTGAAGGAGACTCCGACCGCCGGTGTGCCTCCGGTCTCTCTGCCGGGAACGCTGTCGGCGGCGACTACTCCGGGATCGAGCTCCATGATCTTGGACCCGGAGCGACACCGCGTGGACCGTGAGATGTATCGCGAGCACCGTGAACATCGGGAGCACCGAGAATATCGAGACCCCCGGGAGCCGCGGGAGCATCGGGAGGTGATTCGGGACGGACACCGGGAATTCAGCGTCCGTCGCGAATCCGCACCGACGACGGGGCCCTCTCCGGGCACGCCGCTGGGGAAGGCGCCGTCTCCTCGACGGGCCGTAAGTGAGCTGCAGAACAGTACATCGCTGGGTCATGACCGGCGCATGGGAATCCACCGACAGCACGAGGCCGTGGCCGAGGACGACGACCAGGGCGCCAATCACCGGCTCATGCAGGCGATCATGGACACGGTCGATCACCACGCGCGGGTGGCGGCCGCGGTGAAGGATGGAGGGCCGGACGCTCTTGATCGGGAACGCGAACGCGAACGGGAGCGCGAGCGTGAACGGGAGAGGGAGCATGAGCAGGAATTGGAGCGTGAGCGAAAGGTGGTGCGAGCATAATTGTGTTTTGTGTTGTCTACCTTCATTGGGGTTCAGAGGAGCATGGCGGCCGGTTTGAGAATGGGCCGTATCTATTTGTACTGGTTTGAGCGTGTTTAGATATCCCGGTAGTTTGAGTTAATTGGAAGTTTGCATATACAGACTAGACTGGCTTCGGAGTTGTATCTCAGTAGTTGGGGGGGGGGGGGGGGTATGTGTGTGTTTTAGATTGTTTCATCCATGGTCCCGACAAGTATATATAACCATGACAGCGTAGCAGACGTATGAAAGCAGCCAGATGGACCTGACCCGTTTATAAAAAAGATAAAATCAAAATAATACCAACCTTAAAGTCGATAGAGACAAAAAGACTTTCCAAGAGAAAATTAATTATTTTGATAAATCAGGGTGCAAAAACAAAAAAAAAGACAAATCAAGTTCTCAAACGCCAATTGGCGCCGCTGGGAATCGAACCCAGATCGGGACGGGACTGCGGGATAAACCACAACGTCGCATGATAACCATTACACTACGGCACCTTGATTTGATGATGGGCAGCCGGAAACTTTGCATCATAAGCCTGACGTCTCTCTATCGACTCGGACTCCTTACTCCCGGCAAAGATCATATCCACCACCCACACCGATCCTGCCGGACGTTCCTCACCCCACATTCTTCCCTTCGTTTACTTCGGCATCGGCAGCGATCGGCGGGGGTTTTCCGCTCTGGCAGTGGAGTGGAAGCCATGCTTAGGCAATCCTTATGCGGTTCTTGTTCAGCGGTCCATGCGGGGTGATCCGTAGCTGTCCATTGAGGGTGTGCTAATTACTCTTCTTTTGGATCCTTCTTATATAGCTTTCCCCATCTTCTGTTCTTCAATTTCACTTTCTGGTTTTTTTCTATCTTCTATCCTCTACTCATTGCCGACTCAATCCATCTCCTCTCCTCTACTAGTTACATCTCAATTCCTCAATTCTCCAACCCCACCAAAGACCAGAAAAGAATTGATAATGGACCCCTCCACGCTCAATCTCCCTCCCATGAAAGACCTCACAGTCGAGAACATCACCGAGAATGCTATCCGGATGAACTCGCTCTGTGAAGACGAGCGCATGAAATACGTCCTCGAGCGGCTCGTCACGCACCTGCATGATTTCGCGCGCGAGACTCGTCTCAGCACGGATGAATGGATGAAAGGACTGTTGTTCTTGACGGAGGTGGGCAAGATCTGTAGTGATGTGAGACAGGTGTGTGCGTACCCTCTCCTTTCCTACTTCGTACATACATAGCTAACAGCGGGGGTGGATAGGAATTCATCCTCCTCTCCGACGTCCTCGGCCTCTCCATCCTCGTCGACTCAATCGACCACCCCAAACCCCCCACCGCAACCGAAGGCACCGTTCTCGGCCCCTTCCACACGCACGAAGCCACCGAGATCCCCGCCGGTACATCCATGTCCTCGGACCCGAACGGCCAGCCCCTCCTCGTCGTCTGCACCGTCAAAGACACCGCCGGGAACCCGCTCCCCAACATAAAGGTCGATGTCTGGGAGACGGACTCGACGGGCCACTACGACGTGCAGTATGAAGGGAGAGAGGGACCCGATGGACGGTGTCTTGTGCGGAGTGACGATGAAGGCGTGTTTTGGTTTAAGGCCATCACGCCGGTCCCGTATCCGATTCCGCACGATGGGCCGGTTGGAAAGTTGTTGGCGAAGTTGAAGAGACATCCGTATAGGCCGAGTCATATGCATTTTTTGTTTGAGGGGGGTGAGAAGGTGGAGCATGGGGAGGGCGTGGATGGGTTGGTTACGTGGGTTCCCTTCCCCTCCTTACCCGGCTTTTTATCCTCAGCTTCTGAGGAGGACAAAGGAAACAAACAAGCTAACTCTGACGATGACCTTGTCTTGAATAGAGCCCTCTACCTCCGCAATGATCCCTACGAGACCTCCGACGCCGTCTTCGGCGTCAAAGACTCCCTCGTCGTGGACATCGGGCGCGCCGGACCGGAATACGCTAAACGGTACAACGTCTCCGAGGACCACGCGCTCCTGACGTATGACTTCGTGTTGGTATCCGAGGCCGAGACGAGGGAGCTGCGGGAACGGAACTCGAAACTAGCGCTGGATAAGCTGGGTCGGAAGGTTAAGATGGTGAATGGGTTGCCGGTGCCGGATTTGGATTGATTTCCCTCCCCCCTTTGCTGTTGGATTGGATAGCTGTGTATGAGTGTTTAACATAGGTAGAACAGAATTAAGGGTTATGTTAAGATATAGATAGGTATGTACTGTAGGTAGGTAGGAGTACGATCAAAACGGCATCTCATTACAATCCAACAACGACATCACATTCTGACTAAACGAGAACCAACCACCCACGTTGAACCCATCATCCCCTAATGCAGGAGCAGCACCACCGGCAATTCCAGTAGTAGGAAGCCCCTCCAAATCACCCCGTCCCTCCCCACCACTTCCAACCTGACCATCCCCATCCCCTAGACTAGACTCCAACCCCCCCGCCCAAAAACTCGGCTGGACCCCAAACGCAGCAAGCCTCGCATCCACCTCCCTTCTCAGCAGCATCTGTTCTTGTCCCTGTTCCTGCTCTTGCTCGGAAGCGGAGACAGAAGCGGAAGAGGAAGAGACAGCTTTAAGCTCGCAGTACCGACGAGCCACGACACAGAAGACCTGGAACAAGTGGTGGTGTTTGGCGATGGCTTTGGATTCCGGGCAGGCGGACTCGATTGAGTCGTTGAATGTTTGCATCAGTTCGACGTCTTCTATGGAGCCGGTTTCTACGGCGTGGCAGAATAGGACGATGAAGGGGACGAAGGGGACGAAGAGGATGGACCTGTGTTTTGTTAGTTAGATGGATGGATGGTTGGTTGGGAGGGAGGTAAGTAGAAAGGTAGCTAGGTAGCAGGAAACCCACCAAGTAACATGACCAGACAGAGCCACCGAGTCAAACGCCCCAAAATGATTAATAAAGGACATATGATGTTCCAAGGCCGCGCGAGCGGACAGAATACACTCGTTGTGCAATGTCGAGGAGCCGTCTGTGGGCGGCATCGCGCGATACACGAGAGTTATCATTGAAAGACGAAGAACTTCATCGGTCATGAAGAGCGATTTGACAAAGGCTTTTTTCTCGCCGGGGAATAGGGTCTGCATCCAAGCTGTCTGTTCTCGGACCTCAGGGGTTAGCTTAACTGGCATCTGATCTGGTCTTGGGGAGGGGAGAAACAGGTACAGTACATACATTTTCCTTCAACGCCACCTGAGAATGATTATGAAGCTCCTGTGCCAGAGCATCCGCTCGGCCCCGTCGAACATCCGCCGATAGCAGAAGAGATCCTGCGCAATACAGCTCCTCATAGATCTTCCCTGCTATTCGGGCTAGGTTGACCATCTGACGATAACACCCCACCAGACAAAGGTCGCATGATTGTGTCACCGTGGGGATTGGGATCGTGATATCACTGTCGAGAATGGACGAGGACTGGCCATTGCGGAGAGACAAGAATTTCTCGAGAAAGTAAACCGTCCAGAAGAGGAGGCCTTTGTTGTTCGGTGCGCACGCCGACGTGTCCGCGCCTACGGATCGAGTGTGATAGCCAAGAGAACGTACGCTTTGGGAGGCGGCGCCTACTAGGATGTAGGCGAGAGAGTTGTTGGAGGTGTCGATTGCGTGGACGGCCTGCATTCATCGGGATTAGCGGTCATCATTACGAGAATGGCGGAGAATAGTGGAGGACCTACGCCTAGGATTAGGGCTAATGTCATCTCGTAGCTGTGTTTTGTGTAGAGGGAGAGTCGTGAAAGCGCTGTCTCTAGGTTGGCGCGAGATGATAACATGAGGGTTCTGCACTCGGTGTGAGTAGGGCCGATCGGTTGCTCAGGTTTAGTGGCCATATAGGTTGCGAAAGCTTGTCGAATTGGTTAGTTATCCCTTAGCACGGGCAGGAAGAACTCAAAAACCTACAGTATAATGCCGCATTAAGAATGATGAAGTCTGCATTTGAGTAGCTCTCGGAGAAGTAGACTTTCAAACATAAGTCCGATAGAGACTGAGGGTGGAGGAAGTTGGCGAAGAAGGCCCTGAGGTAGTAAAGCTCTAGGTCTTGCGACTCTAGATTTATGATTCAGCTACAATTCAAGCATCCAAATACCCACGCGCTATTGGACGGGAAGGTCAACATACCCTGTGCCTTTTGTAAGACAGCCACAGCAGTGGCTACTGGAGGCATCTCCACGCTGTCACTGGCGTGAGGAAACAATGGTCTCGGCGAAAGGGGATGCGAGTTAAAGACATGCACAATATGAGAGACCGTGTCTAACAGTTTTCTGAACTCGGAATTACTTTTTGCTTCATGTTGCGAACCAACAATATTGTGCATGAAGTTGACTGCAAATGACGAGTGCGCAGAAAGTGAAGACTCCCCCTTGAGCACCGTTTCTTTTTCTATCAAATTCTCTGGGCGAGGATTCTCGCTATGTCCTTGAGACGGCCGAGGTGGCTTCGTGGGCACGGTCAACGTCGTGCTTGCGGAAGTGTTCTGGGTAGATGGTGACGCTTGGGCTATGAGATTGGGCGTAGAAGCGTGCGAGGCTACTAGCCTTTCCACAAGATCTCCCAGTCTGTCAAGTCTATTTTCTATGAGGTCGACTTTGCGCTCGCTGTGGACAAGGATCAGTAACGAGTCGTGGAGGAACTGGAGCCAAGGGAAACCGAACTATTGCGATGATATCAAGACACGGGCCTGCTTTGGCCGACCGATCGCTTTGGTTGAGACACAATTCAGATTTGCGTCGTAACAGTTCGAGCAGGGCGAGGCGCGATCACAGCGTATCTTGATGTATTCAGTTGGGTGTCTAGAATGGTTGCTGCGTTCCTGACCTTACGACTGTGGCAAGGGTCACACTGGATGCGGTTTTTAATAACTGTAGGTAGCGGAAGTGTCGGTGAGATACTTACTGCCCTCTTGGAGTGAGATGTGCTTTCTTGGGACATCATGAGAAAGTTGTGCCAAGCGAATATCTTGTAGTATGTATACCTCGAGATGAAGGGGTGGGTCTCTATTAAAGCATTTCCCTGCGGCGCCCGCGGACTCCGGAGCCCGCGAGTTCCGCCGTCCGATGGCAGCCCTCAAGTATTTCCTTTTTTGTCCGGACTTCGGGCTGCCAAGTATCATAGATAATGACCCAAGACCTCTGTCGTGGCGACAAGCGTATACAGACAGTCTTAGGTGCTGTCCCTATCCTTTTATAAGATGGCTGGATCTCTCTTTGGTTTTGGCCCTGTGCCTCTATCTCCTGTCCAGACCCGCACTCAGCTTCTAGTTGACAGGAATCATGGGATCACTAGACGCAGAGAAAAGCGTCGAAAGTTCAACGATTGCATCGGATGCAGTACCCCCTAAACAATCTGCCTTCAAGGCTTACGTGGTAAGTGGGTGAAAACTGCAATGTTGATGCTCGTTTGCTAAGTCCAGGTTTTGCCGCCACCAGAGAATCTTTAGTTACGGCGAGACAATCGACTATGTACTTGGGACTATCGCTCTACTCGCTGCCATCGGCTCGGGCGTTGCTTTGGCCATGGTGAATCTCGTCATAGGCGACTTTATGACGATACTCAGTCGCTCTACTATCGGGCCAAACCTCCCGGACAACTTCATGTCCAAAGTGAGCAAGTTCTCGTGAGCTACACCCTCGAATTTATAGCCATTATGAAGTCCTCGTACTGATAAACATTTGCTCAAGATTGTACTTCGTTTATATCGGCATCGCTAGATTCGGTTGCACATACCTATATGCCTCCCTATCCACCTATGTCGGGCACAAGCTCGTCCGCAACATTCGATACCAGTACCTCCGATCCGCCCTGAGCCAAGAAACTGGGTATTTTGATCAAGGCATCAGCGGGTCAATTTCCATGCAGGCTACATCGAATGGAAAGCTCATCCACTCCGGTATTTCCGAGAAGTTGGGTATCCTGTTCCAGGCCGTTGCGACGTTCCTCGCAGCTTTCATCATAGCCTTCATCAGCCATTGGAAACTCACGTTGATTATCATCTGCATCATCCCAGCCTTACTGCTAATCGGAGGTGTTGCCTCTTTTATCGACGCTGGTATTGAGACCAAAATACTCAAAACGTATGCGCAGGCTGGGACGTATGCGGAGAATATCCTCGGTGGTATTCGAGCTGTTCACGCATTCAATCTTCGACCTCGGGTTGTTCAGAAGTGTACACAGTATCTGAATGAGGCACACAGTCTAGGGATGAAGAAGAATCACCTGTATGGACTGATGTTCGGCGGAGAGTTCTTTGTCATGTACGCCGGCATGGGATTGGCGTTTTGGCAGGGTATTCAACTGCTTGCTCGTGGTGACGTCCCCGACGTGGGGACCATTTTCAAGTATGTCCCATTGTTGTGCTTGTGTTACTAGATATTAACGAGTTGAAGGGTGTTATTTTCCGTCGTCATCGCGGCGAGTACGATCACTACCGTTGCCCCCCATACAGTCACATTTGGTCGTGCTGCCAGTGCCGCCGCAGAGATATTTGTCCTCATTGACAGAGACTCGGAAATCAACGCCCTCGACGAATCTGGGGCCAGACCGACGGATATATCAGGTGTCCTTGAGTTTAAGAGTGTGAGATTCAGCTACCCCAGTCGGCCCAACGTCTGTGTGCTTGATGACTTCTCTCTTCGCATTCCAGCGGGAAAAGCCACCGCTCTTGTGGTATGTGACATTTCTCTGTAGCCTCAATCGCCATTCTATTAACCTCTGAGAATAGGGCACCAGCGGCTCTGGAAAGAGCACGATAGTTGGATTGATAGAACGCTGGTATACTCCCGGCTCTGGTAACATCACCCTGGATGGGGCCGGGATTGAAAGTTTTAGTTTGAAATGGTTACGTACCAATATTCGACTGGTACAGCAGGTATGAACGAACCATCCGGCGCGATATTGTTACTTCTACTAATTCTACCTAGGAACCCGTTTTGTTTAATGGCAGCGTGTTTGAGAATATTGCCAGCGGACTGGTAGGCACAGAGTGGGAAACTGTCCCCTATGAGGTACAAAAACAGCGAGTGGAAGACGCAGCAAAGCTTGCCTTTGCACATGATTTTATATTAACGCTTCCGCACGGCTACGATTCACAGGTTGGTCAGAAAGGGGGACTCTTATCCGGCGGCCAGAAACAGCGGGTTGCCATTGCACGCAGTGTTATATCCGAACCGAAAATTCTTCTTCTCGATGAAGCAACAAGTGCCTTGGATCCGCAAGCTGAAGGTATCGTGCAACAGGCGCTGGATCGTGCTGCCACGAACCGTACGACAATTGTTATTGCTCATAAGTTAGCGACTATCCGCAATGCTGACAATATTGTTGTCATGTCGAAGGGGAGGATCGTTGAGCAAGGCCATCATCAAGAGCTGGTCTCGCTGGGTGGCACCTATGCAAAATTGGTCAAGGCACAGGACCTCTCTGCTGCACAGCCTACTGGTCATACAAAGGAAATTATCGAGAAAGAGTCGATTGATGAAATCTTGGAGACTGTTCCTCCCCTACAAAAGTATCGGACGACCGTGGCCCAGAATTTAGTAGAGATGCAGCAGCGGGAGGACTACACGCTTTACCAAAAGACAGGCCTTATTCGCAGCATCGCCAAGCTAGTCATTGCGACCTCCGACTTGAAGCTCTGGTACCTGTTTACTCTCGTTTGCTGTGTGGTTGGAGGCAAGTCAAGCTGCTATGATCCCTCGAGACAAGTGTCTAACGTCTCCTAGCTGCCATATACCCCGGTCAAGCCCTGCTCTTGGCCAATGTCATGGATATCTTTACCTCCGATGACATCGTCGGTAGAGGTAACTTTATTGCTCTCATGTATTTTGTCATGTCGCTTGGTTGCGTCCTCATCTACTACGGCCTCGGCTGGGCTACCAATGTCATCGCTCAGGTGGGAATCGTTCTCTCCATCATTCCTCACTTTTGCTAATCCCATTACCTACAGACCATTAGCAGAACATTCCGTCATGACATTCTGAATTCAATTCTTCGACAAGACCTCCGCTTCTTCGATCGACGCGAGAGCACAATCGGCTCACTGACCGAACGACTTGACTCCTACCCGCAGGCGATCCTTGAGATGATGGGCTTCAATGTCGGCTTAGTGGTAATGTCAATCGTGAATGTACTAGCTTCGAGTATCCTAGCCTTGGCAATCTCGTGGAAACTAGGCGTTGTGGGCGTCTTTGCTGGCTTACCCCCTATGATCTTTTCCGGTTACGCACGTATGCGCTTGGAAACGAAGATGGATACTGACATAGGGAAGAGGTTCTCGCAGAGCGCTTCTATCGCCTCGGAGGCAGTGCTTTCTATTCGCACTATCTCATCTTTAGCGTTGGAAGGGCGCACTTTGGTCAAGTACACCGATGAGTTGGATTCGGCCATTCGTACTACTACCCTTCCGCTTTTAGTCACGATGATATGGTACGCGTTGACACAGTCCATCGAGTACTTTATTCTAGGCCTTGGGTTTTGGTATGACCTTTCTTGTTTCTTGGCAGGGCATCGGACTAACACAGTTTCTAGGTGGGGATCAAAGCTGATCAACAATGGCGATATCACTTTCTACCAGTTCATCGTTTCTTTCATGGGCGTCTACTTTTCAGGCCAGGGAGCGGGCCAACTCTTCAGTTTCTCAAGCAGTATGTCGCTTTGAACCAGTATTCTCTAGGGGAATTTGCTAACAGGTTCTCACAAGGCTTCACGAAAGCGAACTCAGCAGCAAACTACTACTTCTGGGTTACAGGCCTCGAGCCAATGATTCAAGAAACAGATCAGAACCGGGATAACCACCCTCCGAATGATTGCAACTCCGTTGATATGCAGGATGTCCACTTCTCCTACCCGTTTGCACCAGATACCCGAGTCCTGAATGGTGTCTCACTAAGCGTACGTACCCCTTCTCTACTACCAGATATTAATAGCTAACTAAGCCACCTCAGATCCAAAAAGGTCAGTTCGTCGCGTTCGTCGGCGCCTCGGGCTGCGGTAAAAGCACGATGATATCCCTCCTTCAACGCTTCTACGACCCAACTCAAGGAACCATCACAATCGACTCCGCGCCTCTCCCTAACCTGAATCCCCTCGCCTACAGAAACGAGATCGCCCTAGTCCAGCAAGAACCCACTTTATTTCCGGGAACTATTCTGGAAAATATCTCCCACGGTCTGGATCTAAAAGATCTCCAACCCGCAGAAACAAACATAAACGCAACCACAAGCTCGACCTCCCCTCTCCTCTCACAAATTGAAACCGCCTGCCGCGCCGCCAACATCTGGGACTTCATCGCTTCTCTCCCAGACGGCCTATCCACGCCCTGCGGCACAAGCGGAAGCCAACTCTCCGGCGGCCAACGCCAGCGGATCGCAATAGCGCGGGCCCTGATCCGCAACCCGAAGATCATCTTGCTAGATGAGGCAACGAGTGCATTGGATACGGAGTCTGAGCAGATCGTCCAGGCGGCGTTGATGAATGCCGCGACGGATGGGGAGAGGATCACGATTGCTGTTGCGCATCGACTGTCGACTGTGCGAGAGGCGGATTGTATTTTTGTATTTTTGGGAGGGAGGGTCGTGGAGATGGGGAGGCATCGGGAGTTGGTTGGCAAGGGGGGTGTTTATGCGGGGATGTGTGAGGCTCAGAGGCTGGATATGTAGGCCTTCGGTAGGTATCTTTGAACCTTTCTATAGTAAGCAGGAGAGTTGGGACTTGGAGAGCCATAAGACTTCTAATTTGCATATCTTACTCATTTAATACAGATAGAATCGTCATTCACTTCAATATACTGTTATCTATACCTGTTCCAGTCACTAGAGTTATTGAGATCGGACGATATCTGGATTTATAGGGACTATACGTTGCTAGCGGTGGAAGTTCTAATCTGGGACCCTTCAGTGTCAAGAAATCGCATAGTAAAATGTTTAGTATAACATGGGGTCTGCCACAATCTGTACAGAGGTAGCATGTCCACCTGACACCTCCCTGTGTTTGGTCATCCTAAATCACTCGAAATAAATCAAAACTAACAATAGACATTAATATCTCTAATGGCCATTATCCCTGGACCCGAAAATCATAGATAATTCCTAAATAGTCCGTAATTCCCTAATAAATCCTTAGATACCGCAGGAATAAAGTTATCCAGGAAGTTAGTAATTCAAAACAAACCTAAGAAGGCCATTAACCAAACTTTCAAAGGCCGTTTTCTTAATTGAGTAACAGCCTGTCTGGATAGCTAAGCTTAGTCAGTGGCGTCATCACACAAATATTAAATATATGTGATTCATCTTCCGCATAGCAATTAGTATTTCAACTCTTTTTGTAATATACTATCTATAGAGGGATTACCTTCGTTGATAAGATAGTTACTAAGAGGAGGCCTCAATTTTCAAATCAACCTTCAACACTGCCACTATGGCTGTTCCTTCTTCTAACTCTCGAGATCAACTCCCTGGTCTGGGTGACTTGACATTACAGACGATGTTATGGATGTTGGCCATTGGATGGGGAGCGTACCTCATAGGGCTGGGAGTCTACCGACGTATGTGTGTCATAAACCCAATTGAGATCTTTCATTAACTCATCTTGGAAGTTTATATCCACCCTCTTGCCAATGTTCCTGGACCGAAGATAGCAGGTAAGTACCCAAAACCGTTGATTGATTGATGTCTAACACCCCCCCAGCCATCACGCAGTGGTACGAATTATACTACGACGTCTGGCAGAGCGGACAATATTTCCTCAAGGTTGAGGAATTCCACAAACAGTATGGTACGGTACGTCTCTATCATATAAACTGGGCCGCAATGCTGAGTCTCATCAAAGGACCAATTGTCCGGATAAAACCAAATGAGGTGCACTGCAACGATCCCGAGTTTGTCGACGTGCTGTTCGCCGGCCCTCTCCAGAAGCGGGATAAGGATCCATGGCTCCCCAGATCGGTGGCAGGTGAAGCTCTCTATACTCGTTTATAGAATTCAATAAGTACTCACACATTTGAAACAAAACAGTTCCACTAGCAACTGCTGGCACAATCCCACACGATCTTCACCGCAGTCGACGGGCACCTCTTAATCCCTATTTCTCCAAACAAAGTGTTCGAAAACGAGAATACATTTTTCAGGAAATCCTGAAGAAGCTTCTGAGGCGATTTGAAGAGCACCGAGAGACTGGAGCCGTGCTCACACTGAACGAGGCCATTGCAGCGGCGGCGACGGATATTGTCGCAAGCTTCTGTTTTGGAAGGTCCACCGACTGTACAGACAGGAAGGATTTCAGCAGTCCTTTTTTCCAGGCTCTGGATAAAAGCTTTAAGCTAGCACATATCATGGCGAATTTTGGATTGGCTCGGGCTTTTATGACATTTCAACCCCCCCAGCTTGTGGCCTGGATGACACCTGCGCTGGCGCCGCTTTTTGAATTACATCAAGTGAGTTTTTCCACCGAAATCTGGTCTTCTTTCATGTTCATCATCATCTTCTTTTTTGGGAAAGGAATACTGACTGCATCTCAGCAATGGAACAGCCAGATACGCAACGCAAAAGCACCAACCGAGAAACACGAAACTACAATATTCAACGCGATCATGGAAGCCAAACTGCCTCCGTTCGAAAAATCATTCCAGAGGCTACACCAAGAAGCCAAATTGATCGTCCTCGCAGGCTTCTCCACCACTGGTGAATATCCGCCCCTCTACAATCCTAGCAGCAGCATTTTTACTAACCAGATCTTCCCAGCGTCAACCGTATCTCCGTTAATATATGAACTACTTGCCAACCCAGACAAACTGAACAAGCTAAGGACGGAGCTTCTTCAAGCCCTCCCCAACCCAGACAGTGCTATGAGTCTCTCGGAGCTTGAAAAACTACCCTACCTCTCTGCGGTGATCCAAGAAGGAATCCGAATGCACCCTGGTGGCATTCTCCGCATGCAGAGGATATCACCCGATAAGCCTCTCAGCTATACCGATCCTTGCACCGGCACCACCACGACCTTTCCACCCGGCACCTCAATCAGCATGGACGCGCTGTCCGTCAACATGAATCCCGACTTATTTCCGAATCCAAGCGATTTCGTTCCGGAGAGATGGCTCGAAAGTCCACAGCTCAGTCGCTACTTACTTTCATTTTCCAAGGGAACGAGAATCTGTCTTGGGTAGGTTTCTTTACTATCATATCCTATTTTATCTGAATCTGCTCCCGGTTCACCTAGTTACGTTCTCGGCTAATGGGTTGAATGATAGAATCAACGTTGCGCACTGTATGCTCTACTACTTCGTTGCGGGTATCTTCCGAAACTATGGCCTTCCTACAGAAAAAGACGATCCGGCTTCGTCGATTGAACTCTATGAAACAGAGCGCAAGAGGGATGTTGATGTTGCATCTGAATTCATAATTCCTGCTGTGAGAAAAGAAAGCAAAGGGATTAGAGTCCTACTTCGATAGAACTGGTTTTTTTTTATCAAACGAATATGTATGTGGCCTACTTACTATCATAGTGAAAAAAAAAAAAAAGAAAAAAAAGAAAAAAGTCGAGGTATCTATAAAGTCCAGTGAGGATGTATTTACTAGTATTCTCCGTAGCAATAATGGTATCAAGGCACTCAAGTCATCAGGTATCGTTTGTTCAATTCCACCTCACTCAACGTGGATCACCCGCTCCAACCATATCCCCGAAATCACTTCCCTCCTCAGGCTGACCTGGTTGAGCCTGCTTATCTGAACTAGAAGAAGACCCTTTCAATCGACGCACGCCATCTCCTTCCTCGACCCAACCGCCCACCTTCTCTACTCCCTCGATGTATTCCGTGCCAACGCGCAGGTTCAGTCCCGCGCTGAGAGCGCGTTCGATGCGCGTCTCGCGGGACTGCGAGACAAGGACCCGGAAGACCTGCGCCAAGAAACCGCTGAGGATGTCGACGCTCCAGTCGTCGGGGACAAGGCGGAGGACCTCGCCGACGTCGAACCATGAGGCGAATCGGGCGAGGAGGTCGCTGGTGCGCTCGAGGCGTTCCGAAAGGTCCTCGATGCGCAGAAACTCATCCAATAGGTATCCGAATAGTTCCGTTTGGAGGGGTCGCTCGGCGAACTCGACTAGTGCTCCGGTGGCACTGGTGCTGCGGGGGCCGCCAAAGAGGCAGTATCGCACGGCGGAGTCGTAGTCCCCTAGTCCGTGCGTAAGAAGACGCAGGGCTTCGCGGTGACGGCCCTGCAGTCCGTCGAGGATGACTGACTCGGAGACGAGTTCGTTCTGGAAGGGCTCGATTCGAGCGAGAACGGCGGGAATGGAGTATGTGAGGGTTGGGGTGGGAATAGAGGAGAATTGACTAGTGCTGCTGCTGCCCCCACCTAGGAGTTGGAGGAGTCGGAGACGAGACTGCCACCATGGTTCCGAGGGGGTGTTCTCGGCGATGAAATTCATGTAGGTTGGCTTGGGCGGCTGGAGGGCGCGGTATGTGGAGTAGGATTCCGAGAGGGACTCTCGTGCGGCTGGCGAGGACTCAAGGACGGAGAGCACGGTATCCAGATAGTATGATAAGAGATCGTCGGCATATTGAGTTAACTGTAGTGATTGATTAGATGCGCAAATTTCACGAGAGGAAAGGGGAGGGGGAGCTCACATTCTTCGAGAAGACGAGGTGTTCAAGATACTCTTGCACCGCATTCGGAGCTCGCTCCTTGAGCAAGCCGACGACGTCCCCAGGCTCCAGTTTGACTCGACTGGTGTGGTCCGCGAAGACTTGAATACCAAGGCTTGGGTTTCGCTGAGCCAGCCAGGACCCATACTCCTCCACAAGCTGCGCATCCTTGATTTTGACCAAGTATCGGCGCATCTGGGTCTCAACTCCGGCCGGAGACATTTCACCACCGATATCCTCCTCGCCTTCAGTAATCCGCCGCCACGTCTTCAGCACATTGCCCGACATCTTTTGACTTTGGTACAGACGACTCAGGATGAATAACCGCTTGTAACTCTCTAGAAGGGCTACAGCCCGATCGAAGTTCCCTTTCCAATTGTCAACGAGCCGGTTCAGCTCAGCTCGCACCGAGGAAGTCGAGCGCTGTTCAGGCGTGAACTTTGAGTCTTGCTCGAGAAGTAGATGCAGGAGAGCCCCGTCAACACTGTCGAAAACATATGTCTCGTCTGTGATACTTCCGTATCCCCGTTTCTGCTGCCATGAAACCAAAAAGCGTTTCACCATATTCAAAATGTCACTGTCAGAAGTGGCATCCCTAGCAGATTCGTCCTTTTCCTCCCGTTGGATGTACATTTCCACAATATCTGCAAGCCCGGCGTGGATCCAGATTCCCTGAGGGCCCTGTAGTACCTCGCAGCGAAGGAGAGGAACCAGTAACAAAGCTATACGGGGGTCCAGATTTCCATCCGTAAGTGCCTTTTCTGTCATTTTGATCGTAGTGGCTTCATGTCGGTGCGCTGGGTCCATGAAAACTAGATCGCCGAAAAGGAGCAGGCTCGACTTTTGCTTGATGTAATTCAATCCTAAGAATTCAGCCTCCGATTTGGGCTCGGATCCTTGGACCAATTCAATGATGTCTATGATAACATCGCGGTCCAAGACCTTGTGTTCATTGTCCCCGGGAATCTGGGCGTTACCTAGCGCATTGTCAAGCTGAGTGGTTAATGGGTTTCTCACAACCCGCCAGATAGTGTTCCCTGACCACATTATCAAGCTACTTCGAGCCTTGCCCAGGTCGCGGGCGATCTTGGCCTCTTCGGCATTTCGTTCCGCTTCCCAACCACCAGATTTATCCTTCTTGGCGCCATCAGGGTCAGGTTCAAAAAGTTCTTTTTCTTTCTGCAGCTGTTCGATAGATGCCTGAGTCCGGGGGTCGACTACCGGGGTGTGCGGAGATAATGACGGCGTCTTCAAGCGAATCATCTGCATTGATTTCCCCAATTCATGTACCTCCAGTTGACTCGGGCTGATTGTATGCGCAAGACCAACATGAGGAACTTGCACGTCCTGGGAGGGTATCTCTACCCAGCTTTTTTGGCTCTCGGCCTCTGCTGGGTCGGCATCCCATGGTTGCACTTCGATGCGTTTGCGCCGGTTTCCGTCTTCGTTGGTCTCCATCACGGCGAGGATGAGCTCGTCACTAGTGTCATCAGGGGCTTGGATTAAGTTGTTTTCGTCGCCCTTGTCGATGACAAGCGACTCTGGATATCTGTGGAACGTGATCGTGCCGCGGTCCACGTCACCATCCATGTTGACGAACATCCCAACACCTGGCTCCGTTGTGTCCGTTCCTCTAACGAGCAAGAATTCCGAGGGAGTAGGAGAAAGAACATGCGGCTTCAGCTGTGTTGACTGTTTTGGTAATGCCGGGAGTTGCTTCGAATCATCACTAGGTCTAGACTGCTGCTCGGAGGATACTCTAGGCGATGCACTGGCCCCTCGCTCTCTCGATCGTGATCGAGTCGGCGTCCCCGAATCCGGAGACAATTCAGGCGTCCCGGAGCTTGACCGATCTTGAGGGCCCGGGTGTGCAGTCGGGTGCAGCATGCCTGCTAGTGTATTCAGGCTAGAGCTCCTGTTGTGCGAATGGTTTTCAGTCGGCGGAGAGCTGGCGAGTGGAGGTGGTGATGATGCTTGCGGTATGTCCTCCACCTGCCCGGATCCGAGGGCTTCATTCAAGAATGAAATGGGAAACAGGGGGATCTTTTGTTGATGTTCCACGTCGAGTAGCGAGTAGGTATGTCCATCAGCGGCGCAGGAGATTATGCCCCTGCGCGACGCCACCAAGCAGCCCGGAAATTCGATATTCCTCCGCAGTCGAGCCCCGTCACCGATCCTCACCAACATGATTTTATTCTGGGCACCGATCATGATCACGGGATCTTCCTGATCCTCGGGATCCGCATTCAGATCAAGACCTCCGATCCAGTGACAATTATGAACCTTGGTGTTGCCGAAAGCCGGGCTGAGCTCCGGTAACATGTAGAAAGTAACCGTCCCATTGCAGAGCACACATGCTTTGTTCGCAGTCGGCAGAAGAACGATCCGCTGGATACCGGGTGGATTGAAGGTTGCTTGCGAGTTCTGAGCGAAAGGGATAGGTAGTCTCGAAGCTAGGATGAAGGACGATTCGTTTGAGATGTCCGAGGGATCCGGAGGAAGGCAGACGAAATGTAAGATCTCCGCGGCGGAGGTTCCAATGTATAGATTGTCATCTAGCAATGAATTGGTTAGCAATCATGAAAAGGGATGGGTTGAATAGCTTCCAGGCTGAGAAACGCACTCCAATACTCGACACAGGTAATGTAAACATCATCATTGGGATCGTCGGCCATCAGAGGTACTTGATCGAATAAAGGTCGCAACATATAAGGGGCAGCTTTGGGAGGGCCAATCCTCCGCCTTTTGCGGGGACTGGTACCGTCATCTTCAGACACCATGGTGAGACCAGCTCCGGTGTCTCTCTCAGGTCACGGCGAGATCATGGATGAGTGGAACGTTGCCTGCGGCTGCGGAGCGAACGGCGGGAGTCTGGAGGGCGGCCTCGTAAGTGGACCCGGGGAGGTTTAGCGTCGCTGACTCAGGCGGAGGTGCCTGGCCCGGATCGGTTTAGCGTAGTCTACACGTGCTTGGAAGTTTACCGTATCTCACTATAGTTATCTATAGACATAGCCAGATCATATACTCATTGTGGATTCTGTGCTCTTTCCTTTCTGCTTTTGCGATTGGTACAGGTAGGTAGGCGAATACACTGAAAGCCCACTACTGTTGATCCAACCAATAACACCTAATAGGCCTAGCATTTCACCGAAATGTATCAGTTAACAACTACTATTGTGGACCCTTGAGTAATTGAGAGGCCAAGACAAAAGAGAATACGAAAATCGCATGTTGCATATTCTCCTGTAGTATGTTACATCGAGTGTATGTACTCTTTGATATGATGTCATGTGCACTACGGAGCACTCTTAGATCGCCGATGTATCGGTGGCACGTGATGGGCACTTGCAATTGCAGTGTACACAATCGACAGGTCACATCAGATGAACTGTACCAGTCTCTCCTCTCTAATAATATACCACAGATAATCCCCTAATTTATCAAGACCCCTGGTGGAGGGACCGACTTCAATCTAAACATAGACGGGCTGACGCGGTCGGAACATCCTCGGCCCGGGTCTCGGCCTCCGTATCGCATGAACTGGCGACTCCGTGGCTCTGGTGGCCTTCCTCCCCTCCGCTGAGGTGCTGAAGTTCGTTGGTTCTGTTTCTTGATGGGGGCGCTACTCTGATTATCCAGGTCTGGAAAGCGAAGTCTAAAAAAGTCGAAAATCCGAGATTCTCCACAGAATGGATACGTTCCACATCACGGAGGGCATGGTGCCTGAAGATGGACACGACGCCGAAAAGGACAACGCCGCAAAGCTACCCGAGGGTGCGAACAAGTTCCAACGTGCGATCGCGGCTTGGAGAGGTATGTTTTCTGAAGTCGCCTTGTCGTTGGAAAGGAGTATGAGAAGGTCTAACAATTATTCTCTCCAGGAATCGACCTGACCAACACCGTCGCGAAATTGGACAGTACCGCCTCGGACATTGTCTCCCAGCAGCGTGATGCGCTTGTGCAAAGGAAGGATCTAGCCCAGAAGACCAAGGATTTCAGAAAGCTAGAGGATGCGGCCAAGTTATCGGAATACAAGGGACTTTTGAAAGGTAACAATCACATCAACGCGGTTTTTATTCAATCGCTTGCGGAGCCGGCTGACACCATCTGCATCCAACAGCCTACCAAGGATTCATCGATACTTTGACAAATCAGGGCAAAGCCTCGTCATCCGCCTTCCTACAACTCTATTCCTCCCTATCCGAGGCCCCCGACCCCTATCCTCTTCTCGAAACGTCCGTGGATTCCCTTGTTCACTCCGAAGAGACGGTTCCTCGATTGACCTCTGAGCGGGACCAACTACAAGACTCCGTCGACCGACTTACCTCCCAGCTAGAGGACACCGAGCGGCGACTTGAAGAAGAGCGAACTGCAAGGAAGAAGCTGGAGGATAATCAAGAAACGAAGATCAAAGAAATCGAGACGTCCTGGTCCGCCGTGCTGTCGGAGAAATCCAACAATTGGACCGCAAAGGAGAAGAGCTTGGAGGAGAAGGTCGAAAACCAAGAACGTTTGCTGAAGGAACTCAAAGCGAGCTACGAGGTATCGCAACGCCTGGGCCAGGACGATGATAGCGGCAACGCTTCGCAACAAGGCGCTACTGCGGCGGAATTGGAACTGGTGTCCGCCGATTTGGAGAAGGCCAGCCTCAGGCTAGCGGAGGTTGAGGCTCGAAACGAGCAGTTGAGGCTTGAGCTGGCTCAAGCTGTATCGCACTCTCAACCCGAGCAGACCACTTCCGTCGAAGACGATCCCGCATATCTCCGTCTCCAGTCGGAGAACTCGTCGTTGTTGCGCAAATTGGATGCCGCGCGGTTCGACAAAGATTCCCAGCGACACTCATGGGAGTCCAAGATTTCTCATTCTGAGAGGCAATTCACTAAAGCAGCCGCTGAGCGGGACGAGTTACGGACAAAGTTGGAGAAGGTGGCTGATTATGAAGATATTCGTCGAGAGCTGGAGATGATCAAAGTAAGTCACATGACAATGACCGTGGCCCGCATTTGCTAACCTTCGTGTCTAGTCTATCGAATTCGCAGCGGGTGACGATGACGATGCAGGAGATGTCACGGATGCTGCAGGAAGCCCTAACGGCGCGGCGACCAAGTCGAAGGAGGACTCCAAAAACAACACCCTAGAACAACTCCTGTTAGCCAGAAACAAGAAACTCACAGATGAGCTGACTCTTTTGCGGGTATCCCATCGCGACCTTCAAGGGCAGCTTGAAACTCTTCGCGATGATCTGTCGATAACCAAGCAAGAATTGGAAAAGTCGCAAAAGCTCTCCACAACCCTCGAGAATGATCTTCTGCACGTCCAGCAAGAGGCTGTGAACACCTTCCCCTCGACCGCCATGTCGGTCGCAGGCACCTACACGTCGAAGTATCACACATCTCGGCGGGGTGCGACGTCGCCGACGTCGTCCATCATTTCAGGATTCGACCAGGGAGCGAATTCGGCTAATACGATGGATTCCATCCGCGCCGGCGAGCCTGTCGGTGGGGGGTCTGGTATCTTACCTATGATTCAGGCCCAGCGGGATCGCTTCAAGAAGAAAAACACCGAGTTGGAGGAAGAGCTGTCGAAGATGTACGATTCCGTTAAGTCTCTAAGACAGGAGGTCTCCTCCCTTCAAAAGGATAACCTCAGTCTTTACGAGAAAACCCGTTATGTATCAACATACAACCGCGGCCCAGGAGCCTCGACATCTGCGTCTTCCTACGGCAGCAGGCCCAGCGCATCCTCCGTGCACCTCTCCGCAGACACCCCATCCGGACTCTCGCTCGACCGCTACCAGTCTGCCTACGAGGCCCAGATTTCGCCATTCGCCGCGTTCCGAGGTCGCGAATCCGCACGTGCCTATAAACGGATGAACCTCCCTGAGCGGATTGTCTTCTCTCTCACAAGAATCATCCTGGCCAATCGCACCAGTCGCAACCTGTTTGCGGGGTACTGCTTTGCCATCCACATTCTCCTCTTCAGCATGCTCTACGTCATGAGCAACATGGACATTGAAAAGCACAGTGCAAACCTTGCGACTGCTGCTGCCGTCGGCGGGGTCGGAGCCGGAGGTGGTAGAGGTTATCCAGGGGGACAGGCCGTCAACGGAGATGATTGGCAGCAAGAGGGTTTCAACCATGTAGGGTAACTGCATAAATTGCGTTACATTACACCGTGGTAGGTGGTATTCCTTTTGAAGTCCTTGCACTACCTTACGGCGTTTGGGCGGTGGGGGTCATAATTATCCTGTTTTCATATTATTGGTGTACCTGTATCTATTCGATTCTGGACTGGACTTGTAGCTGTAGCCATTTATTTTGTTCTATTCTAGGAGCTACTTTAAATTAGAGCACCGTTTTCTTCAGGAAGATCTTCTTCCCCTCCGTGGTTGGTGACTTCTGCAGACAAGTGGGTTCCCAGCCCGACTTGCTAATTCGGTCGCGCCTTATTGACCAGCTTACACTTATAGACAGTGCTGCCTTGACGCCAATTTTAGCGAGCGTAGTGTCTGTATATTTTTAGGAGGAATATCCAATAGAGTTTGCCAGTGCGGTTATCTGAGCGTTCTGTAGCTCTCGGCCCTATGGCAGAATGAACCTCGGCGTGTCTGATGTCCCAGAGATCGTAATACTTACTAGACAATGAGAAGAGGGGAAAAAAGGGCAACAATAAATGCCAATTAATCGATCAATGCAAAAAAAAAAAAAAAAAGATAGATTATGGAAAATGAGAGGACAAACAAGAACCACCCCGGCGATTGTTGAGAATGAGCGACATGCGTGATAATCTGGCTAAGCATTATTGAGCTACACGAATTGTCCACTAATACATCTAGCAGGCTTCTAAAGCATACCGGCGGACCATAATTGGCAATACCATGGAATAGTCCTATCATTCATCTGAATACTATTAATATCGTTCCCCGCTTTTGACTCTGCCAAATGACCCAAGCTCAAATGAGGGGGTGATAAATCCCCGAGATGCTGTTCTGCACACTAACCGCCATGGGCAATCCTTAAGCGCCGACCTGGTTATTTTTGGATATCGACACCGACCGGGAGATTTAAATGCAGCCTGGACGAATGAATGCTCACCCGGTTTCTCCCCACTTGGCCACCCTGGCAAATAACCAGCAATCAAGTCCCAGCAAGCCAATCACGACACCACAAGTGCAATCTTCAGCAGTACCAGCCGCCTAGATATCCCTCCTGTTTCGCGTGGCACACCGACTAGCATTATCTGCCGTGAAGTCTGAAGGATTCCCACCAGCGCATACCGAGATCCAATGAGGAAGCTCGATCTTCCATGGTCGTGGTGGGCGGCTTCAGGGATCCTCTCACTCGAGACTGTTTATAGATCCTACATTACAAGTTTCGAATGCAGCATAGTCGTTTCTATTATTTGCAACTGGGCGTGCTCCAGGAACCGGACGTGATGCTTCCTCTCCTCTGGCTATATATGCATGGCTGGTGACCGGGTGCATGTTGATCTTTTTCTTTTTTCCTCCTCCCAGACCTCTCTCGCCTCTCTGCTCTCCTTGATCTTGCTATCCTTAACCCTCCTTCTCTTGTCTGTCGGCGCGTCACTTTTGATACCCATTGTCTTCTGATTTCTCAATTTTATTCATCTGCCGTACATCCACGGGAACGCGTTACTTCGTTGTATCCGTTCTTAATTCACCAGACATTCCTTTACGTTTCTCTTCTCTACCGTCAGACTTGGACAGGCATCCGGCATGCGTCCAACTCTTCTATTTATCACTTGCCTGGCAGCAACGTCCATTGCGGCGCCAACTCTCTTCGACCATGCCTACGATTACTCCGACGACATGGCCTCGTTCCTAGGGAAAGTGAGCAAGCACATCGACAATCTCATGGACATCATGGACTCTTCGACGACGTGTGATGCGTCTAAAATTGCGCTACCATCCTTTGCCTCGGAGCTTCCCTCCCCATCTGGCCTAAAGCCCCTTTATGTTGCAGTAGGTCGTGGTACACAGGTATGTCAAACACGCAGCAAACAACTCCTCCTCCCAGCCACCGCGGCTAACAATCAGAGTAGAACTATACCTGCGCGTCATCCTCGTCCGACTCGAAGCCCGAAGCTGCCGGCGCCGTTGCCCGCCTCTACAACGCCACCTGTATCGCGGCAAACTACCCCGACATGATCGAGATGCTCCCTAGTATCGTGTACAAAATGCAGTTGCCGAACAACGACGTAGACGCTCTTCCCCCGGCAAATATTGAGCTGCTCGGTCATCACTACTTTTCGGGCACAACGCCGGTCTTCAACTTTGATCTTGCTTCGACGCGACATGGGATCGCGTTCACGAAGAAGGGCGCTGAGATCGATGCCCCGTCTAGTGCTGTCAAGGGAGGCAATGGCGCCGTTGCGTGGCTCTATCTGCCGACTGTCAATGGGACGGTTGGTAAGTTCAAGAGTGTTTATCGGGTGGATACGGCGGCGGGACAGGCCCCGAAGACGTGCGAGAATATGCCGTCAGAGTTTACGGTGCAGTACGCTGCCAACTATTACTTCTTTGAGAGGTGATGGGGGTGAGGGAGGGCATTGTTGTACAGAATATATATTGGGCGTTTTTCATTTATATCACAACGGATGGACATATTGATGACTGGTATGACCTATACAGTTGATACTGAGTGTCCAGCAGTAGCACACGCCCTGTAGACCAGTAGATCACCAACAATGGAGGGATACTGATGCTATATCACTGATGACAGGAGCCAATTGGAGCAGGGCTTGCCCAAGTCAGGTGACCTCGCTATCCGGGCCTAATCACCCTAGTCCCAGCCCGGACTAGCGCATTCTGATTTTCAAAGATCCCCAAGTCTCCGTCTGAAAAATCTCGACCGCAACAACGACAAGCTATACGGCCTCGACCGAACACTGAAAGTCAGTGCGGGTGCGATTTTTTCTTCGTTGCAAAAAGCTGCTTTTCTTAGTGCCTGTGGTGCTTGTCTAACGGTTCTGCCGCTCCCGACCGGATACCTTTCTGCCGAATTTTTTTTTTTTCCCTCGCCCGAAAACTTCTCTTCCGTCGCTACTCCTTCAGTTACGGAATCCTTTCTCCTTTAATCTCTCAACCCTTCGATCAATCTCAATCTACATAACATAATGGCTTTCGGTGGACCTCCCCGAGGACGTGGTGGACCTCCTGGTCGTGGTGGTGGACGTGGTGCCCCCCGTGGAGGTGGTGGCCGTGGTGGTCGAGGTTTGTTCACGATCAAGTCCATGCTTGGGAACGGTATCCAGGTCAATCGATTATCAGCATTATCGCTTTCAGTATCGGCCGTGATATCTGAGCCTACCGACTGGGCCAGTTTCATCGTGTTGTGATGTTCAGCATTTGCGTTGAAGACGTCGAGTCCTGTGACGGTCCCCTTTGGGAATCGGAGTTGCTAACGAGGTCTCTTCACCATCCTTAGGCGGTCTTGGAATGGGTCGCGGTGGTCCCCGTGGCGGTGGCCGTGGCGGCGGCCGTGGTGCTCCCCGTGGTGGCCGTGGTGCTCCTCGTGGTGGACGTGGTGGTGCTCGTGGTGGTGCCCGTGGTGGTGCTAAGGTCGTTATTGTAAGTGACACTGACTCTCTGGATTTTCGCGAAGCTTTGTAGATGAAAAAACTAACATGGATGTGCTTCTTTAGGAGCCCCACCGTCACGCCGGTGTCTTCGTTGCCCGTGGCGGTAAGGAAGATTTGCTCGTCACCAAGAACTTGACCCCCGGTGAGGCCGTCTACGGCGAGAAGCGCATTTCCGTCGAGTCTCCTCCCCAGGAGGACGGTGCCGTGACCAAGACCGAATACCGTGTCTGGAACCCCTTCCGTTCCAAGATGGCTGCCGGTATCCTGGGTGGTCTGGATGAGATCTACATGAAGCCTGGCGCTAAGGTCCTGTATCTCGGTTCCGCCAGCGGTACCTCCGTCAGTCACGTTGCTGATATCGTCGGACCTACCGGAAACGTCTACGCCGTTGAGTTCTCTCACCGTTCCGGTCGTGACCTGATCGGCATGGCCACTCACCGTACCAACGTCATCCCCATCGTTGACGATGCTCGTCACCCTCTCCGCTACCGCATGCTCGTGCCCATGGTGGACGTCATCTTCGCCGATGTTGCCCAGCCCGATCAGGCCCGTATCGTGGGTCTTAACGCCCACCTGTTCCTCAAGAACGAGGGTGGTGTCATCGTCTCTATCAAGGCCAACTGTATCGACAGTACGGCCAAGCCCGAGGTTGTGTTCGCTCGCGAAGTCCAGAAGATGAGAGATGAGAAGATCAAGCCCCGGGAACAGTTGACCCTGGAGCCTTTCGAACGTGACCACTGTATAGTCGCTGGTCTTTACAAGCGTTCTGCATAAAGGGTTTGCTTAAAAATGGTGGTCTGATTTTTTGTTCTCATGTCTTAATCATTTCTTGTGATCTCTATTTTTTTTTTTCTGGCGTCGAGTGTTCCGTGATATGTCGAAATGCTTTCTCTTTTCTTTGTGTGTGATCCCAATTCAAGGTTCTAAATGTATTTTTGCTTGACTCAGAAAATTTCCAACATGTCATTTCTTTTTCTTAATCTTGGAGTATCAGACGAATTGCGACAGGTCTTGCAAATTGCCTGCGCCACCTACAAGTGATCGTGCGATCCTTCGAAGGATCTTTACGAGCAGGCAATTCGGACTTCCGCCGTAGCTCGGCAGTCGGATTAGTCTCCGAGAACATGTCATCGGATTTGTTGCGGAGTGTTCAACTAGGCGAAAGGAACTGCGAATGAATCAACCACGATGGACTCGAAGACCGAGACGAGTGGGGGATTATTTTGAACCCCGCAGTTGAGGATAATCACGATTATTTAAAGCCTGGTAGACGTGCGCAGTGCTGCGTAGCCGCAAGACTCATTCAAGATTTGGGCATAGTAACTTCGTCTACGCAAACTTCTGAACTACTCTCTACACTACTGAAGAAACTCACCTTGTCATCATGTCGATAATCATCACCGGGGCCAGCGGTTACGTCGGACAAGAGCTAGCAGCGGCCCTTCTATCCAGCTCGCCCGATGTTACAGTGACGCTCACAGACGTGATCGAGCCCGAAGTGCCTGCCTCAGCAGCAGCCCATGCATCGCGCGTGAAGCGCATCCAAGCGGACCTGACGAACCCCAGCGTCATCGAGGAGCTCTTCACGCCCACCCAGCGCTTCGACACCGTCTATCTCCTTCACGGCATCATGTCCAGCGGTTCCGAAGCGAACTTCGAGCTCGGCATCCGCGTCAACCTCGACGCCACACGCCTCATCCTTGACCGTCTCCGGACCACCGCCCCAGGCACCAAAGTTGTCTTCACATCCAGCCTGGCCGTGTATGGCCTCGCGCCCCCAGGCCTCCTCATCGACGAGGGCAACTTCCCACCCATCCCGTCCTCCTCGTATGGCTCGCAGAAACTCATCATCGAGACCCTTCTCAACGACTACTCCCGACGCGGGTTCCTCGACGGCCGCAGCGTCCGCCTTCCCACCGTGACCGTCCGCGCGGGCAAACCCACGCAAGCAGCGAGCAGTTTCGCCAGCGACATCATCCGCGAGCCGTTCCACGGGAAGAGCGCCGTGCTGCCTGTCAGCCGGGCGACCGAGTTATGGATCTGCTCGCCGTACACGGTGGTAAGGAATCTGCTGCGGGCGCGCGAGATCCCGGCCGAGGCGTTTAGTGGGGAATCGCGGTCGGTCAATTTGCCTGGGTTGAAGGTCAGCGTGCAGGAGATGTTAGATGCGTTGGAGAAGATCGGGGGCAAGGAGAGACGGGCGCTAGTGAGGGAGGAGTTTGATGCGGATATCGATCGCATCGTGCAGACGTGGACGCCGCATTTTAATACGGCACGGGCGCTGAGGTTGGGGTTTTCGGAGGATGTGTCGATGGAGGAGAATATTCGGCAGTTTGCGAGGGCTTTTGAGTAGTTCCATATGTGAATGTGATCCATGATGTAGTAGGATAGTGTGTGAGAATTAATGGAATGGATTGCGTTGGCAGCACGAAAGCATAGAGTAGGGAGTAAGATATACTGAGGGAAAAGCCGGGTAGGAAACAGTCGGGAGGGAACGCCGGTTTGGAAAAGCGGGTCATGTGATTGGCTGACGGGCAGGCGAACAATTTGACTCCCGAACTTCAACCTCGCAATCTCCAGGGCTGCCCGTTCTAACAGCCGTTGCTTTTGCTTCATCCCTCCCTCCCCCTCTCCCCCCTTCTCTCATATCTCCATTTAATTCCTCTTCACAATGGCCTCCCGGCGCCTAGCATTCAACCTTAACCAGGCTCTCCGGAGCCGGGCTGCCTTGAAGGCTGTCCAGCCCGTGAAGCGTGGCTTTGCGTCCCCCGTCAAGCTGCCCTCCACCACCCAGTCCACCACCCTCTCGAACGGCTTCACGGTAGGCGATTCATGGACAGAAAAGGGTTCAATTGCGTCGCAGGCTTGCTGATTGATTGGTTTAGATCGCCACTGAGCACTCCCCTTGGGCGCAGACCTCGACCGTTGGTGTCTGGATCGATGCCGGTAGCCGGGCAGAGACTGACAAGACCAACGGAACCGCACACTTCCTGGAGCACCTTGCTTTCAAGGTATGACTTGGTCTCATGGTTGAATGAGGTCTTTGTACTCACGTTTATTTCTATCTAGGGCACCAACAAGCGCACCCAGCACCAATTGGAGTTGGAGATCGAGAACATGGGCGGTCACCTCAACGCTTACACTTCGGTACGCCCGGAAAATCCATCCTGATGAGACAAATACCTATGCCATTGACCACTGACCACGAATTGCATTAAATAGCGCGAGAACACCGTTTACTACGCCAAGTCCTTCAACAACGATGTCCCCAAGACCGTTGACATCCTCTCCGATATCCTCCAGAACTCCAAGCTCGAGCCCGGTGCCATTGAGCGCGAGCGTGATGTGATCCTCCGCGAGCAGGAGGAGGTTGACAAGCAGCTGGAGGAGGTTGTCTTCGACCACCTGCACGCCACTGCTTACCAGAACCAGCCCCTCGGTCGTACGATCCTCGGCCCCAAGGAGAACATCCAGACCATCTCCCGGGACAACCTGGTCGACTACATCAAGACCAACTACACCGCCGACCGTATGGTCCTGGTCGGTGCCGGTGGAATCCCCCACGAGCAGCTCGTCCGCCTCGCCGAGGAGCACTTCGGCAGCCTCCCCAGCCAGGCCCCTACCTCTGCGGCTCAGGCTCTCACCGCTGAGCAGAAGCGTGTCCCCGAGTTCATCGGCTCCGAGGTCCGTCTCCGTGACGACACCCTGCCTTCTGCCCACATCGCCCTCGCCGTTGAGGGTGTCAGCTGGAAGGACGACGACTACTTCACCGGTCTCGTCGCCCAGGCCATCGTCGGTAACTGGGACCGTGCCATGGGCAACTCCCCCTACCTCGGCAGCAAGCTCAGCTCCACCGTTGAGCACCAGGGTCTGGCCAACAGCTTCATGAGTTTCTCGACCAGCTACAGCGACACTGGGTGAGTTTCCTCCTTTCTACTTCATTCCACACATGACATGAAACTGACCGATTAGTCTCTGGGGTATCTACCTGGTCTCCGAGAACCTCACCCGCCTCGACGACCTGATCCACTTCACCCTCCGTGAGTGGTCTCGCATGTGCTTCAACGTCACCGCCGCCGAGGTCGAGCGCGCCAAGGCCCAGCTGAAGGCCTCCATCCTCCTCTCCCTGGACGGCACCACCGCCGTTGCCGAGGACATCGGTCGCCAGATCATCACCACCGGCCGCCGCCTGTCCGCCGAGGACATCGAGCGCACGATCGGCCAGATCACCGAGAAGGACGTCATGGAGTTCGCCATGCGCCGCATCTGGGATCAGGACGTCGCCCTGAGCGCCGTCGGTAGCGTCGAGGGTATCCTCGACTACCAGCGTATCCGTGCGGACATGAGCCGAAACACCCTGTAAACGCGGAATTGTTGTGTATGTTTAATCTTATACATTTTTGCTTGCGTCTCAGAGTTACGGAATTTTCTCTTTTTCTTTTTTCTTTTTTTGATATTGGTGATTGATTTAATAGATCGAAGATGATGGGGGGAAGGAAACGTTAGTTGAGGTAGCGTGTCTTGTACAGTATCAACTGTCGCTGATATACTCAAAACTTGTATTTTTGTTTGTTTATTCTTTCTTTTAACCGTAGGAGTGAGTACCTTATGATTTACCTAACCTACAGTATCCACCCACCATCACGCCACAGGAGAGAAAAAAAATGGAAGGAAAAAAAATCGTTATAGAATGCCTAAGGAACGAAAACCCCGAGAAAGAAAGCTAAGGGAACCAGCCCATCCATCCATCCATCCATCATAACCAAACCAAAAAGAGTGACTCAACCCCCCCATAAGATACTATCTCCGAGCTAGGTAAGAGGAATTAATAAGTTCCATTCGCAGTCGGATACGCCATCCCAGCAGGAGCCTGATACCCAGCCGCTCCCGAGGCCTTCTCAATCTTCTCCGACTGCGCCTCGGTCTCCTTATCCTGCTGCATGAGCACGCAGCACGGACAGCAGCACGCCGCCATACAGTCCTTGCAGCCGTTTCCTTCGATGCCGAATCGGTCGCGCATCTGGCCGCGCTTCAGCATGAGGAGGATCCAGTAGAATCCAACGTAGGAGGTTAGGGCGTAGAGGCAGCACTATCATTTTTGGGGTTCCTGTTAGTATGGGTTTAGGTGTAGTTTTGGGAGGAGGAGGGATCGTACGCTTCCATTCATATGACTGTATTCCTTGAGCGCGGGGTCATCCAATCGCGAGGATACCTTTCCGTAGAGGAAGCAGGGACAGCAGCTTGCTTTCATGCCTGGTTTGATCTGTTAGGTCGTTGCCATTGCCATTGCCATTGGGAGGGAATGGGGACTGTGAGGTAGTAGGTATACGTACATGTTCCGAACGGGGAACAGCAGCTCCAGAACCCAGCGCTCCATTCATGTCGGTGTTCTTCGTGTTCTTCGGGGGAGCCCATTGTGTAGATAGTGTTTTTTTTTTTTTTGGTAGGGTGTGTTGATCGATATTAAGGTAGGTAGTCGGTACTATACTGTTTACTGTAGTATAGTAGTGTAGTGTAGTGTAGTGTAGTGATATGATATGATATAATAAAAGAGCGACAAATTAAACAATCAAACCAGATCTACCAAGCAAAGAGAAAAAAAGAAGATCCAAAAACCAAGAAATCCAACTGACAGCCCGATCATCCTTTAAATAATACGCCCAGGTCCGGTCCAACTCTAAAAAAAATCAAACGTAAAAAGAAAAGGAATTCCAGAAAGGAGAGCATAACAAACGAGCCAGCTCGAAAATGGGGCCAAAGACAGGTAAAGCGAACCATCGACTAAGCAGGCAGGGCTCTACATCTGTACGACGTAGCCTAACGGGGGCCAAATTGACGTTCGGAGGCACGCTAAACGAGACAAGACTTGAGCTAGCCCAGCCTGCTGTTTCTAGTTGACTTGAATGCTAACGCTTACGGGCTGACCTGAAAGAATTGGAGTTTATGATTGCATTTAAATGCCGACCTTGCATAAAGGGGATTGGGATTGTTTGTTGGAATGTTGTCTGTTTATCTAGGTAGGTGAAAAGGTGGAAATGAACCCAAGGATCGGCACTACCTAAAGCGAAGCTAAATAGCCACCAGCCTCGTATTGGATGCCTAGATCGAGGCTCTCAGGAGTAAGGTTTTTCTTGTCAACCGATTTTCGAGTCTGTTCCTGAGGCTGTGGTCCGTCAGAAAAGTCGCTAGCTTGGTGGGAACCCACTTATTACGAGAAGATGCAGAATATGGTACAGGACAGGCAAGCGATACGGAGAAACGCCACTCCGACATCATCACGTTTTTCTGATGCTTGACGACGTTTAGGTGAAGGATTCAAAACGACTCCGTAGAGAATAATCTACCAATAGTCGTCGTGCTGCAGACTTATAATGAAGAAGTCTATGTAATCCAGGGCGGAGACTTTCTTTTTTCCCTTTCATTTTTTTTAGGTATATTTCTTTCTTTTGGTTTGATGTTGTAGAAAGAAAATGTTATCCTTAATCATAGCAAATGACAGTTACATTGTCTTCTTTAAAAACGGAATAATAGGCACTTTTGCAGTTTTCAGATTGCAAGTGAAGGAACGATGGGGCTGTTCCTGACAGTTCGTACAGTGTAGGCAGATTCATCCGATCTCTTGTGCTTGACTAGCAAGCCTTCTGGTGTCGTGAGCGTACAAGATAGGGGGTTGCAGTGGATGATCAAATGGATGAACTTAACCAATTTAATCAAATGACATGATCAAGACCAGGTCTCCTCGACGGTGCGAGAGTAGCTTCTTCACAGCATCTTGGACTTCCAACTGACTGTATCCAGCAAGGGCCATAGTAGCGGCTAAGTACAGGGAGGGTTTCCGGTAAAAAAACCCCGTTGTTGACCATCGCATGTCACCCAGTGATAAAGAAGAGACTTGCCAATTATCCTCAAAAAATCCAGAAAGGTATGATAATCGTAGCTCTTTGCCGTCTGCGCTTGTACCCACTTTTCTATGGGAGGAAGACGATGAAGACCTAGGAGCTTGTAATCCTGGTTGGCTTGTTGGTTGGCTTGCAATCTGTAAATTACCTCCCTCTGGAGGGAAAGCTTGTGCTTGCGGTCTGACGATCCTTCGAGGAAGGCTCGAATCCAATGCACGAGAGCACGGTGTTCCTGGCTTGTTTCTTCACGTGGTTTTGATTCGAAGTAAACGTTGATTAAGTCATTCAACGTCCCAGGTGAGATCGGTTCGCGCAAGGTTGAGCCATATTCCCCCGTCGCTTTGGGGTACTGCTTGTTCTGTATTACGGGATGACGTTTTTCACAGGCTACAATTGTTGGGTGTTGACCATCTACAAACCCTGCGTTAAATCCCTTCCTGTGTCGGTTTGGGTGCAGATCTGTCCCTATGACCTGAGTCAACCATTTTTTCTCTGGTTGAGTGACATCTTCCGCTTCACTCAAGGATCTCTGGGCCCTTCTCCTTGCTCAAGAGCTTCCGCAGCATTGTGGTGACGGGAGGTGTTCTGTTCTGCATACTTGAACCGTGTAACCACGAACCAACACTATGCGGAGAGTGAAGTGCACACAAGAGAAGCAAAGTGAAATTATTGTGAGTGAATGCATTTCACTCAGGAAATCATGGGTACAGCTGCCCCTCGCCCAACAGAAAGAGCCCAAGTTGTCTCAGCCACAAACGACGGGAACCTCCCACTTTGCAACTCCCAGCTATCACCACGCTGCCTCCCAAAATAACCGGATACTCTCCATTGCAAACTGCACAATATCTACATTCTCCTATTGTTGCCTGTCCATGCTCAGATAGCCAATCTTGAAGTCTTAAACAAAGAAAAATCCTGAAGCCTTGCGACCGAGTGAGTCCCCCAACCGCCATTTAAACCGTCTTGGAGACCGACAATCTGAAAGGGCATTCAGCTCACCTAACAAGATGACTGCACTAGAAGAGAATGCAGCGTTTTTGCCCATGGAGATCCTCGACTTGATCTTCTCCTACGTCGAGGAGATCGGCGACATTCATGACTGGTACCGGCTCAGCCTTGTCAACCACAGCTGGTATTCCGCCGCAATTCCACGACTCTACCACACCTTCATTAACAATGGAGAATTTAAAGACCGCGAGCGCCTCTGGCAGTTCATGCGAACGGTTGTCCAGGTGCCGAGCCTGGCTAAGTACGTCAAGGCGGTGGACTTGCAGCATTGTCTCAAGTACACCGGAATTCGTAGCGTGGCTCTTGCCAGGCGCCTGTGCGATGAATATCTCCCTGTTCTCCACCAGGGATTGTATGAATCGGGAATCGATTACTATGAGCCAGAGGAGACCTATGATGCACTACGACTCGACAATCGACGGCCCATTGTGGCCATGATCCTCGCCTGCGTGACCGAGATCGAGTCCTTGTACATGCATGCCACCTACGACGACAAATATCTTCGCGCCGTAGCAGAAAATGCGGTCATTCCTACGAATTCGGCATACTTCAGCAATGATGGGCGCAAAAAGTTCGCTTTCAAGCATCTGAAAAAATTGTGCCTGAACACGGACGATCAGCCATACGGCAACGTCCCCCTCCAAGTGGACCGCTATCAGCCGTTCATCTACTTCCCTCAGCTACGCGAGATGACTCTGCTGCGCACGTACCTCGACCCAAGTCTGTTCTCCTGGCAGCTGGCAGATGAAGCAAGCGCAATGACTCACTTGACCAAACTGACCATTGACCTACACAAGGAGACCCGGCTCGAAGACCTCCTGAAGTTCTTGGACAAGCGACCCCCATTGACCAGCTTGTGCGTCGACTTTAGCAGCATCCCTCAGTCCGAATGGGCTTTCCCCGGTCCGTCTGCGCTCTGGAATCGTCTAAGCGAGTTTAAAACAACGCTCGAGACCCTCGACCTGTATTGTCCCAATCTCGAACCAAACCGGCCTGATACCCCGAAATTTTGTCCCCCCGTGGCAGAATTCACCAAGCTCAAATCACTCAGTATCGGACCTGCCTTTCTCTTTGGTAACTGCAGGGACCATGATAAGCCTTACCAGCTCATGGAACATATTCCGCATGGACTGGACTTTCTTGGCCTCTATGGTGACCCGGGATCACATTGGCGAAATTGGGTAGTGCCACGGCGTATTTGGGCAGTGCCAGACGTGGAAGTTCAGCTGGAGGTTCTTGCCAAGGGGCGCGAGCCCAAGGTCATTCATGTCGAGGGCTGGGGAGGGAGGACCTTACCTATGCTACCAATCAAGAGGCTGAGGACTGTCTGTCGGCAAAAACGGATTGAATACAGAACTATTCATCTAGAGGATATGAACAGAGGAGGCTTGGGCTCGGAGTTTGCAAAATCTAGTTATAGACATGCGCGGCCGAATAGTCCCGGAATGGACCAAGTAATGCTCTAGTTTCTTGGGAACCTTTCGTCGCAAGAGTAGGGGCTCTGCTTACCGGAATTCTCTGTTGGCCGGATAGCAGCGTCACCTTTTGTTGAATTTAGGATGGTCCTTGGCAAGCTACCAGATTGTAAATAATTAATGCGGCATACTAGGCAACCTGAATACAAGAAATACGTCCAAAACATTTTCCATCGATCGTAAAAGATCAACAATCACTAAACCTTGCCGAGGCCAAAACCTATACTTGATCTGTTGAGCAGAAAGACGTTTTTGAAGATACGACAAGAGTATCATGATTTATTCCAATATGGCGATCCCCCGGAGTTATTACTCCTACTTCATCCCATCTTTTGGTTCCAACCGTCATGCTCCTCTCCACATTCTCGATGCGGCAACTTGAGCCACCGGTTACTCTCTGCATTGTCACGCACCAACAGATTAATAAATACTGCACATCGCCCTTCTTTCTCTTTCCGTTTCAATCATCTTTTTCATAATTTACCTTTATTCCTAATTATGGCACCTGGAGAACTTATCAACCATGTCGACGGGTGCGACCGATTCTCGAGTGATGCCATCAGCCATCCGCTCAAGTCCCACAGCAAATTGATCCATCCGCCATTTTCGAACCCTTCTTTACAGGTGACTGCAGACCATAATTTAAAACAAGTCGACGCTCCTGTGTACGCCCCGCAGGAAGGAGAGGTATTGTTGCAGATCAAAGCCACGGGGATTTGCGGGTATGCGACCGAAACCGAAGACATCATTCTCACAGTGTTGGTGGAGCTAATTGATTTGAATCTCAGGTCGGATGTTCACTTCTGGAAAACCGGTCGCATCGGATCTTTGGTTTTTGAGGGCGATTGTATAGTTGGACATGAAGCCGCGGGTGTTGTATTGAAGTGTGGTCCGGGGGTTAAGGGTCTATCACCTGGTAGGTGAATTGCTTTCTTATTATTATGGGATGTCGCTGATGTAGAAACAGGTGACAGAGTTGCAGTCGAACCCGGTGTTCCCTGTGCGAACTGCTTTCTGTGCAGCGAAGGCCGCTATAATCTTTGCGAAGATGTTCAGTTTTCCGGTGTATATCCCTACGCTGGCACGATGCAGCGATACAAAGTTCATCCGGCGAAATGGGTTCACAAGTACGTCCAATCCTCCATATTTTTCGCGCTCACAATGTTTCCTAACCGATGAATCAACCAGACTCCCCGATAACGTCAGCTACGCCGAGGGAGCTCTCCTCGAGCCTCTTTCCGTCGTCATGCACGGCATTCGCTCCGCAGGGCTAACTCTCGGACGAGGTGTGGTCGTCTGCGGTGCTGGTCCTATCGGTCTGATCGCCTTAGCAGCGGCGCGCGCATCCGGAGCCCATCCCATCGTCGTCACAGATCTCGAGCCCCGTCGACTAGCCTTCGCGAAAGAGTTCGTTCCGTCCTGTCTTACCTACCAGGTCGATACGTCACTAGACGCACAAGGCAATGCAGCTGGAATTCGAAAATTATTTGGTGAAGAAGAATACTTCGCCCCTGAAACTGTGCTGGAATGCACGGGCGTGGAGAGCAGTGTCTGCACGGCAGCGTACACGGCGCGCAGGGGCGGCACGGTCATGGTGATCGGGGTTGGGAAGGCGATTATGAACAACTTGCCGTTCATGCACCTTTCACTGGCGGAGGTGGGTTGCTGAATCCCCTATTTTGTCTTTTTGTTATCCATTGGTAGCCCGCTTACTGACAGTGGTTCCCAGATCGATCTGAGATTCATCAACCGCTACCGAGATACCTGGGCACCCGGAGTCACATGCCTGAGTGGAGGTATTCTGGACTTGAAGAAGCTAGTCTCGCATGTCTTTCCGTTAGAAAAGGCCGAAGAAGCTTTGCGATTTTCTTCAGATACTAAGAACGGGAGCATTAAGGTGTTGGTGGTGGATGAGGTCGAGGCGACTTTATAGTCTATGTATGAATAGACGGAAATTAAACGAAAATCAATAGAGAGGGCTTATAGATGATAATAGATTTTTGTGAAGTTTGCTTATGACCTATTTCTGTTTTCCCATGATGGCAAACTGCTCATTTGGTGGCATTGAATCTGTATGCGATTCGCAACGGTCTTTTTTTCATTTTCAACTTTCTTTCTTTCTCCCTTCTCCATTTTTCAACTTCCGTTTTCTCCTCCGCATTGATTACACACAGGGCCTTAAATTCGACCGAAAACAACCCAAAAGCACTATATTCCGGGCACAGTGCAAAAGAATCCCTGCTGAAGAAGGCATGAGGCTATTCCCAATTGCAAGGCTCAACGCAGCAAGTTTCATGATAGGTAGCGAGAAAAAATTCCACCGAAGCTAAGTCTAGGACATTCTTGTGTCATATCCCCACGAAAACGATTGACACGATCCCTTCCACCCCGGTCGGCGAATTTAACTTCGTCCCTGAGCCAAAATCCGGAATCTGGGGTAAAATTCAATCACTCCGTGGTGGACCCACGGCATCCCAACACGGTAGTTCCAACCGCAGGGTACAACCGGGAACGTGGCTTGTTTGGGCAGGTGACTCTGGCGGTTGCACCTACTTTCTTAAGAGGTCTGGTGATCGCTGTTCTGCAGCACCTCCGACTGCCGACCCTTTCACTCCACTCATATGTTGACTTTCCTGATCTTTTCTTTCTTTTGTTATGGCGGAACCGGGCGCTTCTAGTCGGTCGACGACCAAGTTCACTCGATGTCGGACCGGGTGTCTGCGCTGTCGGGTGCGACGGAGGAAATGTGAGTGTTTGTTTTCTGCTCTCCGTTCTGTGTGTTTAGGTCTGAGTTGAGCTGCACGCTGATCGTATCCGTGGGGTAGGCGACGAGGGAAAACCGACTTGTCAAAATTGCATCGATAAGAACCTGGTGTGTCAGTATGGATTGCAGGTCTCTTTTCTCGCGAAGAACACTTTTACGGTGTCGGCGAAAGAGTTGCGAACGCCGAAAAAAGACGTCAGCTACGAGAAAATACAGGTGATTATATTTTTGAACGTATCCTGGATGGAGGCTGACATTAGATTAGTTCGTGAGCGAAGATCCCCTCGCCTGCGTTTCCGATGCGTCGTCGGATGAGTCGCCGTCGCCCGTGTTGAGTCCGACTACGGATGTTACAATCCCTCAGAGCGACAAACCAAAAGGACCGAAAGATAATGATGAAGATACCGGCAATGGACACGAGCGACGTAGTAACGATATCAATAGGGACATGATATTTGATAGTAGTCGGGATTTGCCATCGCCTGTTGGTCATATCTCCGGCGAACAATTTCAATCTGTCGCAACTTTCAGCGACAGAGATGAGTCTGCCGTTCGTGGTCTGCTAGCACTGGGATCTTGCAATAACGTGAATGATGTGACGACCGCCAGAGAAGCGACGCCTGGCCTGTCCGATTTTGATCCTAATATCATCTTATCTCCCTTGACGAGTACATATCCAGAGGGCAAAGAAGGCCAGGGTCCGATGAGTTTGCCTCCAATTGATGCGCAGACCGGTAATGCTGCGGTCATGTCGGTTCTCCCACCGGCCATCGACTGTCTTTCCATACCTGAGTCTGATCGACTTGAGCTCTTGCGTCATTATCGCTACCATGTAGCTCCTTGGGTGAGACCGATCTTTGAGTGTCTGTGATATGCAACGATCTAACAAACACTCCCCCAGCTCGATATTTGCGATATGCGGCAACCGTTTGGCCTCACTGGACTTCAGCTAGCTATGGGCTCTGAGAAACTTCTTTCCACGTTGATGCGACTCTCGAAGGCGTGCATGCTCCAAAATATTCCCCAAAGAAGCTTTCTAGCAGACTTCACCGAGCCATTAGCCGACATGAGCATGCCGGGCGACTCTACCGAAGCAACCCTGCTATACGTCCTTGAGGAAGTACGATGCCTCGTGACTGATGTTCCAAGGGGTTGGACTCGACACGGATACCCCGACGCTATTCAATCTTTGGTTCAATATGCGTACGATGATGATGTTAATTCGGCTCTATACTGGCTGATGCTGCGATTGAGTAAGTGTAGCCTGCAACAGGATGCTTGGTTGTTTATTTAACAAGAGACAGATCTAGGAGCAGCCCTGGCAAACGATAATGCCATTCAGTTACCACTTCCGATGTCCCCTGTCCCCAGTATATCACTGATACCTCATTCCGAAGACATTTATGAGAATATTCGGCATTATGTTCATTCCATTCTTTGGATCGTTGGGAAGACTTTGGTGATATGCCACCCAGAGGACATGTCCAATCAGCCCCCATCTCATCAATTAATGGACAGTTGGTTCCAGGCATTCGAGGAGCTTGGTCAATGGTATCATCTGCGCCCGCTAGAATTCCAGCCGATGATAGAGCTTGAAGGGGACGACCAGATTTTCTATCCGGAAGGTGGCTTCCCCCTTTTGTTATTTGCAAATGGAGCTGGCGTATTTGGAAACCAGCTGTACCACACGGCCAAGCTATTATTGCTCCAGTCAAAACCTCGGACGGTCTTACTGCACAATGCTCCCTCTCGATTTTCGTCTCCGTTGTGGCACGCGCAACGGATTTGTGGGATTGCGCTGAACAATGACCGTCGAGAATGTTGGGACCCTTGCTTGCTGGCTTCTTTTCTTATCGCTGCTAGGCTTATGACTCATGAGTCCCAGCAAAAGGAGATTTTGCAAGGTTTTGAGCGAATTAAATTGCTGACCGGCTGGGATGTTGGTGAGTATTTGACACATCTCCGCGAGGACTGGTCATTTTCCGAAGGAGCTTGAGCAAATGGCTCGAATGAAACCCCAAATTAACCCTGCGATTCGAGCGGGATGGGATAAGTCCTTGTGTGGCTATTTCTAGCGCCGCGACGAGTGTCGTAGCCCCATGCAATCTCCAAGTCCCGAATTCGCCAACACGTCCCCCATCCCGTTTCGGCCTCGATGTCTCGAATCAACTGGATGATCTGCTGGTGTTCTGTGATATGGCTGAAAAGCCGACCTGCAATCCAAAGCGGTTGGATGGCATTGTTCAGACAGCCTTGGTGTGGATTCGCCAAGGAGATGCCACAGATTCGACGCGCATGCCATAGCAGTGATAGCGTAGGCGATCGGGGAAGCCTGGTGCCTTTGGGCATTATCTTCAGCAGCAAAATGCATGCTGTGTGATAGAGTTGATTGGAGGAGATCGCCGCCCAGTGGATGAAGAAGATATGTGGGAAGGGCTTGCGGTTGACGGTTTGAACTGGAACCAATTCGCTCGGGCGCTCGGAAAACCAACATTGTAGCTCACTCCAGAGTTGAAGCCACTTAGAGGCAAAGACCTGTGATGTGCAACCATTGTCTTCTCCGAGTTCCACGAACTTGGTCCGATCAGAAACCAGCTCTGTTGCTCTCATACACAGATACACCGCGTAGTTGGCATGCATGTCTGCGCTTTTCGCTTCGTTAAACATCCGATACGCATCACCTTCATTGCATCCTGGAGGAAGCCACTTGGACGGATGAAGAAGCGTCGTTTGAGTGCCATCGGATATAAGCGCTCCACACAGATCTAAGACGAGTTAGAGACCATGTAAATAACAACCAGAACGTTGCAAATAAGGTTCCATAAGAAGCAAGAAAAATTAGACTCACCCATCCTAGCATAACACCAAAACACAGCTTGCAACAACCCCTTACTAAACCCATGAATTCCAAACGCACCGAACAGCGCCGCACAGCCCTCTAAATGCCGTCGCCAGTCCTGCGCCCGCGCCGACATCATCTCCAAGCAGCACAGTAGCACACATGCCGCGACTATCTTCGGATCACGGACCTGTAGCACGGGACCGAGGAGTCGGATCGCCTCTTGGTAGAGCTCTAGACTGTCGAAGAAATCTTGGACGCCTTTTTTGCGTTCTATTTGGCGGGCGGAGATCGCGAGGATGGCGTATGAGAGGGCAGGGAATGTTCGTGCTAATGCGGGCATTTGTTGTTGGAATGTGTGTTGGGAGTCGAACATGTCCAGCTTTTTTGGGGTGGTTAGATGTGATGTGCATATGCATGTTGAAGGGTGTGTGGTTAGGGGTGTGTGGCATGATGAGTGCATGAAGAGGTACAAGGATCATGAAGCTTAATACAAGATCGGTGGAAAAACTATAAAGTAGTTCCCAGTTGAAGAAAAATGAGGGACAAAAGGAGAATGATAATGGGGGAAGAAAAAGAAGCAAAAAAGGGAAAAATGAACTCACCCAAGGCGCTACCTGCGCAACGTAATTCTTCAAATACTCGATTCTCTTAACGCTTGAAACCGGTGCGCGTGCACGTAACGACGATCCATCTCCTCGGCGCTTTCTTCCCCTCGTGTCATTTTCATCCGGATCTTGATCATGCAGTTGACGGTGTTGTTGCTGTTGTTGATCATGGGCAAGATCGGGACTCAAACTTCCGACCCTAGTCGGCACGGCCGAATGCGCAAGGGAAAATAGGATACACCGCAACTCTTCCTGAGAGGCCAAGAATCCTGGATCCTGCGAGAATCCGTCCTGCGACCAGCCGCCTGCAGGCGAGTGAAAAGCTCCTCCTCCACTCCCAGGCCCGCCGTTGACGCTTCCGCCGATCGAGGCAGGCGAGCTGTAGCTCTGACCCTGGCTGTGAGAGTGAATTCGTGGAGCAGAAGGGGTGTAGTCATGCTGGTTGTGATGGTGGTGGTGCCATTCGGAATTATGGGCACTAGTATGGTTGTGACTGCCTTCTTGGATTGGCGGCTGATGGTGAGAAGGGGACAGGTTGCTATTCTCGGCCCCAGGGCCGGCTTCAGGGAGGGTAGTGGTTGCGGTTGCAGTGGGTGTGGATATGGAGGATGGTGACGGATGAGACTGAGTGTGGGCATGGGATTGGTCAATGCGTCGACGCTTCTGGGGTGGTGATGGCAAGGGGAACATTTTTTCATGGTTGTCGCTCGTTATCTGAGCTTCGTGGTGATGGGAAAAATTGCACTAAGGTAAGATTGATAGATGGAAGAGGTAGGTGTATGCAGGCAAGGTAAGATGCAGCAAGTAGAAGACGAAGATCGATAACGCCGAGGTCAGGTGTCGGGGCTGGCGTGGGAAGTGGGGACCGGGCCAGCCTGGGGTTGACATGCGGCCTTAGGCAGAAAGGACTGAATCAGGCGCCGGTAGATATGGCATCGCAATCCCCGATTGAGGGAGTCGGAATATGTCAAAAGCGAGTGGAAAGCCTCGCCGATGACGAAATATGGGCAGGTTCGAGTGTTACTCCTGACTCCACAATTCGAGCTATTCTGTCTGTTATTCTGTTTACTGTCAAGCGAAGAGCATCAGCATCACCACCGTCGCCAAGAACGGGTTGTACGATGCTACACAGCTACAGTGCCTACCGAGTCAACAGCCGGGATTCCGACCGACAAGAAAAGCCAAATGCAGGAATCCACACGATTCAGCACTTAGACGCCAATGACGTCGGGGAAAGGAAATTAAGAAAGGGAAAAAATAGCGCATCCAAGCGACGAAGCATCAACTGGCACATTCCTTCGGGCCTGCCGATCGCTCCCCATGTTGCGCCTGTTTAGGATTAGGGCCATGCGGGGTAACCTTGTAGTCTGGGGAAATCGGTGGCTCGAGTTGCCGTATGCGGGCAGATTGGTGTCCGAATCTGGGGAGGGTTGTCACTCACCCCGGACTTGGACCGGGGAGGACAAGCCAGCGTGACACGAGCGCGGGATGGGTTGTTTAGGGTTCTAGACTTGGATTGGTATATAGGGACGTGGTGTTCGACCGGGATGGGATTAGGTTGTGGCATTCTTATTCTCATTTAACTCTCTACTTGAACTGTACACACACACACGCAAAGGAGGAATTTTGAGGTTTGAAGCACCAAGAAGGATTGGTTCGTTCTCAAGATGGTCCAGATCAACATGTTCGGGACGGGGACCAGCCTTCAGTCTGCAATTTGGGTGGCGTGTGGGATGGCCTTTATCCTATTTGGTGAGTTTCCGACGTGTTTCATATTGCTACTTGTCATGTGTGCAGATAGAACTGAGTTAATAACTCTATCTCACCTAGGCTACGATCAAGGCGTCTTCTCCGGAATTGTGGAAAACGATGACTTTCTGGACACCATGAACCGCCCCAATGATAGTCTAATGGGCATCATCGTTTCGATATACAACTTAGGCTGCTTCTCCGGGTGTATTGTGAACTTCTTCATTGGCGAATGGCTTGGACGGCGTAAGGCTATGTGGTTGGCTATGGTTTGGGTTCTGGTGGGTTTCTCTCGAAGCTCGAAGCCCCCAGTCCAATTGTTAACGTGAGGATTAGATCGGCGCAGCGTTGCAAACATCCGCCTTCTCCGTCCCCCACCTCATGGTTGGTCGATTTGTGACAGGTATTGGCACCGGTATTGAGACCTCGACTGTGCCTATGTATCAATCAGAATTGTGCGAGGCTTCGAAACGTGGAAAGATGGTTTGCAGTGAGCCATTGCTTGTGGGTGTGGGTATTGTGGTTAGGTAAGAATATGACTCCCAGGTTGGGTGTTTAAGACTGGGCTAACTGGAATAGTTACTTTTTCGATTATGGCATGAGTTTTGTTGGAGGTCAAATTGCGTGGAGACTTCCTATCGCGTGTCAAATGATTTTCGCTATTGTGAGATTCCCGCGCCTTTCTTCTTATTGTTCTGGTTATCTGGAGTTTATGGGACTCGTCGCTAATAAACACAGATCGTCATCGTGCTTGTTTTTGGACTTCCCGAGTCTCCGAGATACTGTTACAAAGAGGGACGAAACGAGGAGGCCCTCCAAATCCTGAGTGACGTGTACGGTCGGCCTAAAGACGACGAGAAGATACTGGCTGAACAGGCCGAGGTTCTCGATGCCCTTGCTGTCGAGTTAAAGCATGGAGAGTATCAGTGGAAGTATGTTTATACCAGAACTATAGGCACCTAAGAGAGGAAGGCGGCTGACCAGATCAGAAATATCTTCAAGAAAGATGAAGTTTCCACGGGTTATCGAGTGTGAGTACCCATGTCATCTTTGAATCCATCAGGAAACAAAGCTAACGTTCCCAGTCTACTCGCCTACGGAATGCAGTTCATGAACCAAATGGGCGGTATCAACCTACTCGTGTTAGTAAAAATCAGCCTATGATCCCACTCTCGAACCCTGACCACTGACCGAAAATAGGTACTTCATACCTACCGTACTCAGCAACAATGTTGGTCTCAGCAAAAATCTCTCCCAAGTTCTCGGCGGATGCGTCCAGATTATGTTCGCCGTTGGCAGTTTATTCCCTGTGTTGTTCGTGGATCGAGTCGGCCGAAGAGCGCCTATGCTCTGGGGTTCGTTCGGACTGGGAATCTGCATGATGATGGTCTCGATTCTGCTCAGTTTCAAGGGAACAGCCGTTGAGAAGCCCACTGCGTCAGCGTCTATTGCATTCTTTTTCGTCTTCATGCTCATCTTCGGCGCCTCGGTCAACTGTATCCCTTGGTGCTATGTGCCAGAAGTTCTGCCTCTTCATGCACGCGCTAAGGGAACAGCCGTGGGTACCTCTTCGAATTGGATCTGGGTGAGTAGTCTTCCGATAATAATCCCAGTCAGATTGTATGTACTGACTAAGAGATATAGAATTTCTTCGTCGTCATGATCACCCCTGTGATCATCAACCGTCTGCAATGGAAAGCGTACTTGATTTTCATGTGCACCAACTTCGCTTTCGTGCCGCTGGTGTACTTCTTCTATCCTGAGACCGCGAACTTCACTCTAGAGGAAATCGACTTCCTCTTCACGAACCCGGATAAGGGCCCCGTGAAGCTTTCTAAGGAGCTTCACAAAGAGAGAAAACAGGGACATGGCAGAAATATTGTTGCGGAGGCTGGAGTTACGAGGCAGACGAGTGTTGTTGGAGGCGGGAAGCATATGGGAAGTGACATGTTTGAAGAACAGGTTGAGAAGGTTTAGATGAGGGATCTGGGATGTTTTTGTGTATTAAAACTGTTAAGACCGTGTTACGTTCTTTGGCTGAATTAATGCCAAAAAGACAGCGTTGGTTAGAAATGAATTATGACCAGTTTCACTCATATAATCCAAAGGATAATAATATCATCTCCCTCATCGTTGCTCCTTTTCTCAACCCCCAAGCGGTAAAGAATGATGAAAAATCAGGTTAGGAATTGGATTATGTAGTGTGACTGAGAATTAGAATTTGTGATTGAGAACCAAATCCTCCTTCTCTTAATCGTAAGCACGCGAGGACCGGGCACCTATGGAGCGCCCAGGCCCGACTAACTAAGAGAATTTCTTTCAATAAAACCAAAATTATAGATGTTGGACCCCTGACCCTCGTTATTCGCCTCCCAATGTAGCTTAGTGAACTAGCGACCCTTAGTGGATCTAATTAGCCAGCGGTCTGCGAAGCCTTCATTACGATGTCCTCTACGCCATCCCTAGTGTCTGTTATTAATTGCTTTTTTACTCTTATATCAATACGAAACTACTCATAGCGGACACCGCATTAGAAGCCAACATGGGCTGGAGAAACTCGCTTCAAGCATCTTCCCCCCTTTTCGAGCACGATTTGGGGCTCGACCATAGTGGCTTCATTCGCTGCTGGCAAAACTCTGTTCAATTGGGACGTTCGAGCCAATGTGCTCTCGATCTTTCCGGTCGCTGCTCTTCTGGTTGCCTATATCACTGTTGTGTCCAGCACTTGCAGGTGGGCTCGATTTATTCCTCGACCTTTGCATTCTGGGCATCAAGTCAATTCTCTTGCGATCCGTGTTGTGGCTATTTTGATGGTTATTCTAGGAATCGACACGATCGTCTTTGGTTTCCCTCGCGCTGGCTCTGTGCGAACAGGGGCACTGGGGCTGGTGAAGGCTTTGAAGCTTTATTCTATAGTTTATACCGTATGTCAATCTCACCTTTCTCGCTACAATCCTGATTGACCCCGTGTAGGTTCGATATTCTTCTTGGCACACTATAGCATTGACAGAAACATTCAGCATCATAGTAGCTCGCGACCCCTTCACGCAGTCGTCCGATTTGCAGGCCGCATCCTACATAGTGGCAATTCTCCTTGTCCTGAGCCAAATTGCTTGCGTTATTCCAAAGCAAGCGAAGCCAAAATCGGCTCTCTGCGTCTTCTTCCCTCTCGTCGCTCTGTTAGCTTACGCTGCCAACATCCTTGCCATTCAGGCCGCGCAAGCTTCGATGATACACTCACAGAAACACCCTGTGGAGAATTTAATTCTCAAGGTCCAGATGAACTTTGGCGCTCTGATCCAGAGACAATCCACGAACCTCACTGTCTCCGCGGACGAATATCGGCGTCGGTACCATGCCGATCCACCACCAGGGCTCGACGACTGGTACGAGTTTGCCCGCTCTCACCAGTCCCCAATCATCGATGAATTTGACACCATCTATGAGGGGATCTCGCCCTTCTGGAGACTGAGCGGGAAGCAGGTTCTCGACGCTATGGACCAGGCGCCGATCTGTGGCTCTGCGTATTTTCCGGTCGTGAGGCTACAACACAATGTCGCCATCCCTATCGCACCTCAGACAGAGACATTAATCCCCTTTTTGATAGCCTCTTGCAACAACTCCCAGGTGTCCTTCCCGATGTTAAGTTCCTTGTCAACCATCTGGACGAACCGAGGGTCCTCATTCTCCCACAATCCCCACAGTCAGAAAGCATATACCTTGAGAGTAATCATAACCATGATGGTTGGTTCAATCTAACAGACATGTCGAGACAGCCAGCCTGGGACACTTTGACGAAATTCTGCCCTTCTTCGTCTGAACCCACCGAGCCATATCCCGATACACACACGGCGACCCCATCGGTTCTACCATTCATCTCAAATATGTCATCTGTTATAGACCTCTGTCGCCATCCCAAATACCGCAATATGCATGGCCTCGCCATTAGCCCGACGACCTTCTGTCCATTCCAAGGACCCGTGCCAGTCCTCTCCACTGGCGCGCCGTCCACCATGGCCGATATCCTGTACCGCAGCCCGGCATACCTGCAACCAGAATTCCGTTATGACAACAACGGTGTCTACGACGTCCCTTGGGCGAAGAAATGCAATCGACTACACTGGATGGGGTCCACCACCGGCGGATTCGCCAGCACAGACAATCAATGGCAGCATAACCATCGTCAGCGATTTGTCCAGCTCGCCCAGAATCTCAATCAGAAGGACCATCTCTATCTTCGGGAAGAAACGGATAAGCACAGCGGCAAGGCAACCATCACCTCCACACACTCCCCCTTCCTCAATAGTCGTCTCTTCGATGTCGCCTTCACGCGCATCACCCAATGCTCGCCTTTCTCCTGTCGCACCCAACGACAATACTTTACCACACAGTCGTGGGCCGATAAGGAGGACCGCGCGATGGGATCTCGACTTGTTTTCGACCTGGACGGCAACGGCATCAGCGGTCGCTACTACAAGCTTCTAGCCTCACGATCGGCGGTCCTCAAGCAGACTCTGTTCCGTGAATGGCATGACGACCGGCTCGTGCCGTGGGTCCACTATATTCCTGTCAGTCTGGGCATGCAGGAACTACCCGAGCTGGTCTCCTACTTTACCTCGACGGAGGCTGGACGGGCATGGGCGCAGGAAATCGCCGAGCAAGGTCGGAGATGGTTCTTTTAGGCGTTGCGCGACGTGGATATGGCGGTTTATACGTATCGGTTGCTTTTTGAGTTGGCGAGGGTGCAGGATCCAGAGAGGGAGGACTGGGAGATTCCTTGACATAATTGATGGCTTTCGTGGGTATCTGCTGATATTATGTGATCGTCATATTTATTTATATAGATGGATAGATTCATTATGGCCTCCATCAATGAGCCCATCTATTCTCCACTAATACCTGCTTTTCATTCGCCACGTAGAAGGCCTCCTTCTCGTTGCGTTTACGATCGGGATCTTGTTCCTCCGCCCTAGCTAACCGCCCTTTCACCACTCGCTCCGTAAACGATGGCGCCGTCAACCACTGGAAAGGCCGGTTCTTCCATATACCCTAATCCACATCGAAGATAGACAGCCACGACCCTGTGTTGGGATCCACAGTCGCATAAGCTGCCCCATAGTAGCCTACGCGGACGTCGGGATTCAGCCAGACACCGAGCTCCCTAGAGATCAGGTTGTCTGTATGAATGAGGCAGCATTCTGAGCCTTTGAGGTGCAAGTCTGCAAGCGAGTCGGGGATACCGCGGAAGGATAGCTGAGAAGGAGCGGTACAGAAAAGAGTAGACACATAGCTCGAATAAAAGTCTGTTTACCATCTGTACTGCACAGAACTGCCAGGAAGCACGAGTGAAGAAAATGGAAAAGAAGTGTTTCTAAACCCAGAAAACATGACTTTGAGAAAATAAATGATCTTATTACGTTGAGAAGCGATCTGGAGATATTTGTGGTCAAAACTTGTCCAGTAGGTTCTTTTTCATCAACTAACACACATATCTGTCCAGCCTTTATACAAGTGCACCACCAAGATTCTCCAAGATTGAGTCTCCTGCAGAGATTTAAAAAACCGACAGATCCGATTTTCAATTTTCCTCAACCCGATAAGGCTCGACGCTTTCTCTCAGAGCACTCAAGGTTTTGTCTTCACAGGGATATCTATAGGCCTGCATTGAACTCCACAAGGGTGTCATCCAGTGAATCTGGGAAATTGTTGATTCATAAGATACTAAAGCAACTTCCAAGGAAGCAGGATGACAATATAGGTTCAGGGGTAGAATTTCATGCAAGAGGGCATGGTCTCTGATACGACTTATGCCACTTGTCCAGATCAGGTCGAATCTCAGATATCTCCTGCCCCCTCCCAGCGGAGTGATAATCAAGTCGTAAAAAGCACTCATGTACACACCGTCGGGAAAAGGCAGATACCATCGACAGATGCTATCGATTATCAGGGAATTGCCCGAACTATGATGTTCAAGCCGGCAGAGAGATCTAACTGGGGGTTGTTGGATGAGCATTCTTCGCCAACTGACATTTGGTCGGAGATAGATATCTCTCTGGTGTCTCAGGAAATACTCCAAGTCCTTGGCTGATCAGAGACCACAGGATTCAGCTTGCTTTGCGGGAACCAAAAGCGGAAGCGCTCGGCTAACAGAGGGTTGAAGACTCCGGGTTTGTAGAACTGGTTTGAAGAAAAGCTTTTGTTGAAGGAGGGGTGATTCACGAATACAGGCCAGCCAGGCAGACGCGCTGTACAGTGATCAACAGGAACTGCATGCCTATATGGAGCAGTATCATTTCGAGAAGCTCGGTTGGGAGACTATTGATCCTAGCTACGGTGCCTGGGTCCACAGCGTTGTGGATCAGAGGGTCACCGTGATTCTTTTGAAACGATCGTGAGATAGAATGGCTCTATGGATGGAGTTCAGTTAGCGAGTGCTTCATCTAATCAAAACGATGATCCTGACTGGAATGGTTTAGATGATCAAGGAGAGATCCTTCTAGATTACCTTGACGGGATGACTTGTAGAGTATTGAGTATGCGAGATACTTAAAGATTTGCAATCTTGAGCATAAGCAACACCTCCAAGTTGAAGGAAATGAAAGGGAAGAAGAATAGGAGAGTGAGATAACAGTAAAAGGAGAGTTATTAAATAATAAAGGGAGAGTGAGTAAACAGTAAAGGAGATATACTCTATCTGGGCCCATATTTGACCTTACCTAATCGGGTATAATGCAGTTTTTGCACCGGCAATTTTCTTACCCCACCTTCACCCGCTGACAGTGGGCAAACCGTCAAGAAACAAATTAGAAGCATAAGTGAAACAGCGCAATGGGTAAATGGTTGGATGTCGTTCAAGGCTGTGACAAGTGTGTATTATCAGCGTTCTGACCTACATCCACAGCCCCAACTGACCTGGCATAGTTTTCCCTACGCCGAAGATCAGGACTCAGAACTTAAACAACAGTACAGCTATGACTCCTTATGGAAGTTCTACCTTCCAGAAGACCCCAGGCCACATGGTCTGATGGTCGAGTCAGTTGTTTCAAAGATGCCTTGGACATCCGATTTCCGAGTGATCTCAACAGCCGACAAAAAAGAAGTTCATCTTTTGCGGCCACAGGGCGAACAGAACTGGCAAGATCAATGCTCTAAAATCATTGAGAGACAGATAGCCGTCGCGCGAGAATCAGGGGCTTTGCCAGGCCTAGGGAGGCCACGGCACGAGGAATTCCCTATCGTTGGGGCTCAGTTCTCCGTGGGCATAGATCGGTCTGCCTTTTCGATGTTCGGGATCATTGGCCGCGGGGTACACATGACGGTGTACACTCAAACTGACTCAGGAATCAAATTCTGGGTGCCCCAGCGAAATGCGAGCAAGTCGACGTACCCTGGCTGCCTGGATAATACCGTCGCCGGTGGAATGGCTACGGGCGAGGAACCGTTAGAATGTCTGCTTCGTGAAGCGACAGAGGAGGCTGGAATGTCGGAAGACAGCCTGCGGAGAGATGTACGGGCCGCAGGTACGGTGACATGGATCAACATCAGTGACGAAAGATCGGGAGGTCAACCAGGCCTGATTAATCCCGGTGTGTTATACGTCTACGACCTGGAAGTGAAGCCCGACGTCGTGTTCCAACCAGTGGACAACGATATCGAAGCCTTCCACTTGATGGATGCGGAAAAGGTAAAGCAAGCATTGCTGGGCGGCAGATTCAAACCCGCAAGTGGATGTGTCATCCTGGATTTCTTGATCCGCCACGGTGTCATCACGCCCGAGGAGGAGGAGGACTATGCCGAGATTGTATCGCGGCTGCACCGAAAGCTGCCCCTGCCGTCGCGGTCGTACTCGTAAATTTGCCGGGATCCTTCGACGGCGGGGCACGTTCTATTTTCAAGTACGCTAGTCCCGATGAGGAACCCCATGACGACATTCCGAAGGCTTAGCCTCCAGCCCTTTCCTTCTAGGCTCCCTTCATTTCTCTTATATATCTCGGTCTCTTCCACCTACACAAATCCTTCATTTATTGTTCTATCCCATATCAATACAAACCCCCATCCTAAAGTACCCGAATCATCCACATCTCTCAACCTGCAAACTCCCAAGGGACCATGTGGTCCAAAACCAAGGGCATCGGCAAGAAAAACTTCGACAAAGCTTGGGGCGCCCTGGACAAGCTCGGTGCGCCCGTCAACCGACTGAGTAACAAACTCGGCTCCGAGGCCTTCTGGCCAATGTCGCTAGGCAAGGAAAGCGAAAAGGTCGCTCGCATTCTGCGGAGCTTCTGTAAAGATGGAGTTTACGTCGAAGAATTCACACAGTCGACGCCTCCGCCGACAAACGGGAATAATGCCTTGAAAAAACACATCGACAAGCCGGTTGGAAAGCCGAAAGTGTTGAAGAAGATCCCGTCAGAGGTTATCCGACAGGCCAAGGGCTTGGTGATTTTCACTGCCATGAGAACGGGACTGTGGTTCAGCGGTGCTGGAGGTAGCGGAATCCTGCTGGCCAGGGTTCCAGAAACCGGCGAATGGAGCGCACCCTCCGGAATTTTGCTGCATACGGCTGGACTGGGGTTCCTCGTTGGTGCAGATATTTACGACTGCGTCATGGTGATCAATACATACGAGGCGCTGGAAGCATTCACGAAAGTCCGCGTCACCCTGGGTAGTGAGATCAGCGTGGCTGCCGGTCCTGTTGGGATAGGAGGAGTGTTGGAATCGGAAGTGCATACCCGTCGGGCACCCATCTGGTCATATGTCAAGAGCCGGGGTTTCTACGCCGGTGTACAGGTGGACGGAACGGTTGTTATCGAACGGATGGACGAGAATGAGCAATTCTATGGTCGGAAAATCCCTGTCCAAGATATTCTGAAGGGCAAGGTCTCTTCTAATCATCCGTCGGTGAAAATTTTAATGCATACGATCCACTCGGCGCAAGGCGATAAGCATTTCGACGAGGCTCCCGCTGGGATGCAGGCGCCTACAGGACCGAGCCCTAGCGACTATGCACCCGAGGATCTTGCACATAGCAATATGGCAGAACCAACAGCAGGTCCGCCGATGGGACCACCGACGGGGTTCTCAACGGGACCCCCAATGCCAGGAGGTCCAACAGGTCCAACAACGCCACATAGCGGCGGACTAGCGGCGGAATATTATGCTAGCGGAGCACAGCAAGGCCCTCCGCCTAGATACAGCTAGATGTTTAAACGGACAATAGGAACGCAGGCGTTGCCCTATGCTTATGTGATTATGCTATTGTTATCATCCTCTGCTATGGTTTCTCCCTGCAGGCACTTCAGCGTTTGATTATATCAGATTGGTATCCTTAGGTGGTACATATAGAACGGTTTAATATTACCAGCCCTTTTTCCTCTCGCTCTTCTTCTATCTTCCCTCCAAAATATGCCCATCAAAAGTACAACTACTCGACCAGTATAGCCCTGATCGGGGCGTGTGGGGACGGCATCTTGCCCGGCCGCTCACATGAGCGGGATTCGGTTTTCGGCGATAGCCAGAATCTGGACTCAACATAGTAAGACAGATCTACGTACAATAGGACGCCTACTTCCGTTGATTTGTGTCGATGGCTCGAGCACTGATCCTTTAGTCCGCCCAATGCGGGGTTTCGAAGCAATCTCAGATGTCACTTTGTCAAATTGGAGGTACAGGTTGACAAGATCAATTGGAAATGCGCAACAATATCTGGGATTTCCCACTTGATTTACTATGCTGCCTATGATCTGCATTTGCAGTGAGAGATACGGAAAGCAAATTGCGAGGCCGAAATAGTTGATGTTGTGGTATATTTGATCGTAAAGCGCTCTTGAATATATACGCTGTGCGATTGAATCATGTTCAACTTTCGGTTGCCCTTCATTCCGGACATATTATCACACTCGAAAGCTCATGGAAAAGGTTGGAATAACGTGTCTGGTCGTGTATAGATTCTGAAAGTTCTCCTAGCGATTATCAGCACAGGAAAATGCAGCATGTGCAGATTTTGCACTAATCGCAATGCTTTCCGCAGTTGCCCAAAGACCCATTCCACACTGTACATATTAGTATCCACCGTAAAAGTTGAGTAGGTTATAACTTACTATCAAACAGCACAGCAAAACCAGAAATTCATTAAGTGCAGCCAAAGCGACCTTACGTCCCGAGTCAAACCTTCTATGCAGCCAGAAAAGTCCTTCAAATTCAAACGAGAACCAGCTCCCAAAGGCCGCAGCCAAAAGACTAAGCAGGTCATTGAAAACGGGAATCGCATTCGCAATGACCTATGCTATTGTCCACAGAGACAGGATAATCAGCACCCAGGACCCATAAGATATCACTGATCTCTCGTTCATCCGGTTCGTTCCACGAAAGAGTCGTACGTATATAGTCTTGGCTCCAACATGCCCCAAGTATAACATCGGTAATTATGATTGTTTCGACGGCGATGCTAAATGCGATCTTTGCGATGGTAGACCTGGTGCTTAATAGCGCAGGGCTTTCAACGCTTGTCCCTGCGTATCGGTAGATTACAACAGCACAGACGAGGTTGAGCGAGGTATCGGTAATCTGCAAAATTATCAGAGGCTTTGTAAAGTCTTTTGGCTCCGCCAGCTCAGATTGGTAACTGAAGAATGCGACATGACCGGCAAAAGATATTACAATATTCAGAGTGGCCGAGAATCCAGATCGTAGGGTAGGGTGGTTTATAGCATATGTTGTTGGATTCGGAGCCTCGATACCGATAACGACCATCGTGATCATCGCTACCATGGACGGAATTAATCAATAATTAAACCATGAATGTGGCGAGGTTATGGTAAGTGGAAGCCTTACATATAACTTCCAAATATGAAACTTCTTGGAGACGCCTCGAAAGCGTGAGAAGAAAACATAAAATTGCCCCCACTAGGCTGAATAGTATAGAGCAAGCTCCATGGTCGGTCAAATTATTCATCCATAATTGAGAATACCAAAATATGGCCACCCATACAAAAGATAAAGAAAATGATATGGGCGACCGTGGCGATTTCACGACCGACAGTAACGAAAAGTATTTCTCCAGCGTCAGACATGTTGTGAACTTGAGGGTATCGCAGTTTGAATTGACCGAGCACATAGCAGGTATAGGTTGTTAGGCCCCCGATTCCAATGATTAGAATACACCCACTGTGAAAGGAATTAAAATGACTACTGGAAGGGATTAGAGGGATATCGAAGGGCAGGCAACATACGGAACAAAGCCTAACGTAGCCATAGAAGATGGCAGTGATAAAACCCCAAGCGAGATTCGATCATTACTAGATTTTATTAGCTGTGATGAAAATCATATGGTCAACTTAGGATGCCCGGACAGATAGCACATTTCCTGCAATTCGCAGTGGTTAGCCTCAAATAGTTCGGTGCAGCCGCTGGAAGATGGACGAGTTACATACCACCATTTCATGCTCCGGTATTGTACTTCTGCTCCTTCTTCACCCATGAAGAGGTCTTGTCGCCGAGGTGAGAGCGGCACGTCTTTGATAGTGTTGACATTTTGAAAAGTTCCTTGTTCTAACAGATCTTGTCCATGGTCTTCAGCAATCGAATTTCTATAATTGCAGTCACTCTTTTTAACCGTGTCAATCATATTTTTGGGTATGAAGGTAAATGAATAAAGAAGTTTTAGGCTCCCTATCGAGATTGAGGCAAAAAAAAGTCTTTAGCTGGACAGACAGACAGATATATATATCCTTTTTCATGTTGTACCCCCCCCTCACAGAGAGACATATTGCCTTTATTCATTGACTGAACATTTGGCGAAGGACTAAATGAAATTCTCCGTATATATACCTGTTTGTACAACTCAATGGACTCGTGAAGTTAATCAACGAGCCATTCGACAACGCTGCTATTATAGACCCTGTTTTTAAGCTACCGGGTCTTAATTGAGACGCCGAACGAGTTTTAAATTGCTCAAGAAGTACTGAAGTTCTTTTGTAACCAAACATTATTTACACGGTAGCCTATGTAACCATCCAGTCATTTTATGATGAGCGATAGCTCTGATAAGGCTCGAAAATCGGATGGAAACGCTTGATCATTCCTCCTACTGCAACTGCAGAGGTTCTAGAGATGCAGCTGCCCAGTGTGGGTCAGATGACCGACTAACTACATGCAGGCTAGCGCCGCAAGCCATACCAGCACTCCAACATTTTATAGAACCGTGTGGCTAAGGCTTAAGACAGGCTACGTAGAGCGCAGCAACACTTGGTATTCCGGCTTGTTTATTGATACGAATCCATGGGATTACGTGATCTAGCGGCTTGGCCCGCACACTCGAACCCCTGAGGAACTTACCCCTTTATCCATCGATAGAGAAGAAGAGATCAATCGTTATGCAAGAGAATTAAGAGCCCTATCATGCAAAAGGCATTCGCTCCTTAGTAGGCTACGTGCGTATAGCTGATACAGTGTCATTCTGCCCTACTTCCCCTGTGCATTTCACAACATTTATCACTAGACAGAACCAAAACCCAGCATTAATACAGCTTGAACGTAGCAATTAACAGAATCCCAAACCCAGGACTAACCTTGAGCCATGCACTCTCCGCATAAGTAGCAGTGGCAATGCAAATCCACCAGGAAAGCCAGTAGACAGTTGTAAAAACGAATCCAACAGCAGACATTCACATCGTGAAGTATGTACCTTTGTATCAGCTAAATAACTATCCAATGACTATCAACCCCTAGGTCTTATAAATAAAAGCCCTGTAGACTACCCACGAAACTACTGTGGTCCACCAACGTGGAGCCACACTCTAAGCTAGTAGCGCAGTATTACAGGCAATACACTGTCCATACCAGTGTTTAGTGCGTGAAAGACGAAAAAAAAAGTAGAAGAAGAAGTAGAAAAGAAGCAGAAGGAAAGAAAAAAACAGAAAAATGAATGTAAGGGATGTAAACCTAGGGCTCAATCGGCATGTCGGAGGCCGACCACCGGTGTCGGGTTTTGCGGGTCCTGGCGGGCTTTGTCGGGCTTTAGCGGACTTGGAGTTTTTGGGGGGGTGGTTTGGGCTTTCCCCGGAAGCGGCAACAACGTTACTCTGGACTAGCATGCTCTGAATTTTAAATCAGATTACTTCCCTGCTCCTAAGAGGGTGTCAGGAAGTGCTAATCCTTTTCACTTGCCCTTCAATTTCCTAGGGCCACTTGCGTTTTGAGACCATACTTCATTGTGGCTCTCATTGAATCATGTCTCAGCTACATACTGGGAACAAACTCTTGCGCCGGGCTGGCATTATAGTCTTCATCGGTGGAATTGGTCTATATGCTAACTGGGCTATTCAAGTAAGTTATGAAGCAAATAAGAACAAGTCCTCGTACACCTAGATAGATGAAAGTAACTACTAATCAATTAAAATATTGGAACCACATGCGGAGTACAAGAAAGTTCCTCTTATGTTTTGCGTATATATAACTATTCTCGTTCAGATACCAGGCGGGCCTCTTCTTGATTATGAATATCCTGCCCAGTAATCTTGTCAGCTCCTTTATTGGCCAAAATACATAGAAGCAAGAAAAGCAGCGTCAGTCAATACTGGAATTCATACCTCAATAGCAGGGACTGCCGAGTGCCAGGCCGCTATCAACATCCCTTGCAGAGCAAGGTCACCCTTGATGTCTTCCACCGTTTTCTGCAAGTTTCCGCCCAAGAAACGCGAAGCTTTGTCCACGCCATGCATGCCAAAATCAATGAAGATATGATGCCGTAATAGATCGGGGTATTTCGCGAATGCAATCAGACTTTGCTGATAACATGTTCTATAATACCCAATTGTTCCCACAATGAAGCCGATGCATGAGCCGCCCACAAAGCCCACTGCGCCGGCAGTGAATGAGAATCCCATTAATGTGGCACCGAAAAGGCCGATAACCGCAGCAGAGGAGCTCCCTGCTACAAGGCTCTGGAACATGAACAGCCCTCTGCCACTTGGCTTCGTCAGTCCGCCCACGGCTCGAAGGAGCTGGCCCAGAGAGCTCACATTTTGCGCCGACGTGTCGCCCTGGAACATGCAATGAGACAAATAGCAACCCGGATTAAGGGGAACAGAAAAGTACCTGCATCGTGCTGGATAATATGTAGATGAAACTAGTGGAACTCTAAGTCCTAAGTGAACATGTGGAGGCACTGGGTAGCGGTACAGGTCACGTGAGTCATGAGGTAAAGAATGTGGCAGTTTGTGGGCTGGGAAAGTGACTAATGTTGCTCATTCTATTGCGTCAATGTCTTCAATAATGTAAGAGTGTTTTCTTGAGCTTCAAAGTAAAGTCCTGGAATGTGCATGAATCCCAAAAGAAACCATCAATGAATACGTATAACTCTTCTCATAAAACTGAATCACAAAGGTACTTATCTGCATTCATGTTATTTACAGGTCTCAAATGGCATATATCACTCCATGTATTATTCTTCAAGGGAATATCTCTAGTAATTCTCAGTCTACTCCTCGCGTTGCGATTGATTCTGTAGAGCTTGACATGGGACTGCAATGTATGAACAACATTATTTACATATCTTCCAACATTCATCTCGTTCCGTACACGGGATTCATTCACAATACTCTCCACCTGAAAGGAAAAGGAATATAGTTTTTTGAATATCACTTGGCGTATCACATATAGACTTGCAGCCCTCCTCGGTCTAAAGCAGTCATAGTGCCACTTTTAGTCAAGGAATCTTCCCTTGTTCTTTTCCACCCACTCTTGAAAACGGTGCGGGGGGTGCTTCGCATAGCTCAAGATGCTGTCACGCGCCGTGGGTGCATCGGGACTCTGAAGATACGAGCCTGGACGATCGATAACATTGTGAAGGTGCCAATTAACCATAGGTGTAGGCATCCCGGCTGCTTCCATTTGAGCCGCAGCCTCCTCCCTGGAGATTCGGGTGACTCGGACTTCCTTCCCTAGGACATCCCCAACAATGAGTACAGCATCCCTCAGTGCCATTTCCTCAGGCCCAAGAAGCCGGACAATATGCTCTGGTGCGCCATTGACCAGGATCGTTCCTGCGACATGGCCAATATCCTCGGACGCGATGAAGTCAAATTTCGCATCAGGGTTAGGTAACTTCACTTCGCCCTGCAATATGGCATGCTTCTCATGCAGGATGTTGCTAGAGTAGAATGCTGGCCGTACTGTAACGTAGGAATCGCGTCCGTAGACTTCCTCTAGCGCGATTTCCACTTGGGCATGCTCCCAGGGGACTATGTCTGAAGGGTCCACGGCGTGAATGTCGGTCAGAATGATGAAGCTGCTTAAGAAGACGACATATTCAATACCGGCTTCTTTGAGAGCTCGGAGAGCTGTCCTCATATAATCAGGGCCATTGAAGATTCCGTAGATGAAGGCAGCCTTAGCGTCCGCCACGCGAACCGCTGTTCTCAGGGTGTCAGGCTGAGTCAAATCCGCTTTGTATCTTTTGAAAGGGAGACCATCAATTTTAGGGATAGGGGTGGAAGGATTGCGCATGGCAAGCGAAACCGCGGCACCCTCGTGGTGGGCTCGAAGGGCAGCGTCGGAACCCACATCGCCCGTGGCACCAAAGACGATCACCCTGCGGTATTTTGGCATGGCGAATTAAGATAAAGGAGTGTTATGAGTGAGAAATATAATAGGAAAATATTTTGATCAAGAGTGTGGTTCAGACCAAGAAATGGGTTGTAAAGCCTAATCCAACAGGGTACTTAAGTTTGCCAGCGAAACCATAATTTAAACTATTGCCTATGGAACATATTACTCGGTCTTCGGTGCCCACGGCACCGGCCCTCTGTATATGAACCTGTGAGTAAGCGGTCTCGGTGGCATTCTTTCACGGAGCGGGTTTTGGATGGCCGATCTGCACCCGACAACGTTCTCTCGTCGCAAGAATCAAAGTGGGCCTGGGTACTACTAAGTAGAATTTAGTTATTTTAGTAGGACCTTCAACGTACGTAACAACAGTAGATTTGAGCCACTGCATGGTTTCAGTCAAAACACAGTTTCGCTACGTCGTTTAATCTCCTCATTTCTATCAATGTGTATAGCTAAAACCCACTATAGTTACGTGGCCCCATACAAGTTGCAAGAGTCGGATTCCGTGGTCTACTAATTCTTACAATCAAAATGAAACCATAGCCAATATTATGTCTTTTGTCCACGAAAGAGAATTTCTTTCCTGTTCGTTCCTTGCAGAAAAGTCCAGCAAAAAACAACAATAACCTCTTACTTGAACTTGTATGAGACTCATTCTTACAGGCACTGTTTTCAAGCTTTCGTCTGCTCAACGAGGAGCTAGTGATTTCGTCTTCGCTGCCCAGTAGGTAATGGGCCCAATTTTTACCGGGCTGGGGCTCATTGACTATGTTATCAGCGGCCTGTTTTGGATTTCCCAAGTTCAAAACGAGTAAAAACCAATTTCTAGCTGACGTGATGCATGTAGGAGCATAGAAGCATTTACAATTTTCGCCCTTGAAAGCCGGAGTATACGTTTTTTTACTATACTACCTACTCGAATTGTGAGTATGAAGCCCCACGACCCTGGCGACATCTAGCGTTAGGCAATTTTAAAGTCTCGGGGCCAAGAATTCGGTTCTCAGATAATGAAGCCGAGGGGCTCATTATATTCATGCCTGTTGTCTTGGGTGGTGGATGTACGATAGGCTACAAGCGACAGGCAACAACATATGACCAGAACTCGTACTTGAACCCTGGCTGATATCAAGCTAGCTTCATGTCTTTTCTCGGATCATTTATTTACTCTCTGTATATGCAAAACCTACTTCGGAGGACGCGAGTCAAATACATAACCGAGGTTAATTAATCCACCTCGAAGGTGATTGGGAAGAGATACCGCTCACTTCTATTATTTCATATTACTTAACGTCAACATTCAGCCAAGCGCTATTTCATTTGAATTTACAAACAATTGGAGCAGCAAAGAACAGTAGAAACACATGCTTGTTATTTACCTTCACTCAAGCAAAAATCGCAGTTATACCAAACAAAGCCCCGGCAAGAGGAAGAAGGCTGCGGATTCCATTCAAAACCACCCATCGACCCAAAAGATTCCTGCTTTTTGTCTCTTCAGTATTCGTGAGGGGTTTCGAAGATTGTGCCAATCCGATGAGGGTGTTGTTTGTAGATCGCATTGTAACAATGGTATATGGCACGATGCCCAGAGTCAGAATCGCAGCTGTAGAGTAAAGCCCGGCTAGATTAAACCTCGCATGGCGAAACAAGTGGCCGCCTTCACGGCCTGACCACGCGAGGTAAAAGAAAGCTGATGCTGCGGCAGCAGCAATAGGTGGATTCTGAGCCTTGCCCGCTTCGTACATCTTATGCCATAATTTGAGAATAACACCCTGGGGCACTGCATTCTCGGACCGAACTTCACCCAGGGCGGGCATGGCGATCAGGCTGAGAGCAGCAATATTTCCTACAGTGTTCCTAGAGTCAGCCATATACTATAAATAATAGAACTTGAAATGATATCGGCTGATATAATTCTAAGCCGAGTAAAAAAAAAATATAGAAATTGAAATTGGGAACTGGGGTGAGCAACCTGAAAGCCACGCCGCTCCGCTCAAGCCGACGGCCTGCGCAATACGATAGCCGGGTGGATACGCTCCCATTTTTTGGATTAGGAAACGAGTTGGAACAAACAGAGGCGTAAGAAATAATTATTTCTCGGTGAATCTCTTGGGGCAATTATTGTCTTATATACAATGGGACAGCGGGAATGATTGACATCATGCGCATTCCCAATAAAGTCGGAGTGGGCTGGGCCCAATTTGAGTTCCGATGAGACAATGACAACATGACTTTTGCAAATTTGGTGTGCAAAACTACTTTAAAATTACTAGTTGTAAAGGATGCAACAGCTTGAATCTTTCTCCTCAAGATTAAGGCTGATCAAGGGTGGAGTAATCTAGTAAATATGTAAACTTTGTTGAGGTCAACTCAAAAGGTATGACTCCATTAATTCTCGGCTGAATTGTCGGCACACAATCCACCATTAGCTGTCATTTATTCATCGGCCAAAGTAACTAGATAGTCATATCTTTCTGCCAGGCGTCGTCCAGCATCCTGCTCGAACGTGTTGAGCAGCTCCTCCCAGGTGACTTGCTGCACTTTCGTGGCCCGCTCAAACGGTTTCTGTTCGTAATTCACAACCGCGTCATCCAAGGCGCCTTGGGAGTCGATAATCGCATGAGCTAACTGCAGGGCATCATACATCGCAGTATTAACACCTTCGCCTGCAAATGGGGTCATGACATGGGCAGCATCTCCCAACAAAGTAAAATGCTTCTTGTGCGGCCAACGAATACCGACCGGCAACATGTATAACGGCCTGTTGACAATGGTTTCATTGCAATTGATAATAAGACGTTTCAGTTCGGGACACCAATGCTCGTATTCCTTGAGAAGAAGCTCCTTGACTGCCTCCCGATCGGATAGATCAACAGCGCAACCTTTCAACCACGATTCGGGTCGGCGCATGAAAGCGTAGATACGAACAGAACCGTCTCCCTGGCGTTGTGCATGAAGTACGGTGTCATCACCCCCGTAAGAAAGATATGAGCCATGTCCAAGCATGTCGTTCATTTCAGGATCGATACTGTCGGGTCGAGAAATCCTGAGCTCTAGGCAGACAGATCCAGAATAGAATGGCTGGATTGTGCTTAGGCCCTGACGGACCTTGGACCAAGCACCGTCAGCGCCGACAACCAGGTCAAAGCCTTTCTCGACGGTATCGGTGAAATGCAGCGTTCCGTCCACATAAACCCGCTTGAGATGATGGTTCCAACGGACTCGGTCATCGGGTACAGAATGTAGCAGAATGTCGCGTAGAACTGGCCTATCAATCTCAGGTCTTCCTCTGCTGGCTCCGTTCGTATTATAGAAAACTTGGTTTGTATGGTCGGTAATGACCAATTCCTCAGCTTCGTACGAGGCATGCTTCTGATATGTATCCCAGAGACCCGCTTCACGGATGGCTTGTTGTCCGGTCTGTGGATGAAGGTCGAGAACACCCCCAGTCATACGACGAGACTCGCATGATCTGTCGCTTTCGAAAACAGTGAAGGGGACATTTGCTAGGTGAAGTAATCGAGCCAAAGTCAAACCTCCCGGCCCAGCGCCAATAATTGCCACTTTTGGGCGCCTGTCTGATGCATTGTCGGCCAGCGTATTCGTCATGGTTCACTTTGAGAATAATGATGTAGGAAATGGCCCTTAAAGAATGATTCAGTGAAAGGTAATCCCGACGGCGAGGAAAGGAGTTTATATATGCGTGGGTGTCGGTCGAGCTTAAGCGACGTCGAGGCCGAATCCAAGGCATGAATGTATTCTGACAACATCGCCCATGATGTTGAGTGATGCTGATCCACCTGAATCCTACTAGTGCGAATAATAGACAATTTGCAACTCGTTCTAGGAACACAGCGACGCGGCTTCGTGGTGTCGGACTTGATCGGCTTTTTGAAGGTTGCATTGCGTGGGTCGGGACAGCCCGTCGGGTTGTAGCTCCTCCGACATGCCGATTGAACCCCAATTGGTATGTACTCTCACTGGATATATATGTACCTTGGAATGTGTTTTAAATAGCCCCCAGGCCCCCTTCAGTGTGTGTAGATAGCTTCTGATAGACAGTAACCAGCCAAAGTACCCATATCACTCTTCCATCTGAAGCCTTCAACAAGACTATATAACAAGCCAAAAATCAAAGCTGTGCGCTAGATTCTTGAAAATATCTTACTAAAGAGACTTGGTGTTGCTTTTCCCCATCCAATTGGTTACTATATATCTCATACCTTAAGCGAAACTAGTACATACGATCACAGTGTGTGGAGAACAGGGCTCTCCGTCCGCTCAGCCGGTGGGTGCAGGTGTGGAGCTCATGTGGGAGAGAGACGAGCTGGTCTTCAATGAGATGGGTGGGGTAAGGAGGGAAGTGTCGAAACAGAAAAAGTCATTGGGAGCACGCTTTATGTAGATTGGAAGTTGCAAGGTAATCTAGAGAACGATGACTTGTGCAAGTCATCGATGGAGACAGTCAACATTTCTTGGATTTTACTGTGGTTGCCATAGGAAGCCTACCTACAAGGACATATGACGATGATGATGATGAATGCATTATACCCCGATATTAGCTCCCTGATGAGGCTCTTCTTGAGTCGCCAATGGCCAGTAGGCCGTGGCAGAACTAAATGCAGCAGTAAATTACCCATACCAACTGCTCCACCTCGCCATGACGCGATACCTAGCGGCTCACACTAATAATTATTATCTCTAGGCACGCGAGCCCTACGAGTGATATCGTCATTAAACGTCTGGACGCCTTCCCCAGCGACTGGGTGTCTCAAAGTTTACTCAGGCGTCAGTTGCGGCACCGAGCGCCAAAGAGAGATTGATGAAGGTGATATACCAGTAAGCGTGGGTGCTTCCCTCCTACCCCTGCACCGCAGCAGTCATACAGGGCATCCGCACTACAACATGAAACAATTCATGGAGATGAAGCAAATCAATATCGATTTCCCAGTTTTCGTGCCTTGTCTGCAAATAAACTAAGAAGTATGAGTGGGTGAGAATGCTCAAGTTTCAGCTTTGATTATAGCTTCTGATTCCGACAGCAAGCATTCTTTGAGCTTCGACAAAAATATTGGAAAAGTAACGCAATTATAACAACTGCGTTTGCTTCCTCTATCAGAGGTGATTAAATTCACCAGCCGTTCATAATACAGTCCATGGTAAGGCAAAACTGGCTTTGGCGACACTGATAATGCGATCATCAGTTTAAGCAAAGCACCTAACTTGAAGGTTGTACAATCGTCGCACTTTTCTCCAAAATAGCCATCATCATTATGACGACTCATATGGTTCACCTTTGCATGCAATGTATCCAAGATGTGACCAATTACTTTCTCTCTTTTCTTATTAAGATCAACTACAAACAATGTTAGTTTCCATGTTTGAGAGGCTTCAGGTGATATAGTACCTATTATTGAACCTGGAAATGGAAGACCAAGTGTTGGAATAAGGCCCGGACTCTGTTTAACAGCGATTTGACCGAGTCTCTTACAGTCACTAGATAGGTTAAATAGGCTGCAGACTAGTAGCCACAGCAGCAAACTTCGGCCGTACGTCTTTGGAAAATGCGGCTTTATTGCGGTGATCCACATATCAACAAATATGTTGATCACTGGGATGCATTGATAGTAATCTGCCAAGACTGCGATCTTAGCGAGCAGATCCATATCTATTTTCCTGGGCAGGTCGTTGAACCGACAATGAAAGATGTTGAGTAATATCAGAAGAGCCTCAGAATCCCAGCCATCCGCTATGACTTCGACGGAGCCCTTATCACGAAGAGTAGAACCTTCATTCCACTTTGGTGAAAGAGCCTTTGCGAAAACAGTAGATGCAAGCGTTAAGTGTTTTGCGGACACTTTGTATGTGATTTCCTTTTCTTCGGTATTGTTGTTTGCGGCTGTAGTTTCAGCCTGTGATTGAGGCTGAGGCGCCCCAGACACCGAATCCGTGGCAGTAGCTTTCGGCCACACAGCGAATGGCGTGTTGGCATTCTGGAGAACTATGGTCACCTCTCCATCAGGATCAATTGTATGAGAAATCTCATCCATCCCTTCCGTATCTTGGCTGGACGATATTGAAGTCATTGTTGAACGGACTCCTAGCCGGGTGAATAGCTCCAGGGCCCGAACGAAAATTGTTGGGGAAGACTTGTTGTGGCAGATTACTGTGGGTCTTCCGAGAAGCGATTATTCAGCCAAGGAGTATGATCGTTTTCAACTGAATGAAGGTCATGATTCTTCTAACTACACGATAAAGAAGCCGATATTTATGCAATCTCAGAGGCTTCAGGATCGTCATAAAATGAGCGGAATTGCATGCTCTATATCGTCATAAATCATACGGTTCATATCAATCGGTTGAATGATCGGTCCGGTCAAGCAAGGCGATGATAGTTAACTAACTTTAACGTAATCGGACAACGGAATGCCGCGACAAGAAGTTGCCGCGGCCTCACCGCCACGACTACCAAAATGATCAAAATTCAATCATTCATTCAAATTTGAAGCTATTCTACATTGCAATCAGTTGATTGATCTGTAGATTAATAAGAATTGCCTCTATCTGGACATTTCAAGCGATTATGGCCTTTTTTATTGCAATCACTGCAACGAGGTGGCCGGCGTAATAAGGATTGATGTGGCCTCGCATTTTCTTTGAGCCATTTGTTGCACCTTTTCTCGCCCTTCTTGGCCATTCAGAGTACCTCCTTCTTGAATAAAGCGACGAGAAGCCTTTTTTTTAATCTTCTTATGAATATCAGCACTGCGAAGCTGATGTTTCTCTTGTTGAAGCAGGGCGGCATTCTGCATCGCCATTTCTGCGCCTTTAAAGACCTTTTCAAGCGCCTGCTCAGTAACTAGCGATGATAATCCCGATTCTTGAAGTGCTTGAAGCTCATCTCTTTGATGATTTAATTGGTATGCGTTTAGAGGTGTTTTTCCGAGATAAAAGGATTGCGAGCCGGATGAAGCGGTTGAAGGCGGGGTAAACGTTTTATCTTGAAGTTGAATTTTAAGCTTCAAAAGCACTCGATCTGGGTTGTACGGGACTAGCCCAGTTGCTTGAAAGCTACTGCGTATATTGCTTGAGGAGAAGGCCTTTGGATGCACGTGTTGGTAGTGATATAAGAAATCCTTATCGATGAATTCAATGCCGTTCTGTATTGCATCGCTGATCCGTTGTCCGTATAGCTGTTTTAAAGGTGCAAAACAGCCTACATCGAGCGGCTGGAGTTTGTGAGATGAATGCGGAGGCATATATAAAGAAATAATCTTCTTTTCTTTGCAAAATTGATCGAATTCAACGGTTGAATGGCTTCCGTGGCCATCGAGAATAAGAAGACGACACCGGCCCGCAGGTTTTGAAGCTATATATCGATCAAATCCTTGAAGCCATTCAAAACCAAGCTTATCAGTTGTCCAGCCATTCTCGCTGACACTAATACTGTAGCTATCGGGGATAGTTTCAAACCACCTCGCTTGCAACATCTTACCAGCAAAAATAATCTGTGGAGGTAAAACACTACCTGCAGCGTTTATTGTCACGATTGATGTCACCCATTCGCCATTTCCAGGATGAGTCGATTTTGCATGAGATTCTCTAGTACCTGATCTGCAGATAACATTTGCAGTCGTAGCTACTCCCATTTGAAAGCCTGTCTGGTCCATAATGTAGATATCCTGTTCAAGAATACCATAGTTTTGTATAGTATTTTGAACAACTTCGAACCACCGCTTTATAATCTGAGGATCCTCGCATTTTGCACGTTGATAATTATATTTCTTTGTGTATTTTAACTTCCATTCAGCTTCGTGGCGATGAATAAAGCGGCTGACCCAGCGATCACTGATAAAGGCGTCTTGAACTTTGGATGGCTTTAATTTCGCGGTAAAGAGGAGCTTAGCGAGATAGCGTACTTTCGAGATAGTAAGAGGATATCCGCGAGAATCCATATCGAGGATCTTTTGCTTCAATACTTATTCATCTGTAGTGGAAAGCTTCATCAGGTTGGCCTCTATTTCGCCACGGGATTTGACTCCTTTTAAGCGATTTTTAAAGGTGCCTATCTTGACGTCAAAGGCCTCAGCACAGGCCTTTTTAGTTGAAAATTGGCCTTTATTAAAGGCCTCAACAGCTTGATTCAATCGCTGATCTCGAGATAAGGGCAACATGGTGTTAAATAGCTCCAATTTTGAATAAATGATTGAATTTTGATCATTTTGGTGGTGGTGGCGGCGAGGCCGCGGCAACTCGTTGTCGCGGTATTTCGTTGTCAGATTACGTTATGGGGAGAGCTACCTACATGATCCATGGCTAGTATGAACCGAAGAACCAGGAGGCATAGAAAAGGGTATCTTCAGGCCCTTTACCGGAGCTCTCCAACAGGCGAGGATAGCACCAAGAGATTGATCCGGGATCCCAGACATAACTCAACCAGCAGGCACTATATTTTGAGAACAAATCATGGCATCTGTTAGGCCCATATTGTTTGGTATGGCATCCTCCACTACTGAAGGCCTGGTCCTCAGTCAGCTCGTGGTTGTCTCCGCTCCCGATCGCAAAGTAAGCCTCGCAATAAACCCGGTCTGAAGGGGACCTAGAGAGATCAGAAAGAACAGGCGAGATGCGATTTTACTCGCGAGATAAAAAAAAAAAAAGAGGAATATGACGGTGTGGTTCCAAGCGCCCTAGAGGTTGGACCGTTCTGTTGGGAACTCATAAGACAGATAGTCAGACATCCAATTGACCAAATGCCCCGAGAAGCCAGCAAATCCAGGTAACCAAAGGTAGGGGCATAACGTACTATAGAAAGTAGTTGATGCCTGATTCCAGTGTCTCTACCTGACTCTTCTATCTACACAATTGGTTAATAAACCAAACGATCAATCCCTCCGGCTTATCAAGGTGGTCGTGGCATATCCATAATCGCCCATGCGACTACCAGCGAGCAGTCTAAACGGAAAGGAGGGAGGGGGGGAGAGCGAGAGAAAAACACCTGAATAGAAAAAGAAAAGAGAAGCATCAACAAGCCGAGTAAATTCGGTGGACAGGAGCATCCAGACCGTATGGACGACATAACTAACCCTCAGTTTTTATAATCGGTGCCTCATAATTGCTTATCTCGTATTGCTCCAGGTGTTAGGACTGACCCAACATGATAACTTGTGGTAGCGCAGTCCTACTTGTAAAAAGTCGTACGTAGTCGGAACCCACGCCCTACAGAAAGACAGCTTCGGATCGTGTCCAGGCAAGTTGTACTGGCGGCCTGGCCGATTCCACTTTCTATTTCAATACACTAGTACATAGACAGTGTATGAATGTCAATGGTAGTGTTAGTGTCAGATTTCGAATTAGACGAGGGGCAAGTATGCTATAGTTAAAATGATTTGATGACTCACTCCGCATAAACCCAATACGATTTTGGAGAAACATGACCCTAGGACAAGTCACAATGATGACACAAATGTTCTCGGAGTATTTAGTATCATTAACTCGTATCTAATAGACGATTCTAGCTTGACATTGTGTAACGATCCGTGTTCTCATCTACATCTAATGATGGCCTCGAAGGACGCTGCGTAAGTGCATTATTCGACTTGCTCTGCGACAAGCTCGAGTGCGCACCTTGCTTTAACTGCGTCCTATCGCTCTCGAAACGGAGTTCAACCTGTTTCGGGCCCGTTGAAGCGGTCCTAAGCTGTCGCAGGTAGAACAACATGGAGCCAGAATTCAAAGTCATCATCGTTGGGGGATCCATTGCAGGCCTAACACTTGCTCATTGCTTGGACCACTTAGGGGTCGATTATGTGGTTTTGGAGAAGCGAAAAGAGATTGCACCTCAAGAGGGTGCCTCGGTTGTTCTCATGCCTCATGCTGGGCGGATTCTGGAGCAACTGGGGTTAATTGATGAGATTGGAAAGTTTATCGAGCCTCTGCACACCGCTCATGTTTCCTATCCCGACGGCTTCAAGCACACCGACCGATCACCACAGGTGCTCTTTGAACGGTAAATGGACTTTGAATTCCCTTATCCTGTCTGTTATGATCGATCGGCTGATAATTAATACTGCTATACAATAGTTTTGGTATCCCTCTGGCTTTCCTAGAACGACGTAGGCTACTACAAAGTTTGTATAGTTCTCTACGAGACCAGTCCCGCGTGTTAGTCGACAGGACTGTGGTATCCGTGCAGCAGAATGAGGGCGATATCAGCGTTGTTCGGGTAGAGGATGGATCAATCTATCGCGGTGACCTGGTTGTCGGAGCCGACGGGGTGCATAGTCGAGTACGGCGTGAAATGTGGCGCTTGGCGGAATTCCACCAGCCTGTCGGGATAACACATCAAGAAAAGAATGGTCAGTTCGCTTCCTCGATACACAGCTATGATGCCTAAGGTGATTATCTGACTGCTGTATACCGTTTAGGCATGAAGATCGACTACGTTTGTGTATTTGGTATATCGAATGCAGTGCCAAACCTTCGCCCAGGGGAGCAGGTGACCGGATTTCAGGATGGAAGGTCTCTTCTCGTTTTCCCTGGACAGAACGGTCGGGTGTATTGGTTTCTTTTCAAGAAACTTGACCGTCAATATGAATACCGCTCGGCCCCTCAATGGTCCAAGGGGGGTACCACAAAAATAGCGGAGGAATTCGCGCGGGACGACGTTTGGGCTGGTCTTCAATTCCAGCATATATGGATGACCAGAGAAGTCGTTGGCATAACCAATTTAGAGGAGAACGTATTTTCAACTTGGCACTCCGGCCGCATGGTCTGCATCGGTGACAGTATGCACAAGGTATGCGAAATTCCTAGCTGCTACTCAATTCACACTAACAGAGACGCTATGATAGTTCGCGCCCAATACAGGACAAGGAGCAAATATTGCAATCGAGGACGCTGCAATGTTGGCTAATTGTATTAGCAAAGCTATCAGGACAACGGATAATACAGTTCGACCCTCCTACCATACGCTACAGTCAATCTTACGTTCTTTTAGCCAGAGTCAGGTGAACCGTGCCCAGGGAATATCTCGAAGTGCTAGGTTGGTGATAAGGCTTTCCACAGGCGATAACTTGCTCCTGAGACTTGTGGGCAGGTTTGTTCTGCCATATATTGGTGACTATCGGGCAGATGTTGCGTCCAAAATAATCGCTGGCGGAGTACAGCTGTCCTTTTTGGCACCCTCACAATGTTCTGGGTCTGGCTGGCAAGACTTTCGCCGTGACCAAGGATTCTCATCAAGATATACTGTCATTATTGTAGCCCTAGGTCTTGCCACGTGCTTGGCTGTTTGGATGATAGGAACTACACTGTTTCGGACGTAAATATCTCATATTCATAGAGTATACAAAGTTCAAGTTTATCACAAAGTCAAAAGATAAGTAAGCGATTTTATTACCCATGCGGCATTTTCAGCATAGTCCAATTCATTCTCGTATGACGACCAGGTGCAGCGTTTCCCCGACTTATCCCGAGCTCTCGCGTGTGTAAGCTCCCATCGGAGAACAAACGGATAAAAAACGATGTCCATGCCACTACTAACAGCTTATTGGCCCTCCAAAAAAAAATCAGCCAATGCTTGATAATTCAATGACATATTTCCTTTACTCATTACGGAAGGAACGCTGGCATCAAAAAATCTAAGGCTCAGATGCATGCTGTCACTAGTGTTGACATTTCCCACCTATCTAGCGGCAAGCCTCTTGCGTTATTCATAGAGCGGTCTCCATAGCAGTGGGATGGCATAATTATGACGGCCGTATTCCGGGTCCCAATACGGGGCGCTCGTACTAATGTTCTAGAAAAATACCAGGAGCCAGCAACAACAAGAGTCCTACAATCTCTACCAAATCCTGCTGTCAGCAAATAACCCCAGTTTCATGAAAGACGCCACATCGTATCATCCTTCTCGTCAGCTCGAAAGACGAGGTGGTATTCAGCTTGGACTCAATCCAGATTAGTACTAGGCTTTCCACAACTCGCTTTGGTTGCTTAATCAGGTAATCTGGGATTGAAAAGCCCGAGATAGACCTCCAGGAGGGAGTAAAATCTCCCGGGAAGCTTGGAGTGTTGTGGATCTTTTCTGCGATCATACAGTCAATCGATAGGCTGAACAATCAGAACAATCAGTATAGGACAGAAATACTTAAATGTAGAAAGCTGAGGTCTATAAAAGGTCCAAGAAGCCGGTGAGCAACAATATGATCTGTTCCTTGTCAGGATATAAAGAGTAAAATACTGAGGTCACACAGCTGGACACGAGGCCTCTGACACAACCCCGTTACTGGTCATAAATGGTGCGGCGGTTGCCTGTTGGAAAGAGTAGAAATAATATAAAGAGACAACAAAGCAAGATCAGGTGTCCCTCTGCTGTCTGATTCCAACAATTCCTTTTTCTATTGATAATGGAAGCATTCAACTTGGATGGAGGGCCTCCCGAGTACCAGGAGGTGAGGTCATTATTGCAGACGGTCCTTTTCGCCTCTGGCCTGGCCTGGCTAGCGAACTACTTCATTGTGATCAGAGCGGCTTTTCGCGGCAATCCAGCGGGCGTATCAATGATTCCACTGTGTAATAATCTCGCTTGGGAGCTTGTATATGCTCTCATCTATTGCCCACCACACTTGGCTAATATACTTGTATTCCGGTTCTGGTTGTTGGTCAACTTTTTTGTTATTTACTCCATGATCAGAAATGCGGGAAAGTCGAAATCGGATTCCCTCTTCCTACCACACTATACTTTTCTCTTTGTGGTCGTGGGCATTACATGGTTCTTTTTGGGTCATTGGGCGCTCGCTGTGTATCTCGGGCCCACCAGGGCCCTCTACTGGGGTGGAATGGTATCTCAGGTCATCGTCGCAGCGGGTGAGCTGAGCCTTCTAATTCAACGGGGTCATACTAATGGATTATCATACGGGAGATGGTAAGTTTGATTTCGTTTCTGGGTGCTATTTCTCATGATGCTTCTAACTAGTGTCTCAACTGGATAGGTTATCGCGTTTTGTTGGTGCAATTCTTGCAATGGCCAGTGTGTATATCCGGTCATATTCTTGGGCTGAGGAATGGGGATGGTCTGATAATGTTATGATGACCTGGTTGGTTGCCTCATCGGTTCTTTTGGATACAATATATGGATTCTGCTTTTGGTTTACGCGTCGAATCGAGATGCAGGAGAGATTCAAAATGAAGAAGGGATAATACTTCTTGGTTTCCGTCAAATATCATCGGAAAAAAAGGAGCTGAGGAAGAATGTAAGGTATTTCGGCGGAATATATTCCCTTCGGAGTCATCAGCACTCCCGATGATCCCACTCCGAGATGTGCCACCAGATTTGAAGACCAGGCGATCGATTTGAAACGCCTGGAAAATGACGGGAGTTTTGACTCCATCGTAGGCTTTGGCACCAATCTTTTCTCACAGGTAATCTTTCATACTTACTATTATCCTGTGCAAGTACAATGATTTTCTAAGAGATGGATATTCTATCTACAGCCGAATTTCTTCTCTACTTCTCCATAGACTCACAGTAACTAAAAATATATAATGGCTCCCTCCATGCGATAAGATAGGGACGTATTACATAATCGTCGGGCCGACCGATGATCCTGTGTGGGATGTTTTCCGAAAATCGTCGCTCAGGGCGATATGAAAATGTTCCGCTGCGGAGAAAATCACTGCAGTTCGGTTCTTTCTCCCCGCAACTCTTATCACAATGGGTAAAGGCAAGCGCGGAAAGAAGGTGAGACCCCAACCATACTCCAATGACTGCAATTTATCCCTCGGTCGGTTCCAATTCAGCTAACACTGTCGCAGGGCGGCCCGGCCAGAGGCGAGCGCCAAAACTGGCAGGATGTCCCTAGGACCAATGCCAAATTGGAGAATTACTACAACGCGCAGGGATTCATCCCCGAGGAGGATAAGGAAGCATTCTGGGAGGCTATGCGCAGAGATCTCCCTAACAGCTTCCGGTTTACGGGTTCGCGAGGGTATGTGTCCGGTCGGAGTAGCGACTCGTTGTCATGCGCCGTCGCTGAGATTGCGTCCGCTGTGCTAATACTGAGACATTTTTGAAGACACGCTCTCGCCGTTCAGAAGAAACTCCAGAACCACTTCATCCCCGAAATCACCTCCATCAAGTATGAGGGCAACCTGGTCGAGCCCCCTCGCCCCGTACCCTGGTACCCCGACGAGCTTGCCTGGTGGATGACCACCCCCAAGCAAGTCATCCGTCGTTTCGCGCCTTTCGCCTCCTTCCAGAAATTCCTTGTCGCCGAGACCGACGTCGGTAACATCAGTCGTCAGGAGGTTGTCAGCATGATTCCTCCCCTCCTCATCGATGTCCGCCCTGGCATGACCGTGCTGGATATGTGCGCCGCCCCCGGCAGCAAGTCCGCGCAGCTGATGGAGCTCCTGCATGCTGGAGAAGAGGAGTCGATGCAAGACGTGTCCAAGCAGTTGAAGGAGGGCAATGTGGGCGCCGACCCTCTGGGTCCCGAGGGCCTGAACGATGATGGCAGAACCACCGGCCTGCTGATCGCGAACGACGCCGACTACAAGCGCGCCCACATGCTTATTCACCAGATGAAGCGCCTCGCCTCGCCCAACCTGATCGTCACGAACCACGACGCTACCATGTATCCTTCGATTAAGCTGCCTCCTCTCCCTGCGGCCGATGGAAAGAAACCCCAGAACAGATACCTGAAGTTCGACCGTATCCTTGCGGATGTTCCTTGCACCGGTGACGGAACTGCCAGAAAGAACATCGGTGTCTGGAGAGACTGGACCCCGAACAACGCGATCGGTCTGCATGCCACGCAGGTCCGCATCCTTGTGCGCGCTTTGCAGATGCTGAAGGTTGGTGGACGGGTCGTCTACTCTACGTGCAGTATGAACCCGATCGAGAACGAGGCCGTTATCTCTAGCGCTATTGACCGGTGTGGTGGTGCGGCCAATGTCAAGATCCTCGACTGCAGCAACGAGCTGCCTGGCCTGAAGCGAAGGTCCGGTCTGAAAACGTGGACCGTGATGGATCGCGAGGGCCGCATCTGGAACAACTGGAAGGAAGTCGAGGAGAAGAGAGAGAAGGAAGGCATTACTGGTCTGGGCAGAATGGCCGAGGGCATGTTCCCGCCCAACGGTGAGAATGCGGATCTACCCCTTGACCGATGTATCCGTATCTATCCTCATCTGCAGGATACCGGTGGTTTCTTCATCACTGTGCTGGAGAAGACTTCCGAAATCAAGGCCAAGCCTGAGGACTCCAGCAAAGTCATCCCCAAGGGCACCATTGCCGCCCTTACGGAAGAGCTCGAGTTCAAGCAGAAGAACGGCAACGGAGAGCCGCTCGAAAAGATCGAGGCGTTGGATGATCTGGTGACTCCTGACCAGGCCGCCGCCGAAGAGGCCAGCAAGAATGCGACGGTTGCCGAATCGACCCACCAGCCCCCCTACTCCGCCACTAACCAGATCTCGCCGGCAAAGAGAGATGCAGACAGCCTGGAAGACGAGCTGCCCAGCAAGAGGACCAAGCTGGAGGACGGCACCGAAATCGTTCTGGGCGATCGCCCTGTCCGCAAGCCCGCTGTGGCCGAGTCTGACAACATGGATACGGAGGCCAACTCTACACCCGTTCCTCAAGAGACCGCCGAACCGGCCAAGAGCGAGCCCAAGGCCCAGCCTCCCCAGAAGCGCAAACCGGGCCAGCCCATTGAGGAGCCCTACAAGTACCTGGATCCCGCGCACGAGGAGGTCGAGTCCATCTTCGAGTTCTACCAGATCTCGGAACGATTCCCGCGGGACCGTTTCATGGTTCGCAATGCCCAGGCATTCCCCTCCAGAACCATCTACTACACCAGCGCATTGGCACGTGACATCCTCACGACCAATGAAGGTCACGGCATGAAGATCACGCATTGCGGTGTTAAGATGTTTGTCAAGCAGGATGCGCAGCGCCTGGATGTCTGCCGCTGGCGAATCCAGACCGACGGACTGCGGATCCTTGAGCCCATGCTGGGTCCTGACCGTTCCGTCACCCTCAACCAAAAGTCCACCATGAGGAAGCTTCTCGTGGAGATGTTCCCCAAGGTCGACGACAACGGATGGCAAAACCTCGGAGAGATTGGTGAGCGCGTGCGGGATATTCCCATGGGTTGCTGCATCTTGTATGTTGAGCCCGATGGTGGCGAAGACGTTTGGACGTATGTTTCCCTCTCACCCTTACTTTGTTCCTAGCATCAACTAATCATCAATAGTGAGAGAATGGTTCTTCCCCTGTGGCGCTCTCTGCACTCCGTCAACCTGATGCTTCCCAAGGAGGACCGTCGCGCCATGCTCCTCCGTCTCTTCAACGAAGACCCCCCATTGATCAACATTACCCAGAAGCGGACCAACGCTGCCGAGACAGCCACGCCGGAGACGCCGGCGGTCGTGACCGCCAGCGAGCAGGAGACCCCCGCCACCGCGCCCGCCGAGGCCGAGGAGGCAGCGATCCAGCAGGAGAACATTGCATTGGGACAGGACGAGCAAGAGCAGGCGGAAGTCCGGGAGACTTACACCAAGGCCGGAGATGAGGAGGACCGGTTCAATACGACTGTTTAACGTGGGGGGAATCAGCATAGTATGCCCATTCACATCTCTATGTAATATAACAAACAGCTAGCCAGGGATCTGGCGCACCTAGTCTGACCGCGAGCTAGGAGGTGCAGTGGATAAATCCCGCGACTGTCTCTATACCGAGTGTAGTAAGAGATTCTTGTAGGTGTTTTTCGCGATTTTTCCCTACAAGCCTTTATACTTATACTCTAGCCGTACGTACTAGAAGTGGTATAAAGTATAGCGCCTTAGACCTTTCAGCATCTAAAATGTCAGCATTTAACCACGGCTATTTGGTATAGATTCTATAGCGCGTCTATATGATGGGAGTCCTACCTGCGGGCCTGCGCCTGATTAAGCACTTGGTCACATGGGAGACCACCTTCAGAGAAAGCAGTACCAGGGTTCTCCAGGACTGTACCCTGTGCTCACTTCTCTAAGCGTTATTTTCATTCCACACACAATATTATGATCACCTTCTAAAATGCGGGATGGAACTCTCCCTATGTTCGAGTGGAAGGCTCCATATCAACTTCCATCTGCCGGCGGCGGCCCATCTCCCTTCGGAATACGTTCGTCCAACAGAATGGGCCAACAGAAGAGGCTGTTTAGCCAAATGAGGTTATCAAGTAGAATAAGATCCCAGATGGGGTCACAGAAACCCTCACACCCTTTCCCTTATCGGAGATCAGCAGTACCAGTCGGCTACAGAGGCCTTCGGGAAACATCTTGTCTATGAAGGTCAAGAATCCCGGGGATACTCGTTCACTTGCATACGAGATTCACCGCCAAGCTGGAGCTTACCTCTAGGGTCCTGAGACCTCTGTAGTGGAAAGTTCAAAGATAAGCAGAGCAAGATCGTCTATAAATGCCCACGATAGAACCGTCATATCCCTCATCATTCACGCAAAGCAGCAGTGGTTCGCTCCGTCACCCTGTGAGTCACTCCCCTGAGAAATCTATCTTCAAAAACACTGCTTTCATCTTCCCGCATCTTTCTCGACTCCACAACTCTGAAAAACAACTTCGCTGCGTCAAAGATGGCAGAAGCAGAGCCAACTCGTTCTCCAATCCACGAGACTGACAGAGAGGAGAAGTGGGACTCTGATTTGGAGGATGAAGATGAAGTTATCGCTCGCGGTTATTATCGCAAGGGTTCAAGTCTCAAAAAGTATGGTTTCCGTCCGGTGTGGTGGTCAGACAAATATCCGCATGAATAAATCCCAGAGGACATTAAAGAGTAACTTAATGAGGACGGAACTTGCAGAACGTTGAACTGGGTCGGTTCTCTGTGAAGCCTCGCCTGGTTAGCTGGACTGGATGAACTGGTCGAAGCTATTGATAGCCCGGCATTTACTATTGAGGATAGGATCCAAGCAATTCCTAATGGCTGCACTCTGAAATGGCCACTCCGCCGGGTGCACGACGAAAGGTTGATTCCAGCCCGGATCTTGGATCAGGCCTTTGGATAATCAGGCTACTACGATTATTGGAGGTATACCGGAGGCTGGAAACCTTCCCTTAATCGAAATATCCATATACTGCAGGATAAATGCCTAGAAGGTGTTAGTGAAAGTCCCGCCCTGTTTCCTTTAAAGCAGATTACGGATACTAGTCGACTGAAGAGACCCTTCGGCCTTATTATGTGTATGAAGGTTCAGTCTGTAAAAGATCTTCATTCTTTGGAGAGGAAGGTCCGCTGGCAAGCTAGAGGCGATCTGGAGTCGAAAAAGCTTTGGTTTCGGGGGTTGACCATGAATACACTAAAGTCCACTCTGGCATTTTTTGCCCCAGAGGTCAATGCAGAGTTCGGGTCGGGATTTTATACTGCTGACAGTCTAAAATGCGGCCTGGCGCATGTTCGAACGGGTGCCGGAGCTATTATGGTCTTCAAAGACCCTGCCTTCATGGACTCGAGTATTGGCAGCCCAGTCTGGACGAATGGACCGTTTGGGTGGCTAGGTGGACTTCCTTTCCACGGACAGCTACCAACAACCCAGCTCCGTTACAGCATGACCCTGCGGACTTCATTCAGGGACCTATCAGTAGGTCGAATCTTGATACTGAAGGAAAAGGCGGTCCTGAGCAGTCGGAACTCACCCCAACTGGTTGCGGTCAGCAACAAGGGCTGCCAGATCTTGGCTGATTCCCTTGACATGATCATCTTTGTTGGACCCAAATGATCATTTGCTTTGATGTGTATTCTAAGTCTTTAGGTCTTTAACACGCCATTCTGGTACCACCCTTTTATCGGCCTAACCGGCTCGGGGGTGCCGGTGTCTGGCGTGGTTTATGGGACTCACCGGCCTGATTTATTCAAGAAAAAATTTCATATTTCCGGATTGCTTTATCCTTGAGATTTGAATAGAAGTGATTAAATTGATTAGAATAATATTTTGAACCTGTCTAGAGTTATATGTAGTAATATTTATTATGAGGTATAGGCCTTGAAGCATTCTCGACAGTCGGGAAGACTCAAGCGCCACCAACATACCATACAACACCAACAAGAGCGCAACCAGAACCCAAGCCCCAAAAATCAAATTTAATGTAATCTGAAATTTCGTTCCTTGCACACTTTAACCAAAAGTCCAAAGTACCGGACAAACCATGCAAGGTCCCCTAGACCCGGATAAATATCGGCAAAACGTCCTTATATCGGTTAAATGAGCAGAGGGGTCTAATTTATTTCATGCAGGTGGTGATTGAACCCCTCCTTTCTGCTAGTGATGCAATTTATCTACGGGATTTGATAGACTCTGGCGTTTCTAGCGAAATTATCTGGATGCTTTGTACATATTGAAGTCGGTAACTCATAGTATGTACTACACCTGGAGCGAGCTCATTCAAACTCCCCTCCATTACAAATGCCCATTCTAAACGAAATAATTCTTCCTCTAGGAAACCCTCTTACCCCAGCATTATATCATAGTGGGTTAGTTAGCGTAGAGAGCAAGACCAAGGTTTGGCCGGGTCTTAGAAACCCCGCACGGACAAAGCCGTTCGGAAAAGCTTGGAAGTATTTTTTATGGATCCTTTGCCAAGTTAAAGGGGGAGTTGGAAATGAATTAATCCTGGTGGTGGCGTCACCGGAAGATTGCGAGATTTGTGCCTGCCAGCCCGGGGTGGTCAGGGCGGGCACGCTTTGCAAAACCCCCGATATGATCGTCTGGTATACTCCGTATACGGTTCGAAAGAGCCGCCCCTTGCATGTCGGGATATCAGGAACGATCCGAGCAACGTGAACCGAAGATCCGCTGGCATGGGCGTGGATGTAGGTGTGGGTGTGGGCGCAGGGGAGAGAAGAACACGGGGAGAGGCTGGATGGCCTGATGGACAGCCCGATGATGCCTGATTGCCTGAAAAAAACCGTGCGGAGAAATTCACCCCGTGATCGTCGGCGCTAGTCCCCAATGGGCGGGCTCCGTGTGGAGGAATTCCGGCCCGCCTTCCTCATCCTTCGCCTTTCTACATTTCTTCCTGCATTCTCGGCATCGTTTAGCACGAGAATGAGAGACACTGCTACACCGTATGCAGTATGCAGCAATGGCTAGAACTCAGACCCTTGCAACTGGATGGCCTGTTCGGGTCTGGTTCCACCTCATTCCACCCTTCCCCGCCGCGTGCTTATGTCAATGATATGATGCTGAGCACCTCGTGGCTTGGCTGGGAACTCAATCGGACCATGTTCTTTTTAGTCGGAGAATAATGCGGGGGCACCATGTAAGGGGGAGGCAATAAATAGAAGCGATCTTCTGGTGTTCTTTGAACGTCAGGTATTCTGACGTCTGGCAACTCTGATCCGGGACAGCCTCTACCCGTTCAATTCGTGTCAAACGGAATTCTCATCATGAAATTCCTGTCTGTCGGGACCCTTGCCTTGCTGGCAGCACAGGCAGCGGGGGCTTCGATCAAGCATAAGCTCAGTGGCTACACGCTCACCGAGCATCCGGACCCCGTGAAGCGAGAGCAGCTGCAGAAGATCGTACGTTCGGTCGATTGACCTGATGATGGCGAAGGCATGCTGAAGTTGATTGTTCTAGGTTACCTGGGATGACAAGTCTCTCTTCGTCAACGGAGAAAGGATTGCGATTTTCAGCGCCGAAGTCCACCCCTTCAGGTAGATACGGTCCTTTTCTTCTTCCAATAAGCTGTTACTGACCCTCCCAGACTTCCCGTGCCCTCCTTGTGGATCGATGTTCTGCAGAAGATCAAGGCGGCCGGATTCAACACTGTCTCGATCTACATCGACTGGGCCTTGTTAGAAGGAAAGCAAGGCGATTACAGAGCCGACGGTGTCCTGGCATTGGAACCCTTCTTCGATGCTGCCAAGGAGGCCGGTATTTATCTCATTGCCCGCCCTGGCCCCTACATCAACGCCGAGGTCTCGGGTGGTGGCTTTCCGGGATGGCTTCAGCGAGTTAACGGTACCCTTCGGTCCGGGGATAAGGCGTATTTGGATGCCACTGAGAAGTAAGGCTTCTGTTCTAATTCATGTGCAATGGTTGCTAATACTTGTTAGCTACATTGCCAATGTGGCTGCCACCGTTGCTAAAGCCCAGATCACCAACGGCGGACCGGTGATTCTCTACCAACCCGAAAACGAGTATAGTGGTGCCTGTTGCGGCGCGAAGTTCCCCGATGGGGAGTACTTTCAGCATGTGATTGACCAGGCCCACGATGCCGGGATTGTCGTTCCTATGATCAGTAACGACGCGTATGCTGGCGGACACAACGCCCCGGGCACTGGTGTTGGCGCGGCGGACATTTACGGCCATGACAGCTACCCGTGAGTCCCCGTATCCCATTGTAAGAGATGCATTGGCTAACTTGTTCAGACTCGGATTTGATTGTGTATGTCTACCTGTCTCTCTTCTGAGCAATTGCTAACAAACACAGGCCAACCCAAGTGTGTGGCCCAAGGGTAACCTGCCCACCGACTTTCGCCAAAAGCATCTTGAGCAGAGCCCTGCAACACCCTTCTCTCTTCTCGAGGTAAGTAGAGCGAAACGGAAAGCTACAATCAGATCTGACTTCTTTAGTTCCAAGCTGGTGCGTTCGACCCATGGGGAGGACCGGGCTTTGCGAAGTGCGCTAGTCTCGTAAACCATGAGTTCGAGAGAGTCTTTTACAAGAACGATATTAGTTTCGGAACTGCTATTCTGAACCTATATATGGTATGGCTTCCAAGAATCTTCGCCGTTGAAACTGTCTAACTTTTGCAGACATTCGGTGGTACCAATTGGGGAAACCTTGGACACCCTGGAGGTTACACATCCTATGACTATGGCTCGCCACTGACGGAAACCCGCAACATTACCCGGGAGAAGTACAGCGAGCTCAAACTTATTGGAAACTTTGTCAAGTCCTCCCCATCTTATCTGTTAGCCACTCCTGGGAACCTCACCACGGGCGTCTACACCGACACCTCCGACCTATCCGTGACTCCCTTGATCGGTCGCGGCACTGGCTCGTTCTTTGTAGTCAGACACAAGGATTACAGTAGCCAAGACTCCGTGTCGTACAAATTGAACGTTCCAACCAGCGCTGGAAAACTGACCATCCCTCAGCTGAAGGGCTCTCTCACCCTGAGTGGACGTGACTCCAAGATCCACGTTGTTGACTACAACGTCTCCGATACCAACGTTCTCTACTCTACCGCGGAGGTGTTTACCTGGAAGAAGTTCGGCAACACCAAGACCTTGGTTGTGTATGGCGGACCTAACGAGCACCACGAGCTGGCCGTATCCGGTCAATCGAAGGTTAAGGTCATTGAAGGATCCGAGTCTGGGATTGTTTCGAAGCAAATCAAGAAGGCTGTCGTGGTCGGCTGGGATGTTTCGACTACTCGTCGCATTATTCAGATTGGAGAGCTGCGGGTAATTCTTCTTGGTAAGTTCACTGTTTCCAATATTGATCAAAATTTATCTAACGGGTTTAGACCGAAACTCCGCTTATAACTACTGGGTGCCCCAGCTTCCTGCGGAAGGCACGTCGCCCGGCTACAGTACTCAGACGAATGCTGCCTCGTCAATCATTGTCAACGCAGGATACCTCGTTCGCACGGCTTATCTGAAGGGCAGTGATCTTCACCTGACTGCTGACTTCAACGCCACGACTCCGGTCGAGGTGATCGGAGCCCCCAGCAAAGCCAAGAACCTGGTCATCAACGGCAAGAAGGCCTCCCACAAAGTCGATAAGAACGGCATCTGGTCCAGCGAGGTCAAGTACACTGCGCCCAAGATTGAACTCCCGGATTTGAAAAAGTTGAACTGGAAGTATCTGGACACCCTGCCCGAAATCAAGTCCTCGTACGACGACTCCGACTGGCCCGCGGCAGACCTCAAGAAGACTAAGAATACTCTCCGCCCACTCGATACTCCGACTTCTCTTTACTCGTCTGACTACGGCTTCCACACTGGATATCTCATCTACCGCGGTCATTTCAAGGCCAACGGTGACGAGACCGACCTTTTCATTCGAACCCAGGGTGGTTCGGCCTTCGGCAGCTCCGTCTGGCTGGACGACAGAAACATTGGGTCCTGGACCGGTATTGACAAGGACAAAGACTACAACGCAACCTATGAGCTTCCTAAGCTCAAGAGCGGCAAGTCGTACGTGTTCACCGTGGTGATTGACACCATGGGTCTCGACGAGAACTGGATCGTCGGCCAGGAGGAGATGAAGAACCCGCGCGGAATCCTCAACTACAAGCTCTCCGGCCGGGACGCCAGTGACATCACCTGGAAGCTGACCGGCAACTTCGGGGGTGAAGACTATCCCGATAAGGCCCGAGGACCCCTAAATGAAGGCGGTCTCTTCGCCGAGCGTCAAGGCTACCACCTGCCGCAGCCGCCAAGCAAGAACTGGAAATCCGGCAGTCCCTTCAAGGGCCTGTCGAAGCCGGGCGTTGGATTTTACACGACCCAGTTCGACCTCGACGTCCCCAAGGGCTGGGACGTGCCGTTGTACTTCAACTTCGGCAACAGCACCGAGGCGGCGTACCGCGTGCAGCTCTATGTCAACGGATACCAGTACGGCAAGTTTGTGAGCAACGTCGGCCCGCAGACCAGCTTCCCGGTCCCTGAGGGTGTCTTGAACTACCGCGGAACCAACTACGTAGCGTTGTCGCTGTTTGCGTTGGAGTCGGAGGGGGCCAAGGTGGAGAGTTTGGAGTTGGTGAACACGACGCCGGTGTTGACGGCGCTGGGGTCGATCAAGGCGGCGGATCAGCCGAAGTATAAGAGTCGCAAGGGGGCCTATTAAGCATAAATAGGAAAGGGGAACTGTAGATAGTGCAGTAATCTTGTTGACATGACCGCTATTGGTCTGAGGATGTCAATAACTTGAACTTTTACAATTATCTTCGGGTTCGATTGTCCTATTCTCGTAAATAAAATCCACGATCCATGGGAAGCAATCAGGGTCGGTCATTCTCCGACCGACACTAAAATTAGCGGCGACTTTTCCGTGCTGCAGCCATCGGATGATCTCCCCCCATCATTTCCCCCCATTTTCCGAGATGGAGCACGAGCGAACATCCCACATCTTTCTACGTCCCGACCGCCCGCCCGCCCGACTGTTTAAAGCATGTCGTCGCTGTCGGAAACAGAAGATGCGCTGTGATGCCCGCCACCAGGTGCCGTGTTCGCGCTGTAAATCGGCCGGTCACGATTGTCTGGTGGATCCCATCCAGCGCGGGCGTTCGCAGCGAGACGACCATCACCGGTATTTACTTCTTACTTCCGGGGCATGTATCATTTCGGATTAAGCTAATGATTGACATAGACGATACGGCCGGGATCGAGATCCGCTTTCTCCCAGCAGTTCTCGTCTCTCTCCAGAAGCACGCGAGTCCACATTGTTAGAATCACCGCCGGACAGCTCGCGCCGCAACAGTCGCCACGGGCTGGAAATCCAGCAATTCAGTCCCCAGGAGATGATCGCGCCGCAGTCCGCCATGCACTCCATCTCCGTGAATCTGGGCGGATCCACGGACGAGATCTTCGTCGGCGAGCCCTCCTCGTCCGGACCCGGCGACCCAGCCAGCGACGTCGTCGCCCGGGGCATCTTGCCCGAAGAGCAGGCGCGCGGCATCTACGAGCGCTTCGTCACGGGCAGCAAGAACTTCCTGCCCCTGTTCGATCCTATCCGCGACACCTTCGACTCGATCCGCAGTCGCTCGCTGTTCTGCTTCTCCGTCATCCTGTATCTGGCCAGTCGGGCGGTTCCGGAGCTGCGCGGCGACGGACACTTGCAGCGCGTACTGCAGGACGAGGCGCAGCGGCTCGCCGAGGACAGTTTCTTCGAGCGTCCGACGAAGCTTGAGACCGTGCAGGGCATGATATTCCTGGCTGCGTACTCGGAGAAGACGTGGTTCTCGACCGCGCTGATTTTGCGTACGGCGTTGGACTCCGGCCTCGAGCGCTCGTTGGACACGTTGCTGGAGCAGACGGAGATCCCCCGTAGCTACATCTCGGCGTCGTTGGAGGATCGCAAGTTGGTGTGGCAGACGCGGACATGGCTGATTAGTTTCACGCTGGAGTTGGACGTGGCATCGGGGACGGGCAGGAAGTCTCGGTTGAGTGAGGTCGACGTGGTCAAGCTGAAGCGGTTTCTGGAGTACCCGCTCTCACTGCCGAGTGATATGCGCAATGTCTGCATTATCGAGTTGCATCAGCTAAGGGCGCGATCACGACAGATCATCGAGAGCTCGTCGGCGGCGGATCTGACGGCCGTTGAGTTACCGGCTGTGATGACGAGGTTACAGAACTGGTGGACGTCGTGGGATGAGATTCATGATCGTATGTTTGCCTATCTATACTTGTGTCTTCGCCCTGCATATTTGAATCTACGATGACAGCTAACGGACGTAGATAATGGCTTTCACGCCGGTGCCTTCCAACGCTGCAGTCTGAAATTGATGCTCAACTACGCCAAAATCTTCGTACTGTGCGCCACCATCGCGCGCATCCAGAAGCTCGACCCGGATGCATCAGAGCGCGAGTCCGACGTCGTGCTGGGCCTATGGAAATCGCTCGTCGATGTGATCATGAATCAGATGGCCTTTCTCATCCACGAGACCGCATACCGATGCCAACTGACCTGGGCGCCGACCTATCCGGCCTTGACAATTGCTTTCGTCAGTACGTATCCCTACACTAAGTTATCTATCTCATTACATTCTGTGTGGCTAGGGATCCTAACCGAGAGGTAGCTACATTCGCCGTGCGCATCGCGCGCTGGCGGCCCACCCTCATCGACCATACCCTGCTCCTGCACCGCGTGCAACAAATCAGCGACTTCATCAAACTGCCGCCCTACCCGGACATCCACCGCACGGTGTCCATCTTCGTGCGCTACGCCGGCGCCTTAACAGCCAACCGCGGATCCTGCCACACCGCTAGCCAACAGCCCTCATCCCAGCAACCACAACCCGACAGCAGACCACATGCCCCGGCGCACGGTAGCGCCAATGCGCGATACGAACCGAACCTGCTTGAGACCCACGATCCGAGCCAGAACACTAGTAACAGCAGCAGCAACAGTAGTCATAACCTGTCAGGCGCACCGTCGGAGGATTCCGTTCTTTCTGCAGCCGGGACAGGGGCAGGGGCAGGGGCAGGAACTGGGACCGGACACGCGGCCACGAATGGGAACCCGAATGCCGGCGCCGGCACCGGGGGAGCAGGTGGGCCCGGGCCGTCGATCATGAGCATGGAAGTGCCCAACTGGACGCTGTCGACGCCCATTGCGGACTCGTTTGGCTTGTTTGAGGAGGGCCAGACGGACGTGTTTGATTTTTTGCCCGCCATGGCGGGGATGTAACTTTCGTCGTCTTTTTGGCAATGTTGCATAGGGTATTGGGTATGTTTGATTGCATGTAGATAGCACTTATCTGTCCATAGTTCACTAGCATAGCGTTACATCGAATGACTTCCACCGATATCACAATAGATCCATCCAAAACTCACAAACCCTACCCTGGAGTAAGGCATTCGCGCATAAACCAGCTCATCACAGCATCCATGACAATCACGTTCGTCTCAGACAAAGAACCAGATGGAACTGGGGATCTAGAACGTGAAGTATCAAGTCGGGGAATCGGCCCCGGTCCGGATTCTGCAGTCGTCCGGGGCCGGTACCGGGGCCGGTTAGGGCTACCCCTGATGAGAGCATATTATTGGTTTATCGGGTGGAGTATGATGGGGACTGCAATGGGATTGACGCGATTGGGTCGCCGTTTTGAGGTTTTATAGTAATGGATTCAGGTTTTCTCCCTTGCGTCGCGGGTGACAACCTGAGTCAGAAGGGTATAAATATAATGGGGTATGTATGCTTGGCTGAGGTTCTGGATGACAGAGATTTCTTTGACTGTGATTGATTTGCTCGTTTGGTTTTGTTTGGTTTGAATTGGTTTGAATTGGTTTGAATTAACTTGGTTTACTATCTTATTCTTTAGAGTGATATGATCGATTGTCTGTGTCTACATCTGTGTCTGCCAGAATGAGTTCTATATCCAATACCACCACTACAATGGCCAAGAAACAACCCGTTCTTCATGCAAGAAGCATGTCGGAAAAGTCTTCCGCTGCTTCACCAGGTACATACACTAACACACACCCATTTCCAACGACACCCCATCCTCCACTCTAACTAATATCCCCAGAACCCTACCCCGGCTTCATTCTCACTACGACTTCCACGCCAGGAACCTACACCCTCGCCTTCAGTCCGTCCTCCCCCAAGAACCCCTACAACTGGCCCATCCGTCGCAAACTCTTCATCTTCGTCACCGCTCTCCTGGCCATCATGAACAGCGGCATGTCATCTGCCCTCCCCAGCAATGCCATGCCCTACATCCAACCCGAATTCAACGTCCCCGACGGTCCCCAAACCAGTCTTCCTACTGCCGTCTTCCTAATCGGATACATCGTCGGCCCGTTGATCTTCAGTCCCCTCAGCGAGACAGTCGGCAGACGGTGGGTCATGGTGCCTAGTTTTACAGTATTCGTGCTGGGAACATTGGGGTGCGCATTGGCCCCGAACTGGGCGGCCTTGCTGGTGTTTCGCTTCATCTGCGGTATCTGTGGTGCGGTGCCCCAGACGGTCATCGGGGGTATTTATGCGGATGTGTTTGGCGATGGGAAGGAGAGGGGAAGAGCGATGGTTTGTTACATGTCGGTATGTTCGCCTTTCCTGGTTCTAGCTCCTTTGGCTGTTCGGGTGAAAGTGGGATGGCTGCTAAGAGGGATTTGTATGTGTCCAGACCGCTAGTTTCGGTCCGATTTTGGGCCCGATCGTCTCGGGTTATGCGTCCCAGTATTCCTGGCGTTGGACCTTTTGGATCGAGTTGATCTTCGCCGGGGTTAGTTGGATGGGGTTGGTGTTTATGCCTGGTGAGTGTCCTTTAAGGTTTATACATGCATACATGCATGCACGCATAAGTCTCTATCCGCTATCCAGCTGGATCCTCTCAACCCCTTGCAGAACCAAAGCAACTAACAGATACCCGAAAAGAAACCTTCGGCCCTGCCATCCTCAAACGTGAAGCCTCTCGACTCCGCAAAGCAGGCGTTATCATCGCCTCCTCCTCTGGTGGCAACATCAATTTCCTGCGCGTGTTCTCGCGCCCGTTGACGATGTTGATCTCTGAGCCCATCATCTCTTTCACGTCGATCTTCATTTCCCTGGCATATAGTCTGGTGTTCTTTTTCTTTCAGGCTTATCCGATTATCTTTGGAGGTAGGCTTTCCGTCCCCCTCCCCCCCGCGGTGGCAAATAGGGTTAGGGCTGACTGAATCACGACAGACATGTACGGCTTGAGTATCCAAACCACCTCGTTGGCTTTCTTACCAGGTATTTATTTCTCTCCCTCTCACTCCCCCTATATGTACCCCATAATCCGAAGCTAACCAACATAAAATAAAAAGTCGGCGCCGGAGCCTCAGCAGTAGGCCTCCTCGCCCTAACCTACGACACCTACTACGAGCGCTCCAAAAAAGCCGGCGCATCATGGACCTCGAGCCCCGAACTGCACCGCCTCCCCGTCTCCTGCCTCGGCGGCATCTGCCTCACCATCTCCCTCTTCTGGCTCGCATGGACCGCCCAACCAAGCATCCACTACGCCGTGCCCATGACCGCCGGCTTCCTCTTCGGCTTCGGCTACCAAACAATCTTCGTCTCCCTGCTGACCTACGTCACGGACGCGTATACAATCTTCTCAGCCAGCGCGTTGGCCAGCTCGGTGATTATTCGGAGTATCATGGGAGCGGTGTTTCCGATGGCTGTCAAGCCGATGTATGCGGCTTGGGGGGTGCAGTGGGCGACGAGTTTCGTGGCGTTGTTGAGTTTGGTGTGTGCGCCGATTCCGTTTGCGTTGGTGGTGTTTGGGCCGAGGATTAGGGCTGCGAGTCGGTTTTGTCATGGGATGACGCAACAGCATCAGGAGAGTGAGAGCGAGAGGGAGGGCGTTAGAGAGGGGGATGTTTAGGAGGTGTGGTAGGAGGGGTTGGGTTTGATGGAATGGGTGGACTTGATGATGATGATGATGATGATGATGATGCGACGCGATATGATCTGGATATATCAAAAGTTTACCCATTATAGATACCTAGGTAGAGTAGATAGACCTTTCGGTAATGCTTAATCTAATATGAACATGATATCAAGACAGGTATGCAAATGAAGAGGTTAATTTTATTTTCTTACTTGAGCTAATCTTTCGGATTAAGCCATCAGGCCTGAAAACCAAATCTCATCCAGATAGCATGAAACTCTTCTAATCATACTAAATAGGTATTTGTATTCTTCCTAGATACTCTACTCAGTTTCCATGAGTACAACCAAGTAAGAGCCGTCATTCATCTTCTCAAGCAGAAGCGACGTAGTTTCTTGTACTACGACAGCTACCTCTTTTCGATCGAAAGACAAGCCCCAGTTCGTCGTAAAGTCCATGCTCTCGATACCTCCCGCACTAGTGTGTCTCGTATGCATGGTTTCTGCCTCTGGTTGTAGAGGCTTTCTTTCCATTCTCATTGTCACGAAAAGATGCTTCTCCTTCTCCCTTGACCTTGTGTGTCTGGTTAGTAGCAGTACCTTATTAATGATTCTCATGCTTGTGATGTCGGATATCTACCTACCTTTCTTCTTCTGCTGCTTCTTCTTTTTCTTTCTCGGCTGGTTTCGCTGTAGTCGCGTTATCAGTTGAATTGTGAGTTGCGTCCTGGGTTACGTTATGAGTCTCGTTCACCACATCGCCTCCCCTCCAGACATGATAGTTCTGGGGAACTACCTACGGATAGGTTGGGGGAATGAGCATGTTTATCTGGTCAGACTTAACGAACTACGTACATCTTACGAGGGAGCCGGTTGTTTGTAGATATATCAAAATTAACCAGAAACTAACTCTGACTGACTGCCTGTACTCTTAAACCTATAGTCATCGCACTCGTATCCCATCAATATCATTAAATACAACACCTTGCTCCAATCTTCAAAGCAGCATCTCGTCGTCTGAGTAGACCCAGTAGACAGTCCATTCTGCCTAATTTCCGTTCTTCTTCTAGCATGCCCACTCTGCCACTTTATACGCCTGATCAGCAGTAGTCTCGTCTTGAGAATTCACATCCCTCTTGCTATTAGCCCAATCGCAGACTTCATATGCCTGGTCGGCAGCGGTGTCATCTGCGGAGTTCTCATTCCTTTTCGCACGGTCAGAAACCCACTCCTTGACTTTGTAGGCCTGGTCTGCTGGACTATGAGAATCAATGCTAGCAGCGCCGTTCTCCACGCTCTCTTTCGTAGACGGGACGGTCGGGACCGAATTATCCTGTTGAGATAGATTAGATCAGGATCATCATTCCAAGGGGTATATGAATGAGATGGAGTACTTACATTGCTAATAGGGGCGGATAGAGCCAGGACCGCCAAGGAGATGAGGATTATGAGTTTCATGGTGGGAGAGGGAGGTTCGTCAAGGTTGGTGGTGTTTGAGGAGATTGTTGAAGTATGAATTGGGTTGGTGATAAGGAGATGACCGCTGAACAGACGGGGCGAGCTTTTTATAATCGTAGGATTCGGTCTTTTAAAAATATCACACAGATCTAGAAGAGGGGAGGTGCTGCATCTATTTCATCCTTTCCTTCAAATCCGTTGACCCCGCCACACCGCTTCATCGGCTTCTCCGCATCCAGTATGATGAACTGACTCGATAGGCAAAAGAGTAGCAATGCTGTACTGCGCATTCCAGGCGCTGCGACTTACACGGCCCTAACCCTTGCATCGTGAGGACGGGTGGTTGATTCGATAGAGTTGCTGCCATGCTGGTGTCAGGAGCCATGAACTAACAGATCCTATCCGAAAAAGGATATTAGCTTGCAATGCATGTGCACGGTTTCTCATCCATCTGCATGCTCAGTAGTTCTTTTACCCAATTCGAAACCGTCTCCATGTTCTGCTTATGGCAGATCTGCTCCGTTTTCGAAGTAGCCTTGCAGGCTTGAGCGAGGTGAGCTCTCTACATAAGACTATGGGCTACTGTTGAGCAATCATATCGATTTTAAGCATAACACCACTCGAAGAACACTAGTCACAGCCCTTGCTTTCTGCTCACCCCGCAACGCCAGGTATTATGGGAGAGATCCACTGGCAGATCTCAGTGAAATTAACAGGATTATTGAGCTGTCCGACTGAGCATATTCGATCCCCCCGAAGATCCCTTCTGAACCCTTCATTCTTCTATCTTTCGTCTCAATTTCCACCATGTCAACAAGCAAATACATTCAGTTAAGTTCAAATACAGAGGAGGAATATGCTCCGTCCGAGGATTCCTCGATATTGATATCGCGTCTTAAGTCTAAAGAACAAAAGCAATCCCAGCTCCTTGTATTCCAATGGGTGACTCTAGCAATCATATCTCTCACCTCGCTAGGACTTCTTCTCGCAGGCAACCCTCTCCATGAGAGTTGTACTTGTCCTGATATTCTCTCCTCAGAACGAGAATGTCGAACCCCAAGAGAAATATACTGTGCGTGCCCCTCCACCTCTTGAGTCTTGGTTTCAGTCTTAATGGGACAAACAACACACAGCACCCGCCCAACACGTCGTTCGATATCAAAATCTCACGTTCACAACGAGTCTCGCGCCTCATCTAACCAAATACCAAGGACCTCCAAGCGATGGGAACTACGCCGCTTGGGAGAATCTCTACGACTGTACCGCTCTCCTCTCGTCCTCTATCTGCCCATTTCAGCTATATATGCACCTGCCTGCCTACCCGCTTGCCTACCTACAAACATACCTACCTACCCACCTTCCGCGACAACAAAACTAACATAATCCAGTCTCCCTCAGCAAAATCCCCCGCTCATCCGCCGCGCAACTCGTCGACAAAACCGTCCCCATACCGGACTATCCCGGCGAATATGCCGTCGCCCTCGACGTATTCCATCAACTACACTGCCTAGTTCGTCTCTCCCTGCCCCGCCGTAACCCTCTCCTCTCTAAATCAACCAACCCCCCCTTCCCAACTAACTAAGACTAAATACCAATACTAATACCAACCCCAGAACATGATCCGACTCAAAGTCTGGTCCGCCGAATCCCCAACCTACGTCAACCACACCCTCGACACGGAGATGTTCGAAATCAGCCACATCGACCACTGCATTGACTCGGTGCGTCAGAGCGTAATGTGTCATTCGGATATCGCCCCGATTCCGTGGACGTGGGATGAGAAGAGCGGTTCCGCGAAGGGCAAGTTGACGGGTCATCATACTTGTCGGGATTTTGAGGCGATTAGGCAATGGGCGAGAGAGCATCATGCGGAGAGGTTTGATCGGAATACTTTTGTGGAGGATCCATTGGGGAATCAGTGAGTGCCTTACCTGGTATTTGGGGCGGTTTTGTTGGCGGAGGCGGTAAGTCAAGGGCATGAGTTGGGATGGTGGGGAAGACATAGATAGATCGATAGAGACTCGTGTATTTTTTTTCAAGTGTAAAAACGTTTGAATAAAAAGGATGTATGGCACGAGGGGGTATCGTAGTGAAGTTATCATTTCTCCGGCAGAGAGCATCTGTGGGCTTAAGATGAAGATAGCCAGGACACTCGCATCTCGACAAACTATATGACATGTCCATACAACCGATAAAAAAGTAAATAATTTCATTTACATTTAAATCGATTCATCCAGGTACATGTGCATAAAAAACCCAATTATTTTGTTTTCATATTGCCTGTTCCTATCCATTATGTTAAGTCAGTCCCACACAACGGTATACTTCAAGTGGAGACTCGGATAAGACGTCATATTAAGCCTCATACCTTTAAACTAGGTATAAAATCAAAATAGAAATAGATATCAAAATCAATCGAAAATCAATGTGCACCCAATAAATAAGTCCACTAACAAACCAACTCTCCACTCTGACTCTGTCTGTCCTTGATAGGCCACCGAAGCACCCGCCTCGCCCAGCCACCGGATTATCCCGCGTCGCATCGCATCATCATTTTCATCTCGACCTCCATCGCATCTTCATTCCTACATCCTGTCGCACATCCTCCATAAAAATTAAATCATTAATAATGTCCTCCATCTACGTTTATCTCTACCGTCTCTGATAAATGATTACGAGATCGACTTCACCTACGACTTAACGCTGTTGCGATATCCTCACCCCGCAACCCAACCACCACCACCACCACCAGTCCCTTCAACAAAAAGAATAAAACAAACAAACATTTACGCATCAAATCCAGAATACTCCACACTACGCAATCACCTAAATATCATATCCACCACCCACTCCTCCCACATAAACAAACAACCCTGCCACCCATGAAATACGCCGCGATCTCCATCCCGGCATCCTACGGCCGTCTCGACTCCTCCCCCTCCCCGGGCACCGTAGCTGGCATAATCCTCGGCTCCGTCTGCGGCTTCATCTTCCTCCTATACCTAATCTACCTGGGCCTCTCCTCAGGCCGCAGATTCAGCGGCACGTCGACCGTACCGCCGTCCGGCACGGGCACAGAGATCTCGGAAGCGGTATCGGCGCGATCATCGCGGTTCCGAAGACGGCCGAGGAGGAGAGATGATGTGGTTGAGGTGGAAGAGGGGAGGAGTGCGGAGGGGGATAGTCGGATTGTCGTGGAGGAGAGTATGACGAGTCGGAGCCGTGGGGATGAGGTTGTGGAGGTTATTGAGGAACATGGGGGGAGGTCGTCGAGGCCGTCGAGGGCTGGGACGGGGAGGAAGGGCGGGTATAGGAGGGATAGGTATGAGGATAGTGATTATGAGAGTTCGAGGTTTTAAGTGTTAGGGCTTGAGGGGAGGGAAGGAGTAGGGAAGAGGGATAGATTGTATGAGATATGATGGTATGAGTTCATGAGTATATTAATCACGCAGTCAGTATAGCTTGTTTAAGTTCAAAAGGAAATACAATCGATCATTGTCTTCGTTAAACGAACCACGCCTGACCAGATCCGAGGCAAGCAGACAGACAGACAGGCAAGACTGATTGAACAGCAGAGGAAAATCCGGAAGAAAATATACTCCATGTCCGTCTTCCATCCTCCAGAAAGAAAAGGTAAAAGAAACCCCATAACAAACTCCAAACACCCCGAGTCGAAACACGAGTCCCAGTCAGTCGCAGTTGTAATCGCAATAATCACATCGACAACACCGACGCCCTAGGAAGTATCGGCCTCCCCTAGAACAGAATGTCTAAACAGCAGCAACACGCCAACGCACCCAGGATACCTGCGCAGATGCCACCTCCCGACGAGCCTCCGCCACCGCGGTCACCCGCATAATAGCCCTGCTGTTGTTGAGGCGGGTACCCTTGTTGCGGCGGGTAGTACATCTGCTGCTGGGGCGGCGGAGAACCGTAGTAGCCTTGTTGAGGAGGAGGGGAGCCGTAGCCGCCCTGTTGAGCGTAAGGGTCGCCGCCGGGAGGACCGTAGTAGCCACCTTGGTTGTAGTAGTCTTGTTGAGCGCCGGCGGGAGGAGGCGAGTAGGGGCCGGCGTCATGGACGGGCGGTGGATACGAGGGAGGTGGGCCGTCCTGGAGGTTTTATTAGTTGTTGGAAGGGGAGGAGGGAAAAATGGGGTGACGAACGGGTTTGTTGTAAGACATGATGGCGATGGAAGGACGGTCGGGGAGGAGAGAGAGGTGGAGGTGGAGAGGTCGAGAGAGAAAGAAAGAGAGAGCGCGAAGAAAGTCGGAGGAAGAGGAGAAAAAGACAAGCACTTGGCGTCCGGATTAGGCAAGGGGCTGGGCCTGTTCGTCTTGGTTCTGTTCAAAATAAACTCTTCTCCGGCAGAAATACCGCTAGCTCTTTTACTTCACTACACGAGAGAGTCGGATGCTTTTATATCCATTCCATGGAACCCACGATGGTATTGTCTCTGCCTGTCGCGCCACTGCAAGCGCCCTGCACCGCCACCCGACGTGAACCTGTCACTGTTCGATTGCCGTCGCTGCAAGTGGACCTCACTAAAATAAACCCCACTCGATTGGTACGGAGATAAAATAATAATAAAAATTCTCGAAGGATCGAAGATATCAGATTGCTCGCTCAACCGCTCATCAGTTCGTTACGTACAGCGGTGGGCACTTTTGGTAGAACACATGAAACAAAATCGAAGATGAGATCAGAGATGAGAGTTGTCTACCGCGAGACATGCCGTTGCCAAATAACCACAAGAATAAAAAGAAAATAAATATGAACTGAAGTTACAGAGAAAGAGAAAATGGGGGGAAAGAAAAGAGAAAAGCATCGCCGTCAGCTGCGACCAGACAGAAAAGAAAAAAGGAAATGCATAACCAAAATGTAATGCTAGACTTTAGTCGGTCTAAAGTGTCACATTCGCTGATGTCATCATGCAAAAGGTGAGGTTGGTCTTATATATCTATGCCTTCTCCTCAAGCGAGGCTTTCTGGAGTTCCTCGGACACGTCGGCCGCCGCATCTTTCTCCTGCTTCAGCTCGGCCGTCGCCGACACGGTGCCGTTGACGCCGCTGTTCTCCTGCGCAGGCTTCTTGGCCGCGTCGGTCGCCCGTTCGTTGGCCTCGGCCGCGGTCGACTCCTCTTCCAGACGATCGATCTCGTCCTGAGCCTTCTTGATGTTCTGGATTCGGTCAGTCAGTATGCAGTCTTGGGACTTGGGGAATCACCGGTAGCTTACCTCCTGGGTCTTCTCGGCCTGGCTGCTCTTCCATTCCGTGATCTTGGCGGCAAGCTTCTCGATTGCGGCCGGAACGTCGCTCTGGTTCATGGGAGGGTCGATCTTGACCTTGGCAAAGTCCTCAATCACACCCACGTTCATGTTGAACTTGTCGGCCGGCACGACGGTGTTTGTGGCAGCGGCAGCGGAGGTGGAAGAGCCCGTGCCCTTCTTGCCCTTCTTGCCCTTCTTGCCGCCGCCACCGACGAAGTAGTCCTCCTCGCGGTCCTCCTTCTTGAGCACCTTCATGCCCTGGAGGTTCGAGTCGTCCACCTTGCGACCGACCTCGGCGCGGAAGTTGGATCCCTGGTCCTTCTTGTCATCCAGACCCAGCGCGGCGAAGTCGTACGAGGGGTTGAAGTGACGGATCAGTCCCTGCGCGGTGAGAATCTCGTCGGTGTAGGCCAGGCGCGAGGCCTCCTCCAGCTTCTTGTCGGCAACCTTCTTCTTCTTCTCGCGCTCGAACGCATCGCGCTGAGCCTTCTGTTTCTCGCGACGCACGCGCCACGCCTCGTCCTCATACTCCTTGTACGCCTTGCGGTTCTTGTAGTAGGTGTCCTTGACTTCGCGGATAGCCGACCACTTCTTCTGCTGTTCGCCGTGCAGCTTCGTGCGCTCGTCCCGCAGCGCGTTCAGGTTCTTGAACGCACCGTCCTGCTCGGCCTTGATGGCGTCCAGCTCCTTCTGGATCTCGGAGTATTTGTCGCTAAGGGCCTTGGATTCCGGGTTGTCGAGGGTCTTCTTCAGGGTGGAGATCTGGGCCTTGAGGTCGTCGATCACCTTCTGGGCCTCCTCCAGGCCGGCGAAGTTCTTGCGCTGCTTGCGCAGGTTCGAGACGTCGGACAGCGCCTTGCGCTCGTCCACCAGGCGCAGCGTTCCCGAGTCGACCTGCTTCTCCAGGCGGGCGATCTCGCGGTCAATCTCGTCGACGTTCTTGAACGACATGCGGCCGCGGGAGTTGTTCTGCTCCGCGATGCGGGCCTTCAGGGTCGAGTCGAGGGCATTGATCTTCTCCTGGGTGCTGGAGCGGGAGGATTTGAATCCTTGCTGCTTCTGGCGGATCGAGGAGAGCTCAGCGCGGAGTTCCTGCTGTCTCTTTCCGGCGGGGGAGTCCTGGTTGTTGGGCTTGGCGGCTTCGATCTTGGCCTTGATTTGGGTCTGAGATAGTTACTGGTATTAGTATGTATCCAAGAAAAAGAAATGTGGAGAGCGAGCGATTGGAAATCTCAGTGGTGAATCGTAGGCGACAACATTGTGTAGTGTGAAGTGTCAAATAAACATATGCGGGATAAACCGCCGCAATCCGTCAAACGGACGGGGGAAAACGGCAATGGAGTGAATCAATGGTTACGAACCAATTTCTCCTGCACAGCGGCATGTTCCTTCTCGGCCAGGGCGAGATCGGCCTTGAAAGCCTCCTCGTTCGGCTTGGTAGGTTTCACCTTGGGCTCCGTGGGAGGAGCGGACTTGGTCTCAGCGGCCATGATGGGGGACCGGGAAAACAAAAGAGAATGGATTGAAATTGAGGAGGGAGTCAATCCAGAAAGAAAAAAAAAGGAGGGCGGAAGGGAGGGAGAAAAGAAGCACAATTGAGGATGGGGGGTAAAGGAGAAGAAAAAGAAGGCAACGAGTTGGTCTGGCCTTTTCTCTGTTCTTCTTTCTTGGACGGCGCTTAACCCGAACCTCGTTGGCGCAGTTAGCGCTGGTCCGCCGATTTTTCGAGACGCTTTTTGTTCTTCCCTATCAAAGCATCGCCTTCACCTTCCGCCTCACCTTCACTTCTCCGCTTGCTCTTGAGCTCACGTGTCGCTGACATTTCTTTCATTTTCCTCTTTTTCTATCGTCCCGGTTTTTGGTTCGCGCCGCGCGCGCTATATTCACCATGGATGAAGACTACTCTGCAGGCTCCCAGGATGCCGACCGCGAGATGACCCGGCTCTGGCGCACATTCAAGACAGTACACGAGCTGCTGGCGGACCGAGTAGGCATTGTCTTTACCTCCGAGGCATATTCATGACCGCTAACAATAGCACAGGGATACGATATCTCCGAAGCTGAACTCAAACTCTCTCTGGACGACTTCAAGCAAAAATATGCCGACCCTCTTGGCTACCCCGAGTACGGCTTCACCTCCCAACCAACCCCGTTAGCTCCCACAAAAATACTAACATACCCTTTTTCTTTCCGACCAGCCGCAACAAAATGAAAATCCAAGCCTCCCCCTCCGACGCCATGCTCGCCAAATACACGCCCCTGCCCAGCAAATCGAACCCGGACCCCCAACCCGACTGCGGCACCATCTGGGTCGAATTCTGCGCCGACTCGTCCGGCGTCGGCACCAAGCAGGTGCGCAGCTTCAACCACTACATCGACGAGAACAACTTCCACACCGGCGTCTTCATCACCCAGACCCCCATCTCGCCCTCCGCTGTGCGCCTCCTCAGCGGCGTCCCCGGCCGCATCTGCGAGCACTTCCAGGAGCAGGATCTGCTGGTCAACATCACCCGGCATGAGCTGGTGCCGAAGCACGTCCTGCTGAGTCCCCAGGAGAAGGCGCGCTTGCTGGAGCGCTACCGTCTGAAGGAGTCGCAGCTGCCGCGCATTCAGGTCTCGGATCCCGTGGCGAGGTATCTAGGTCTGCGGAGGGGTCAGGTCGTGAAGATTATTCGGAAGAGTGAGACGGCGGGTCGGTATGCCAGTTATCGCTGGGTTATTTAGATGGGTGGATATGGGGGTTGGATATGGAAGGTGTGGCTGTCGACTGGTGCGGGTGCAGACTTTTCCTACCTGTCTTGTCTGGAGGGCCATCAGTCGGTCAGGCTATCTCCGGACAGCGATACGATATCGCCGAGATCAGAAAGAAATCGACAGACAGGAAAATTTCCGCACCCGCACCACTACCGATTCTATCGATTTCAAATCGAGACAACAAGAAAGGAAAGCTCAAAGATCTCCACCACCAGCCGGCCACAATTCAAGAGCAAAGAGCATGTGAGAATAAGAGGAGGCCATGGAACCACCAAAACCAAAAACCAAAAACACAAAAAATCTGGAAATTAAACGGAGGATCGTGTCCCAAAAATTCCAGGCATAGGGGGAAACAGCAAGGCGTAACGGCGAAAAGAAAAGACAGTTAGTTTCATTTGATTTTTTATCAATCACTGCGGGTGTGAAATTTTGCTATGCTATTTTTTGGCTGATTGATGTCATTGTCATTGTCATTGTCTTATCTATCTTTGTGAAGTAAGGTCAACTTAATTTGCAAATGTTGTATTATTTATGGTTACTACACTACCTAGCTTTGGTTTTGTGTGTATTGTCTTTATTATTGGGTATAAATAACTACTATATATGTGAATGAAATTTAAATATTCTTTCTTATTCACTGCTTGGTTTAGGTAGTTTGGGGGAATGGTAGCTCGAGTGTGGAAGGATATCAATCAATCAATCAATCAAAGTTCTATTAACCTGATGAAGTCTATCTATTGAAACGCTAAACTATGCAGGCGCTTCGCCGACTGAAGCAGACTTTCGAGCCCATACGCCATATAAACCCTCAAAGCAGTAGACAAAGGAAATCAAAAAGTAACACAACTAAACCGGCTGCCACACGCCTGCCGGTTGCCTACTGCGCCCCTAGGCGCTGTTCTCCCCTTCCACTCCGTTCTATTTGTAGTATTCCTGCATGTGCGCGTCGTATAGCCAGTTGAGACTCTCTGGCCCTTGGCGTTCTGTGTAACCATCGTCTTCCTCGTTTAGATCGAGTCCCTCTAGGAGGGTGCTGGGTTCCGGGACCTCCTCGTCCTCCTTGTCGTTAAACGTGGCGGATCGGAACTGCTGTAGGAGGCCTGTATACACTTACGCAGTTCCTCGATAGAGTCGAGGCGTTCCATCATTATTCTCCGACTGGCGAGGTGCAGCGAGCACTCCATAAGGACGTGTTTAGGCGTCTGAGAGCCTAATTCACCCGCAGCGGTCGGAGTCGACCTGCTTTATCTTGAAGAGGAAATGCCTCAATCCGATCCTCATAGTGCGCATTTGGATGATTATAGAGGTCTGGGGCTTGCTCAGGCCCTCGTACATCCTTAAGACCTTCTTATTCGGCTTCGGAACCAGCCGTTTGGTAGGCTTTCCAACCCGTTGTCGCACCCACCACTTCGCCCACTGCGCCTGGATTCTCCGGCGGACGTCAGTTTTGGCTGCAGCTGCGAGTCTCGTGATTAGCCGAGCGGCCAGCTCCCGCGGCCCTACTGAGCTTAATTCAATTCCCTTTATCGCGGCCCGCTTGGCTGCCTCATCAGCTCGTTCATTCCCTTCTACACCGATATGCGCAGGGATCCAGCGCAGCTCCATATCTCCCTGCTGCAGGCCCCTGCCTCTCAGGGTCCTGATCCTCTCGTAGATAGCCCGTAGTACGTACTGACCTGATGGTCGGCCAGGGTTCTGCACGGCTTGAATGGCCGTCTGGCTGTCTGAAAAGACCGTGATCGGGGTAGCCTCTGCCCACTTTAGGGCCGTTTTGACCCCCTCTAGCTCTCCCACGTACACAGTGGAGTCAGCTGCGGCTCCTAGGTATTTCTTGCGGACCTTCCCGGCCCGAATCGAGACTGCAGCGCCCCCTACCTGGCCGTTAAAGCCGCTGCCGTCAGAGTACCAGATCTGCCTCTGGCTTTCCTAGCAGATCCTGTCGTGTTCCTGGGCTGCGCTATCCGCTCCCTCGATCACGCAGTTAAGTGGGAGCTCCCACGGGGCGAGCACGTGCGCCTTTCGGGACTCCCACGTAGCCAAACTTCGGCCTCCGGTCCATAGGGGCCCCCCTTCCTCCACCTCAGCGCCTCCATGGGGGTCTACCCAGACCGTTTTATCTCCGCCGAGCTGCTCTTCCTGACTAATCCCCGGGGACAGGCCATAACCGGTCCGGTCTATATCCGGATTGCGGCTTCCTCAATCATCTGTTGCATGTGCAGGCGGACCGGAGGCAGGAACAGCTCTGCCCCTAAAGCTGCAGAGGCGGTATTTCGGAACGCTCCACTAATAAGTACTGCCGCCCGCGTCTAGATTCGTTCGAATTCGTTGATAGTCTTCTGCCGTTTTGCATACTTAGTACGCCCGCTGGTAGGGCTATACCATGCAGCAACCCCGTAGAGCATCTGCGGGACTACTACGGCCAGATATATGGTCCGTATCTCCAGCAGGGACGTGCCCCATGTGGACGCAGAGATGCTCCGTAGGGCCTCGAGGCTCCCGTTCGCCTTCGCTACCGCCTTGGTGCAGTGGGTAGTAAAGGAGAGAGTCTTATCGAGCCAGATTCCGAGGTATTTAGAGTGCTCCACTGGCCGAATGACGTGGTCCGTTGCGTGATCCTTTAGTGGCAGTTGGTCATGCCCCTGGGGTTCAACGGGAACCTCCCAGGCGCTCCCGTCCTCCCAGTTAACGTTGGTAAGGTCCTCTCCCTTCCATGGTTCCGTGTAGTCACAGGGGGGGTGTGTGGAAGGATATATATTATTGTCCGGGAACTATGTACCTACATACCTATATACTCCCTAAAAAGCTAAAGGACCCAAAAAAATAAACATGATAAATGAAAACCACCAACTCCATCGCTAGATATAATTAGATCCTTCATAAACCAACGTACCTTAACATAAACCAACCCAACCAATCCTTACCCAAACCAGATCCCTTAAAAATAAATTATAGTGAATATAAAACGACACGATATTATGATACAACCCATCCAACTTACCCACCCAACAATCATACACATATAAACAAAAGAGCTTAATCACCTCTCCTCAACAACCCCCCAACATCCTGAAGTTCCACATCGTCGCGACCCTCCGGAATCGACCCGGAATGACGATAACCCGGCTGCTGCTGCTGCTGCTGCTGCGAGCGATATAACGGGACGGGTGATTCAGGTGACGGCACGCTGTCGAAATGCACGCTCGAGCCGCGTCGAGGGCGTTCTGATGAGGAAGAGGAAAGGTTGGATGTGCGGAGGGCGCCGGGGTGGGTTGGTGAGGTTGGTGAGGTGGGGGTGGACGTGGACGTGGACGTGGAGAGAAGGCCGCCGACGTCTTGGAGGAAGGCCAGGCTTCCCGTGCGAGAGCGGGTGCGGGTGCGGGTGCGCCGGGGAGGATTTGGATTGGGGTTGGGGTTGGAGGCTAGAGGGTGAGGGTGAGGATTAGGATGATGAGGGTTTGTGCCGGGGACGTGCAGGGTAGATGTTGAAGGGGACGGGTCGAGAAGGCCGCCGACGTCGAAGAAGGAGACTTTTCCGGGGGAAGAGGACGGGTGCGGGATGGTGGAGGGTTTGTTCGTTTCGATGTATTCATGAGGGCTTATTTTTATGTCCAGACTGCCGGTCGTGGAGGTGCCTTCGTCGTCGGTGGTGATGGTGGATGGGTGGTTGAAGGACCAGACTGGGTTGAGGCCCGCGGTGGTGCCCGGATGTGTTCCATAAGGCTGATAGGGTCCGGCGACCGGGGCAGGTCGTGGGCCTTGGTTTTCGGACGAACAGAGGTCGGCGTCTAGGCGGATCCCTAGATCGCCGGCAAGGTCGGAGTCGGAGCCCCATTGGTGATGGGTGACGGTGGCGCGACGGACGGTGGTGTGGTCAAGACTCTCGCTGACGGAGGCGGAGCCTTGGGCTTTCTTGTACTTGGCTTTCTTAACGCCTTTATCGCGTACGAAGGAGCCGATGACGACGGCGTTGGAGACGGCCGTGGCGGCTAGGATCTCGAGAGACGCGAGCAGGGTGCGGTACTGTTGCGAGCCGTTGTGGTGGATGACGGAGGGGACGCGGTAGCAGGTGATGCCGACGAGGATTAACGAGAGAGCGAAGAGGACGACGAGCGCGACTTTGCGCTTCATCGTCATGTTAGACATGACGACCAAGGGGATCGGGAAGACCACGAGGAGGATATCGGTAATCACATCACACACGCCCATCGTGATGAGGTTGGCATACCCCAGTCGACACTGCGGACCGGGGTCTGGCACGACCTGCCAGTAGTGATGGAAAGGCTGGCACTCGGCCAGCGTGGCGATCAGGACAGCCACGAGCGTCGACCCGAGAAAGTAGTAGAGGAACAGCAGGAACAGTCGGATCGATCGTCGCCAGATCATGCCGGCCACTCGCCGGAGAAACTCGCAGACCGTCAACTTGGCCATCCAGATACTATATCAGAACAGATCGTTAGTCCGACAGCATATACCTAACGGGAAACCCTATCTTACAAGATCGCATAGAATATCCTCGCCCCCAGAACCAGCCTACTCCCGATAACGCGATGTCGAATCTCTACCTCCGTTAAGCCGTCTGTTTTCGTATTGTTGGTGCCCCAGATCAGGATAACGTGGACCAAGGCCATGCGAGCCAGCAACGGGATGATACTGGCCATCATGACCTTATCTTCGCGGAAGAAGCGCTCGATGCGGACATACCGACCGCAGACACGCGTTACGATAATGGCCAGCGAGAACGCCGTGGTCCACCAGCTCACCAACAGCGTGGGGTTGTCGTCTAACTTGGTGCGAATATCTGGTGGAATGTCGGAGTAGATGCGCCGGGGATCCAGCATACTGATGCTGATAGTTGAGTCGACAGCACCGCCTCCGCAGAGGGGCTCGTCGGCAAGCGCAAGCCGAGATGAACTCAGGGACCACGCAGGAGAATCAGCGAGATGGTGTTGATTGCCGCGCTCACATTGTTCATGGCGGATCCTCCGTTAGTGAGGAGGGAGCGCACGTGCCCCAAACCCCGGAGTTGCGGATGTGGGGGAGGCGATCAGAGAAGACCGACACGTTTAGATGATAGATCGATCGATACGGAGATTCGGAGTGTTCCGAAGGGCGTAGAGAGAAAGATCGATGATGGACAGATCGCAGTAGCTGTCGATATATGCCAGGTTGCGACCAGCTACAGACAAGTCAGAGGGGAGTACATCCAGAGCTTGGACAACGTGGAAGGGATAATAGGTAAAATCCAAAAACAACAGGTCGGAGTCCAATTCACCGCCGTTCTGACCCAAAGGGGATGATCATATATTACCCCGTACTAATAATAATAATAATAATCGACCGGCGCCAGTGATTTAGTGCGAGGGCATCATGGATCAGGAGTGGGTGGAGATAACCGAAGGGAGGGGATGAACACCAACAGTCACGGAGCACGGAGTACCTTAAACCCTTCCTCCGACCAGCATGGCGAAGTCCAAGAAGTAATCCTACTCCGAGTCCTCAGAATAATATCCCCCAAGGGTCATGGCGTCCAATAACCAGGCGCCAATGCGGGCGATAACGCCGGGACGCCCCATTTCTCCCATTCGCCATCGATGAATGGCCTTTGTGACTTGCGTCTTGAGAGGAGAGAGATATGTAACCGGGCTAGCTAGGTAGCATAGTCCCTCGAGTCCGGAAAGATCTGCCAGCCAGCTCACGAGCTCGGAGAGGGATCTCCCCAGCCCTTGCGTTTTCCCTTCCCATGGCTTGGTAGTATGACGGATACGAAGTTCGAGTGCTTGTCATTTTCTTGGAGGACGAAATTTGCCGGAGGGTGTGGTGGAGGCGGATTCTCCGAAAGTTTGTCTTGCCCTGTCTTCTTTTTTTTCGCTTTTTCTTTTTCTGTTTCTTATCGGTGGTTGGAATCGAGTCGATCGATGTTCCAAGGTACTGTCCACACACGGAATCTCTAACGCCGAGAGCTGGACTTGGAGTTACGAGCTGTAATCAAACGATGGAATGCCTGATGTTATTACTTACTATTAGCTCCTCTGCTCCTGCTCCTGTTGAAGGAGAGGCAAATTCACATGCGACCGCCTCCAATTCCTTGGTCGTGGCTTAGATGTCAGAATGCCCAGATTGGCCTGACTCGTAACCGTCGGCCTCGACTTGTCGTATTAGTGAATGGGTCTCCTGTTTCTCGTGATCGCAATCTGTGATGGGATGGGTACTTGCCATGCCATGCGATAGGCGCTGTGTTCCGTCAACGTCGAGGGTGCCATCCCTGACTTGACAGGCTCAACCCCGTTAATTTGCCTATCTGATCAGGGCACGTGCCCCTTTTCTACTAAGATACAAACCTATGGAGGATGATCAACGTAGTTGGTTGGCAGAGAGATAAAGAACGGTTATACCGATGCAACCTTCTTAATGTCTTTCTCGAGAATCCCTGACGTCGCATTTCATACCTGATCGGGAGGCGCCGAGGATGTACTTCGGTCTATATAGACCTGGTCCACTATCGTCATCAGAGATGACCATGTTAAACATGAACCATTATCGCATTGTATGCTCTATATCCATAACGATTACATCGTTTAAATTAGCAGAGCAAACCAACCCCGTCTACCTCAACGACTGAATACCCGCCCCGTTCAACAACCCCCCCAGCACCACCCGGATCTCCTGCAAGAACCTGGTCACCTCCGCCTCGGTGCCGACCGTGATGCGCAAACATCCCTCGCAGCCCAGCTCCTTGCCGCGGAACCGTACCACCACGCCCCGCTTCTCCGCCATCGCCTCGTACGCGCCCAACGCGATCTCGTTGCTCGCCTTCCCGCTCTTATCCAACAGCTCCACCAGCAGGAAGTTCGACTCCTGTCCGCCCAGGAAGCGCCCTACGCCTGGGATCTTCGGCAGCTCGCGCACCAGCCGCTCGCGCTGCGCGATGATCTGCTCCCGGTACCGACGCATCACGGCCATGTTCGTCTCCGACAGAGCAGCAGTGGCCAGGGCGCTGGTGGGACTGGAGATATTATAAGGGGCCTTGAGGCTGTTCAGGAGCGTCGCGATGGGGGGACTCGTGAAGGCCACGCCGAGTCGGATACCCGCCAGCCCGAATGCCTTGCTGAGCGTCTGCATCACGACCAGGTTCGGCCACTCGTTCACCCACTCGGCCAGACTGGACCCCTCCGGCGCGAAATCGATATACGCCTCGTCGACCACCACCACGCCGTTCCACGTCGGGTGCTCCAGCACCTTCTGGATATCCGCCTTCCTGATCAGGTTCGCCGTCGGGTTGCCCGGGGAGCAGATGTAGGCCATCTTGATGGAGGGGTCGGCCGCCAGCGTCTCGTTAATCTTCTCCGCTTGTAGCTGGAATCCGTTGTTCACGTCTAGTGGCACCTTGACGATCTCGACGTCGTTAACCTGCGCGCTGACGCCGTACATGCCGTACGTCGGAGGGCAGGTGAGGATCTTATCTTTCCCTGGGACGCAAAAACATCGCAGCAGGGCGTCGATGGCCTCGTCGGAGCCGACGCCGACGAAGAGGTTCTCCGGTCGTAGGGTCTTCTGGGTGTGGTGGTGGGTGTTGCGGAATTGGCAGAATAGCTGTTTCAACTCGATCTGGTGACTGATTGACAGGACACGTCCAATTAGACTTTCCCCGTCCCCATACACGATGTTTGAAAGAGCACAGAATATGGAATGACTCACGGATCCGGGTATCGGTTCAATCCCAACAGATCGATATCGGGTTTCGACGATCCAGTCGAGCCTCCCGTCGCCGTGGATTCTTGGAGCGCGCCCTCAGAGTTCAAGGCGAGACCGGGTCCATAGGCATTCTCGTTCGCGTCTAGCAGGATATTCGTGCCGTCGTCCTTGTAGTCACTGATATGGTAGGTTAATCTTTTGTTCCGATGACTCAACTCAATCGGCGCGGGGCGACGGGGCTGTGAACTCACTCTCTGGCACACCGGTAGGGCTGCAATTGCAAGATATTCTTGCGCGCGCATGTCGATAGATTGAAAGGTGATTGTCTGGCGGCCATCTTGAGCGGATTGATATGTTGGGGTGGTTTGTTGCAGAAGGGAAGAAATATTGGTGGGGACCGTGGCGGGGAAGATCAAATCGATCATCACCGGAACCGGTGTCGGAGAGGACGGAGGAGTCATTCCTGCGGGTACCTTATCTATTAATTATCAGGTACTAGTGATTCAAAACATCTACGGAGTCATTGGTAGCTAGGCTGGATTAAATAAAATAGTGCAATATTTCTATGTACGGTTCGTTATATTTATGCTCATGATATATAACTATCGTGGATGCAATTTTCCACACATATTTACTACAGTTCACAACCTTATCAAAGTCAAGCCTCGGTACGCCGTGGATATGCTGGGCCGGTCTGCCCTCACGGCACTGTATCTGCGATCATGAGTATCTATTCTTGCTTAGTGGTGTTGGAAGAGGACTCCTCGCTCGACGGAGGAGGGTTCTTGCCGGACTGCTTGTACTTGTCCTGCTTTTCTCGCACGTAGCGCCAGGTACGAGCGAAGCCCGAGGTGAGAAGGCCCTTGGCGGACTGCACAGAGCTGGGCCATCGGATGGTCTTCGTGATCGAGGCGCGCACCTCCTTCTGCAGGTTTGCGTCGCTAGCGATCCGCTGCTCGAATTGACCGCCTTGTCGCCGGCGCACTAGCTCAGGATCCTTGTCGTTGCTTTCCTTCATCATCTTGTTGAATTCCGCTCGCGGAATCTCATAACGCGATTGATACTGGAAATACAACTTCTCCCGGAAGGACTCGGGCAATCGGCGGACCATGTTACCACGCTTGATGGGGTCCATGTCCTGCGTTAACCGCACGTTGGCATCGGGATCGTCGATCCAGTCCTCCTGTGTGCAGCGCCTGTCGTTGAACGTGACGTTGGGGAGGTTCTCAATGAGCGGGGCGTACAGCCGCCGGAAATTGGCCATCTGTCCGGAGACAATGTTATTGACCTTGCGAGGGTCCTCGGTCGGTAGGGCCATGCGAATGTCGCCCATGTAGCTGATTGCCGCAATGGTGCCGTAAAGCTCAAACTCGCTGAACTGCTCCGGCAGCAGCAGCAAGGCAACCCGGACCGCAGACAGCAGATTCATCTGGTTGGCAAGTCGCACCCCGGGATGGTCCCGGAGGATCTTGACGGGTTTCTGCAATCGCCCGGCCAGGTACAAAGTGTCCCATTGGCTGAGGTCCTGGCAGAGCGTATCCAGGTTCACGACGCCGTATTTGATCAACGTGCCATTGACCGTTACATACGGATTGAAGTACACACCCGCCCCGAGTTTGTCCTGCGTTTGCGAGACTAGATAGGATCCTAGAGAACCCAAACCGGAATAATGATCACGGTGCTGACTAAGGTTTAGTGAGTGCCAATGTTGAGAGTACGAAACACCGAAGATAAAGTCTATCATCTTCCCTTGTCCTTGCTGCATATTTTTAATGGCTGCCGGCGCTGATGGGTGACATTGGCTAGAACCGGGTGCGCTGCCGGACTGCGGAAACACTCCCGACCCGTAGGCGAATGCATACCGAATCGGAGCGCGGAAACCCCAGAGGATCTGGCGTAACGCTTCTTTGAATTCCTGGTTAATGATCATATGCTGGTTGACACCAAAGTCTTTCGAGGGGAGTTCCGAAAATGCCGAGATCGCGAGATTCGAGTTCACCTCCCAGTCCCCAGGATCGGAATATTGTGGCGAGGTCGAGAACGAGGCAGGAGAGGGCGTCAGGAGCGGACGCTCTGATGAAGTTGAACGAACGCCATGGGATTGAGTGGAGTAAAGCCGACTTCGGGTTAAAGGGCCGCCATTGTGATGTGTTGAGGTCTGCAGAGGAAAAGAGCGGAGAGCGTTCGGAATGCGAGAACGGCGCGCAGCAAACGGAGAGGCCGGACCCAAATGCATACGGAAGGAGCCCGAAGAGTTCATAAGGAGGGACTGCGAGCGAGCATCATTGATCAGCGTTCTGGTTTATTTTATTCAGGGCCAAGAAAAATTCCGGGGAGAATAGCGTACCGTAGCTTCGCGCATCGTTGGGGCTCCACGGATCAAAGGAAGGCAAAGGAAGGGGGAGGGCAGGCAAGAAAAGGAAGGAATTGCACAGCGAGGGCTGTAGTAAACACAATGAATCAAGATACCATCTGCAAGCACAGTTTCAGAACATATCTTGCGACGAGATAAGATGGAGGAAAGGAGAAAACGAAGACAGAGGAACGGCAGATACTGCGGAATATGAGAAGAGCCAACGAGAGAGGAAAGAGAAAGGCCGAGACTGACGTACTCCGGGCCCTGGGGGAATAATGGCGGCCTCGTCCGTGAGGCTGCCATTCATGCGCCACCGTCAGCCACACCACGTGACCTTGTTTCTCCGCGGGCGCGTTGCGTAGAAGCGACCCAAACAAGAGAGTAAACAAGCGCCCTCCTGGACAGCAACCACCTCCACGCCGACCCGACCACTGCAGGTGGACATCCATTGACATTATATACCAAGCGCTTGCTAGGATCTGAATATTTTTTCACTCCATGATTCTCATGCGCTGCCCGCTATGACCCAGAACATGGAAACGTTTGGCGCCCGCCTTGCCAGCTTCGACCGGGTGCTGCAACCGGAGAAGCGACGAGGATCGAGCGCGAAGAGCGCAAAATCGATCGCCTGGCCTCACCGGAGGCCCTCGCCGGCTGAAGTATGGTCCCGGTGAGGTGAATGGTAAAATATCGTGGCTAATGGCTGACTTTCACAGTTGGCGCATGCGGGTTTCTTTTATAACCCTTACGAGACCAACCCCGATAATACGACATGCTTCCTGTGCCGGAGAGCGCTCGACGGATGGGAGGAAGAGGACAATCCGATCACGGAACACTTGAAGCATTCTCCGGACTGCGGTTGGGCGCTCATGATGGACATCCAGCAGCACAGTTCCAACCCCGCAGAGATTGAGGACCCAACAAGCGACACGATAAGGCAGGCACGATTGGCTACCTTTGGTGAGCTGTGGCCACATGATGGAAAACGGGGCTGGGTTTGTCAATCCGAAAAGGTACGGTTAATCTCGATAAAATGCTATGCACTGCGGATGTCCCTTGCTGATCGTTGAGTTGCCGACAGATGGTTGACGGCGGGTGGTATTTTTGCCCGACCGATGAGAGCGACGATCTGGCCAGCTGTGCCTACTGTAAACTGTCGCTCGATGGATGGGAACCCAAGGACGATCCCTTGTCAGTTCAATCGATGTTATCTTTGTTTTCTATAACCCGCTGACATTCTGCAGTGATGAACATTATCGCCGCTCATCTGACTGTTCTTTCTTTGTCTTTGCACAATCAGGCGGGAAAAAAAAAGGATCACGGTCGAAGAAAGCGCGCACTTTCAAGGTTTCTCGACAGTCAACCCAATCCACCGTCTCCGAAGCGCCCGTATCGGACGTGGACGTGATCGACCCTCCTGCCATGTCCCAATCAACTACGAAACCCAAAACCACGAAGAAGGCGTCCAAATCCAAGACCAAAACATCTAAATTAAAGAAAGCCGAACCCGAACCCGAACTGAGTCCTGCCGAAATGGAGATTGATGAGCTCGAAGAACCCCAACCCAAGCGAGCCGCGCGAGGCAAGAAGAGGCCTAGTGGTGAGGTTGATCCGGATCAAGAGGACTCAGATATCGCCAATACCCAAGAAGTCGAGCATGCCGAGGCCCCGACGAAAAAGAAGGCCAAGAAGTCGCGCGAGAGTGCCCAGGAAAAGAAGCAAGAGGATGTCGTGATTGCCGACGCGCATCAGGAAGAGGGTGCTGCTCAAGAACCTCAGGAACAAGAAGAACCTAAAAAGGCTCGCGGCACGAGCAAGAAGAAGACATCGGCTAAATCGCGCAAAGCATCGAGCGCGTCATCTACCTCTAAACCGACAGCGAAATCCGAAGAGCCGCAAGAAGTAGATATGTATGCGGCTCTTGAAGCAGAGCTTGACAATCCTGAACCGGCGCAGTCCAACGAAAAGGTCGAACAAAAACCTGCAAAGAAGTCCAAATCCAAGAAAAAGAAGAAGGATGCGTCCCCAGAACCGTCAGGTGAAGATGTACCCCAATTGGAAGAATCGCATCCGGACGTCCCTCAAGAGACTGTAACGACCGAGCCGCTCGCCCCAGAAGAGCCCACTCAACCAAAAACGAAGCAAGAATCAACGAAGCGAGAGTCAAACAAGCGAGAGTCAGCCAAGCAAGAAAAGCCAAGAGGCCGAAGCAGCTCTAAGCGAGTAAATGAGGAACCGACAGAGCCAACGAAGCCTTCTGAACCGGCTCCCGAGCCTGCTTCTGATGTGGACGATGGCACGGATATTGACGTATCCCGGCATGAATCATTCGTCTCGGTGGAGATTCCGAATAAGCTACCAGCACAAGATCCTCCAGCCGACTCGAGTGACAAGGACACGAAGAAACAGAAGAAAAAGTCTTCGTTAGAGAAGACTAAGAAACCCAAGAAAACGTCGAAAACGGCGCCTGAGCCAGTTCAGTCGATCGAGGAGCCCATTGAAGAGTCTAACGTTGGAGACCAGGTCCAGTCACAAGAAGCTCCGAAGCCCCAAGGGTCCCCAGAAATCCAAGAACAAGAGCCTGATCCAGAGCCACCTCGACGCAGATCTTCGAGGATGCCTCCCAAGACAACCGAGCGATATAGTGATATCCCGGAGGAAAAGAAACTTGCTAAATCACTTGCGGGATCACGCAATTCCGTTACCCGTGCCGCTCTAGAAGAAGATACGCAGAAAGACGACGAGCCCGAAGCTGTCTCGCCCATTCCGTCTGCCTCGAAGAGCACCCCGTCCCTATCACCGCAGTCATCCGACGCCGAAAACCGGCCACCATCCATGAAACCCTCTGCATCCCGGCCTGTTGCGGCGTCACCGTCCAGACAGCCAACTCTTCCAGTTCCATTGGCGCCGAGTACGCCTTCTCCATCGAAACGCGCTCCTACCACGGGAGGTCTGAATACTTCTTGCCCCTGGAAACCGGTCGACATCGATGAGATTCTATTCGCCGGCAATAGCGACAAGGAGAACGTCGACATAACCACTGCTCTGAGCAGCGTGAAAGGGGATTTGTCGAGCCCGGAGAAGAAAATGACCGTGGAACAATGGATCGCATGGAATGCGAAGAACGGGGAGGAGAGGTTACGGCGAGAGTGCGAGAGGCTTGTTGGCCAATTCGAAAAGGAAGGGGCACGGGCAATGCGCGTCTTGGAGGGAATTGAATGCACTGATTAGAATTTGATTTTTACTACGTTTCTCCGATTGGCAGGGTATGGGATATGGGCGGACGGCGTTGGATAGGTCTTTAATATTGGTGCTTTACATCATCTGGAGTACAATTTTTTTTGCCGCGATGGCAGTACATTATATGCAACTTTGTTTCATGCCATTTTCACCTTCTACCACTAAATCCCAGCCTAGTAAATATTTATCTATGTCAAAGCCAAAACGCCAAGGGTATACTACAACATTTTATCGATCATGCCACCAAAATCTGCTCGTAACAGGCACCGAGAGCGTCCCAATAGTCTCCATTTATGCAATGATTCCCAGACGGCCTTCCCAACCGTCGTCTTCCTGTTTGACACCATTCTCACCACCCTTACGCCGCTTCTCGTTTCTCTTTCTCCTCTTCTCCTCCCTCTCCTTCGCATCTTGTTCCTCTCGCTCCTTCAACCTGACACCCAGATCCAACTGCCACGCCTGTCGCTCCTCTTCCTCCCTCACTCGTTTCTGGTACGCCAGCATCCGCAACCGTTCTCGTACATCTCCCACCGTAGCCCTCGTAACCTCACCACTCTGCCCCGTCGCAATCAAATGCTGCTTGCTATTCAGATGCTCCACCAGCTGCAGGTTATCCTTGAACGTGAGATCGCAGTCCGCACAGTAGAATCCCGCTCCGCGACCTCTCTTGCCAATTGCCGACGCCGACGAAACCATCGTCGTCTTTCCGACCATCGACGCGACATCTAGTCGTTGTTTTCGCGACGTCGTCGCTTCCAGGGAGCTGTAGTCTACCGGGGCGTGCCATTTCTTGCCGAGTAGTTTGGCCTCGTAGCGGGCTTTGGACTCTTCTTTGCGTTTGGTTTCGTCGTCGGCCGCTTTTTTGGCGTATTCTTCGCGATCCCAGGTTTTGCGGAATGCGGTGTCGGAGGGGGCGGATGATTGATTGCCCGACATGATGGGATTGTAATTTTCGGCTATGAGTAATGTGAGGTGAGAGGAAATTGAAGAAAGATGTCTGTTTGAAAATCAGAGAGTTGGGGTAGTTGTACGGAGTAACTGGTGGATAGCTCCTCCGGAAGTTTCGAGGCGATAAAGCGGCGGAACCGGGACAGGCAGGCGGTGAGATCCCAGGTGCATGTGATCTGATGGGTCAATTGTTGCCAGTCGATGGATCAGTTGGATCTACTCCTCGCCCCTCTTGCTCCATTTAATCCGCACCCTAGGTGTATGGGGTTGAGGCCAGACCCCGAGCTACGGAGTAGCTCACGTTCAGCTGACCCTCTCGTTCTCATTAATCGGTCGATCATCAGGCCTCCCATCATGGTCCTTCCCGGCATGGTCGCTGTCGTCGTCAATCGTTCCATCCCGACCTGAGCTGGAAAGCCCAATCACGGACGACAGGTTCGTTTCTTTGCGGCTGGGTCTCACACAGCCCTGCAGTAGCTGAAACATCGTCCTCATATATATACTCTGTTGAATGTATTAATAGGGCCAGCAGTCTCGCTGGTCTGGTGTTGTCTTCGGTTTCATATTCTCCACCTGAGTCTGAGTCGCAGTCTTAGGCAACAACCTCGCTGCCTTGACTTGAATATATATCCCTGAATGGCTGGACCTGTTTTGAGTCCTTTTATTTATCTATCTTAATTGACTACCCTGGCTATCAACCATGGACCACCCCACTATTCAAGATCCTCCCCGAAAAACAGGCCTCTTCCCCCTGATGGGCCTCCCAACAGAACTACACATGCAGATTTCCTCGTACCTATCATACCCGGACGCTCTGGCGCTCAAACACACGAGTCGTCACTTCTACGCACTTGTCTACACCGGCGTTCATCTGAAAGTCGACTGGTTAGTGGAGCGATTCGAGCGGAAACTAGAATGTCCGATGGAGAAGTGCTCGTTTCGAACGGACGAGTCATTCTGCAATTGGCGGATTCGGCGCATCATGGAACGTAGACGGCGGCATTTGGAATGTCAGCGTGGAAGGGGCGGGTGTTCTATTATCCTGGGAGAGACTTGTCAGGTCGGGTTGGTGTCGACCTGGTTGAAGGAGCAGGGGCGGTTGAAGGTCGTGAGATATGTTGGGAATGAAGGTTTGTTTTATATTCTTTGGGATGGATGATGTTTTGGTGACTGACTTTTGGGAAGTGTTGATACATGGTCTCATTTGCTTGTTCCTGAATTTGATCTGGAATCTTTTTCTGCGGTGAGATAACCCAGCGGTGGTTTCGCACGTCTACGTCTCGAATGTTGTCACTGATTATGGCAGGCGATTCTTGTGAGGTCTACACTACGGTATGGGAGTTGACTTGTCCAAAGACAAATGTGCTTGTCGCTTTCTCAGATGGATATATTTAATCAATGATGTATCATATGCAATTGGGATATTTCATATACCCTCAATGTTTATCAAAACTGCTGGTCGGTCTTGATGCCAGTCGCTCGACTCTAGTAACGGCCTTATGATGTTTGATCATGCTGGACTCTACTCCCCACGATGATTCTATATATAGCTGAGAGCTTTGCGCACTTCCCTACGAAGTTCCATTTCATTACAGTTGCATCGCCCGCGTGCTAGTGTGGAATCTCTGATGCCCAAGGAACAATCTAGAGAGCTGCCAAAGCCATTCGTGCGGGACGGAGCGGAGGCGGGAAGATCCCCGCAACCGCATGTACTAGGGTGCATGTGATCTGCCATCGCGTCCATCGTGATGCGGTCGGGGATGGCAGATCTGACAACTTCATTCTCCTAAGTTCATCATGGCTCGACCATCGAATCACGTGCTATATTTTCTCCAGTCCGGCGTGTGCCGCCGGCATGGATTTCGTCGTCGTCTCATCCAAGGCTTCTTGATCTGTCTCGCAATCTGGACATGTCTAGAAGCGTTGTCCGTGTACCATCGAGTTTCAGGCGCCGAAAAGAGTCAGCCGCCAGCAACCCGACGGAATGAGAGAATCTACATTGCCAGCATGCACTGGAACAATGAAGGTGTTCTTCGAAGTCACTGGAACGATGCCGTGGTAGAGGTGGCCAAGACGTGGGGCCCCGAAAATGTTTTCGTCAGCGTCTATGAAAGTGGAAGCTGGGATGATACCAAAGGTGCTTTGCGGCAACTGGATAAGGAGCTAGATCGGTTAGGTGTGCGACGAAACATCACACTCTCCGAGAGGACTCATCAGGACGAGATCTCGGCTCCACCCTCGAAAGAAGGTTGGATTGATACGCCTCGCAACAAGAAAGAGCTCAGACGCGTACCTTATCTCGCTCGGCTTCGTAACCTGACATTGAAGCCCTTGGAAGACCTAGCGCGACAAGGTGTTACTTTTGACAAAGTCCTTTTTTTGAATGATGTCGTTTTCACGGTAAAATACCCGCGAAGCGTGGGCCGTTGCCGTTCAAGAGATGATTTAGAACTAAGCCTCCCTTCATTGCAGGTTGACGATGTCATATCTTTACTAAATACCAACGATGGTCACTATGCTGCAGCATGCTCTATGGATTTCTCCAAGCCACCGCTGTATTACGACACGTTTGCTCTTCGCGATGCCGAGGGAGACGAGCATGTTATGCAGAAATGGCCTTATTTTCGCGCAGCGGCTTCAAGAAATGCGCTTTTGAATATGTCTCCGGTTCCTGTCAAGAGTTGCTGGAATGGCATGGGTAGGTCTCTCTATTCACATGATCTGATGACATTCTTGCTTATCATTCGCAGTGGCCATGCCGATAGAGCCCTTTGTGTCAGAAAGTCTATTGCGTTTTAGAGGAATTTCGGACTCTCTTGCGCTTCAGCATCTTGAGGGCTCTGAATGCTGTTTGATCCATGCGGACAATCCTCTGTCGACTACCATGGGTGTCTATCTAAACCCCAACGTGCGGGTCGGCTATAATGCACCGGCATACGACAAAGTTCACCCCACTGCTGCCTGGATCGGTTTACAATACATAGCTGTATCTCTCTGGGAAAATCGACTTCGACGCTGGACGACAACACCCCTCTTCAAGAAATTTGTCGTTCGAAGGCGGGTAAACAGTTGGAAAGCAGAACTCGCCGATAGGGTCGAACCTGGCGAGTTTTGCTTGATCAATGAGATGCAGGTTCTCATCGCCAACGGTTGGGCGCATGTATGACGCATTGGCCTCCATTATAACTCTTCTCAGAAGGGGAAGAGGGCTCTCAATAGATAATACGGGGTGGACCTCTTTCCGTATCTTGCATGCAAACAAGTCATGGATCGCGCCAAGATTGCTGTTGGCTGCATAGATGACTCGACTCCATTCTGAGGCTGTCATCAGCGGCTTGGTAGCCAGGATGTGTGGAGGACTTGAAACAATGCAATGCTACGTGGAAGACATTTCCTTCCTCTCTGAGCCAATTGCGGCTATCTTTTCACCAAATATGCCGAGAACTGGAAATTCTCCGGGGGCTTGGGGTAACTCCTAGTGTTACATCTTGTATTGTTGCTGGGTGCCGTTTTGTGCAAATGATACCTCGCTGCTTCCTGGGTAACTCGAGGGCATGGATCTAATTGGGGCAAACCAAGCGCTAGCGGGCTCAAGCCCGGCGGCTACGTGGAGAAGTGGTATCTAATAATAAGGTATCAAGGGCGCACATCATTAGCGTAAGCGCCGTTGGCAAGCTAATGCAGAGTGCCTGCGCCGCCCAGAAGAACCACGCAGCCCTCCCTAAGAGAGGGGAAATTGCCCATGGAAATTCCTTGAAAAGGTCTTTGAATTTTGGCAGGGGTTTTCTCGTCACTTAGCCTGCCAACCAGCCATACAATTTGACTCTTGCCTTCGATGACTGTCGAAAACGGGGACGGCGTGTTGCTGAACCAGCTAGAGCTTATTAACCCGAAAGTGATCTATCCTCGGTTTCTACCTTGCTACCATCGTCTGAAGATGAAAACCCTAGCATTTGGGATCGTCGCTCAAATATTACGAACGACAGATTGAGCAACATGTAAGCTATCTTGATCCAAAACTGCTACAATCCTGACGTCCCCAA